TATAGTCGAGTGCCATTACCGGTCAAAATCTGCAGTAGAAGCCCCAAGAATCAGGGCTTGTTGCAGTGTTTGAACAATTTTGGAAGGTCGGCGACTCCGAAGTCGAAAATGTAATTGGTACATAGCAAGTGACCTCCCCACAGCTGCCTTAACGACGGTTACGTGATTTTCTGCTGCTCCCTCCGTACGCATACGCCTACTTGAGAATCTTAGCTCCGTCATGTGGCCAAGTTCACGTGGGCGATAAGGGAGCTACACAGAGCCAGGGCTCAACTGTTGTTCATGGGCACACTTCCAGACTACTTGCAAGACTGAAATGATAGCACGCATTTCTGCCGTATTTATGAGCTTTCATGATGGATGCTCACGGACTTCAAGCTAATGCGGTGGTCGAAAGCGGCTAATGTTAATTGAAAGCCTGCACCTGTGTTTAGTCACAAATTCCCCTTCCAGAGCACAAACCCAAATGGTGATAATTAAACTAGAGGGAGCAGTATTCCCTTCTAGGCAGAACTACCATAGAAGTGTAGTTTACACAGCCACTTGCATGGTAGCGTTTGCACTGTCAGGCTCTTTGTGTTTCACTTCTTTTGGCTTTAACCAGCACCCCGAGCTACGTATGCCGGCGACCCCTGATCCTCAGAGCACAAATCAATATGTAAAATGGGCGTGGTACTTTTGTGGTAGCAATCACGTACAACGGAAAGCTTAAGCTAAATACGGAAACGCTAGAGGCGCCAAATAGGCAGGGGTAAGCTGTCGTTATTGCACTTTCTGTACATGTGCAACTAAAATATTTTTCGGACATATAACCTGGGGCGTGTGGCCCACTCACTGGCTCAGGATGCATCAAGCTATTGACATGTAGCACATTGCTGCGTAGTGGTGCGAGAAGCAACTGCAGTAGCTGCTAAATATCCGCACATCAAAGATTCAAAACTGTTTGCCCCTAGTGTTCTAGACATATTTGGGAAAATGGTGCATGGTTTTACTGCGGCGCCAATGCCATCATCAAGACTATGCACCGATTTACTAGGCAAGTAGTCGAATGCAGTACAGCTACCATGGATGCATCTGTTTGCCTCGTTTTGCAAGTTTATACCCATCCTCTATTTTTCTGTTACTCTGCCCGAGACATACTCAACTGTTACAAACTTTGCAATCTTGGCAGTGTCATGCAAGACGCTATGCCTTCCTCACTTTCTTCAGTTTAAACTTCGCACAGCTCCTTTATTATTCGAGCTAAGCATCAGGACTTCGGCGGTCTCTGTTGCCTTGACCCCTGTTTCGGGCACTGCCCTGGTGCCTTCAGCATAAGAGTAACCTGGAAGCGACTCGGGTATTCCGATCGGCTTCATCGCTAAATAACGGTAAACTGTTGTGAAAATAGCCTACATGCGTCCAGGTGGCTCTAAACCAGCTCCTGTAGTACGTTTTTAGTTGCTTGTGTGTAGTATTACTCCCGGCTCCTAAAGGCTTAGTAGCGCCATCCGAACTAGCTAATTGTGGTCTTTCAAGGTCAAAAAGCATTCTTTTCAGATGTCTATCCTGATATCACCGTAGTCGGCCGGAGCTCGATGCCCAACGAGGTGATGCAGGTGATCAGTTTGATTGGCAGCGTCGAGCTGTGAGTTCAACGTGAAGAAAACAGTCGGATCTAAGTGGAGAGCCACTCCTTACAGGTGTAAGGATTGAACAACTCATTACGGTAGAAGCAGCCACAACCTAGTCGCTAAATTAAAAAAGACTGCGAATCGTTACACAATACATGGCCCACGATGAGAGGTACACCTTAGGATCTGCACTTCCAGCCAAGTCTGACATGTCGTGCAAGTTTGCTCTAGATGCTGGCTGAGCAGGTAACGTTCGAGGAGCAATGCATGGTTATAATTAAAGCTAAGTTTATTTAAGCTCCGCAATACCTCAGAAAAGCAAACATGCCCGCCCAAAAGCAACTATCTGAATCGAGCACCAAATAGCTGCTCGACGGGAGCCTGATATTAAACCTTGGGCACGAGGATACATATGTCTAGCCTTCTTCTGCAGCCATCTCCACTACAGTGCACCTAAGCAGCAGAATGTGCATATTTTCCTTAAATATCGCCATATCCTACAAACTACACGGCCTGTGCATCAGTGTCCGAAGGTGATAAATTAACAATCATGAGGCAAGAAAGGATTGGCTACGGTGTTCTGGCCTTCTAGAGTCCAGTCACAGTTTCATTCATGAATAAGCCTGAGCTACATGCAGCATGCTTCAAAGTATACTTCATGGTACACAATTGGAATGCCAGTGTGTGCCTGAAGGACACGCTGTTGAAAGGTGCTCTGGAAGGCACCTACTGGTGTGCCCCTGCAGACGCAGAGTTAGTAAAAGACTGTAGCGCGATAAAAAAGGCACTAAACCGGACTTGATATTACAGTTCAGGGGCCTGTCACAACTGCTGCGTTGGAAGAAAACCCGTTTGCAACCCACCGATTTGTTCCCCGTACTTGCTCCCACCGTTACGAACAACAGAGACTTCGTGCGCAAGGAGTTATCAGAAAAGACATCAGGAAATTATTTAGCACAAGCGATCTTAAATGCTAGGGAAGAGGTCAGCTGTGCTGCTTTCTAGCCATCTGACCGTCGGGTGTCGGAATAAAAGGATTCACGGCAGGGAGTATTTAATTCGCGGGGGAACACTATCCTTTGGTGATTGAAGAGGTTCTGCCAAAAAATTTAGAATTGTGACCAGCACTCAAAGCAACAAAATTTCGCAAAGGAATTTACCCAGCTGAGCAGCGTAGGTATTTCTGGCTACAATTTTAATTAAGGGGACGCATGCGTCGTTTGAAGGTGGATGGTTTCATATGTCCTTGCAACGGTTTGGCTTTTCCGAGTGCAAAGTGTTTGTACATTAGGTCATCATTGCTTGGGTGCTCGCAACGGGCTTGCGCTTTGCTAAAACCAGATCCTTCTCGAACCAGTATTCTGTTGCGTGCCACTTCTGCTAAGGTCCTCCAGCACCTTCAACTAGTCGCTGCCCACTGCCGAGAGGAGCCCAAATGCCGGAGCTGCTGCAGAACAATAATCTTCACAGAAAGGTGAGCGTGACGGTATCAAAGTTGAAAGTTGCGGAGCATGGTCGGTCATGCCCTATCTTTCAGAATTACACATAAAGCTCACGCGTGAAAGATAGCGTCATTCGCCGAGTAATCCTACAATGCGGCCGAACATGAAATATGGGAGGTCTTTGAGGGGCTCTTGCTAAACTATGCAGTAATGGAGCAACAGTCGCAGCCTCGTTACCTGCTGATACCCAGACGCTCCGCAAAGTGTCTGTGCGCTGCGCTGTGTAGTGTTACCGCACAAGGATTCCTCAGAGATACACAGTCAATCCCCGACCCCTGAAGACGTACCCATGTCTTCAAATAAAGTGCAGTCGAGGTGCATGTGCATACTGCTGCTGAATGCGAATAGAGGAATCTGGAGCTGGACACAATGCGCTAGGCCAAGCAGAAGATGGCAAAAGATTTCTTGAAAGGGGACAAATTAGCTAAAGAAGACTCTGAAGGGAGTAGCTAAAGAAATTTTGCTGCGATAGCTTTGGTCACTCCGCACCATTCCGTCGTTGAAACAAAATATCAGGACAGGCTTCTCCTGTTTCCCCTACAGAAGGTGAATTAGAAGTTCTGCATTTGCAGGAAAAATACGGTCTGAACCAGTGAGGATCGACGGTGCAGTGTGGCCCTTTGCAGAGATATCTAGCATTTTGGAGCCTTCCTCAATATACAAGGATGCGCGAGCGAATAATAATCGCTGGAAATGTACGTGGTTCTAGTGACTTAGATCCTCCACCTGACCCCTAGGAAAGCCCAGAAAGCGCGGGTTCCGCGAAAAGCAATCACCCTGCATTTTAAATAGGTCTATGGGTGGCTGCCTTGCTGTTTCTTGAGTGGAGAAAAGAGCCGCCAGAGATAGTAATACACTTGAGGAAGATAACCCCGTCCTGCCCTAGGGCCAAGGTTTCATGAAGCGTCAAACAGTCTCTCTAGCGGAACGAGCTCTACTTGTAATATGTATTTAGGCAGCCGCGTAAGGATATATTCACAGGTGTAAGCTTCAGGGCTGCTGTTCTGAAGCCTGGCATGCGCATTGCGCCGAAGTGCCGCAGCCCAATGTAACCTCGTAAAGCAGCCTTAGGAGGCGTAGCTTATAGGATGACAGGCTGGTAGTGCGATAAATCTTCTACAGCTTAGTCTAAACCTGGTCGCCACGCAGAATCCCTCATTCACTTCTCTCTCATTGCTCGTGTTGAAGTAGTAGAGCCAAAGATTGCTCCGGCCTTCACGTTGAGCCCAGCCCTTAACCTAGTAAGCAAATGCTTTAATGCTTTTGAAAAATACAAATTAAGGGAGCAGTATACATATGTATAATTATTCAGTCCTGCTGGGCTTCGGGTTGGGTTGGGCTTTACCAGTTCAACTTACAGCCACTGCAAGTAGGTAGCTGGCCGTTTTGGTATTCCGTTGGTCCGACCAGTTGATTGCCTTCTCCATGCATTCATGCTATAATCGTACCCCAGAGTGATTTTGTTGATTTTACTCCACGTATGCATTATAGGTCAGTGATTCTTTTCCTTTGTCATCAAATTACCTTTCAGCATGGGGACCCTCGCAGCCTTCATCATCCCTATTTGTGCAAAAGTGTACTACCCCTTTAAAGTCGACCCTATGCGTTTGCTTTCCAAGGGTGATTTTGGCTCCCTAGAAGTTTTGGCCCTCAAAGAATAGTGTATATTAGGTGTAGATCGAGATGTGTCAAGTCAAAAGACTGATGCCACTGGTACGCGAAAAGGGAAGATAAGACATACATCAGTATACACAAAAGTCAAAGCTATGTGTATATACCTAGGCAAAACCACGGTTTTTAGGGGGAAACTTGGGAGAAGGGCATTTCTGTTGTTTCAAGTTCCTTCCCCGAAGTGCGCAATCAAAGGTGAAGTCACCTTTCGACTTCAACCTTGGTTACTACCTGCTCGCCATTCCGTAAAGGTCACTCGCGAGGGATTTCCTCTGCGTAGATTTGTTTGGCGATAGGCCGTTCGGTCATCCAAGGCTCTTCCTACCACTCCACCTGAAAGAACCACAGCGCCCAAAGCAGTAGGCATTTTGAGATCTAAGAAGATAGGCTGCAGGGCATCCTGGGGTCAGTGGATGGCTAATTGATGTGCAAGCACAGCCTTTCAACGGGCATCAGTACAAGGGGCCTGTATGGAGGCGCTTGAGCAGCTTCGCCCACTATATATGCCGCATGGCTTTGCAAGTGTCCAACCTAGTGTAAAAAGACTGTCGTTCCATCATAAATTTACATTTGACACGCTAGTGGGACACGTACCAAGAATGCCTTTGTGGGCGACAGCGTACTGTTTCTCCGCTAACCAGAATGCAAAGCTGTTTGGATCTACTGGCCGAGTTTCCACCTGTCTGGTAGGCTCTGGTGGAGCAGCATGGGTAGCGGCTCCGGTGCTTTTGGGTGCAGTGGCTTTTGAAGACGCCATAACAATTGGTGCTTCAAGAAGCATTCTGTGGAAGTCTGTGGTGCATACACAAGATACATATGAGACCCAAGGGTCCTACCTGTCCTTCCAAGCTTCCAATTCCAAGTTTGACTACCGTTTTCATGCAGTAAAAGACCAGGTTTGCGGGCATAGCGCACTTCATTGAACATGGTAGTACTTACCCCTTTGCCATAGGCTTGATTTATGGGCTTCTACAGGCTCTCTCTCGCACGCAGTGAGAGCCTCTCGCCGAGCGTGCTTTTTCCTGCATCATCAGCAACAAATGGTTGTAGCCGCATTGCCACAGCGAGAAATTTTGAAGCCATGCGCATGCAGGCTTGTGCTGTGCGTGGGAACTCAATGACACGCAGCCGATTCAGACCCTCCATAATGGCAGCGACGTACAGCCGGTTGCTCGTTAGTTTCAGGACTTGGCGCGTATTGGTATTAAGGGCTCTCTGCTCCATTTCAAGTGCGTGCTCTCGTGATTTCAAGTCCAGCGCAAGCTCAGACATATACGAAGATATCTGTTCTTTGATTTTCTTCTCCCGAACCCTGAGTTCGCGCTCCTTGGCCTGCAGTTGGGAGTGCACCTGTACAACGCAGTCATCAGAAACACTACGCATGCATAACCACGTGGCCAAGCGTCTTCGCACGCAACAAGGGCACCGCCGCTCGCCAGCCCCCACCACACGCCATGCAGCAAAGAAGGTGAATTATTTGTACGAACGAGCCAACACGCCTCCTAGGGTGTGGAGTCCTCCACCTGTATGAGCTTTGCACGTCGCTCTTTGTGAGCGCGCTTGATCTCGACGGGGTCCTCAAGCTCAAAAGTGACAGGTAGCGAATCGGCCACTCGATGTTGCAGACTTTTGTAAGTTGTGTGGAGCTGCTTTTGGATCTGCGCAAACATTCAGAGGCTTTTTTTCGCGCCCCAGTAAACTTTCGTGAGGACCATCCGCGGAAGCCTATCGAGCACTCTTCGACACCCACCACGAAGTAGGGAACCCCAACCCAGCCTACCTGTGCCACACTCTTTGTGAGTCTGTCGAAGTCCGCTTTGCCGAAGTCTTCGATCTTGGCGTGAAGCAACCCAGCCGAGACATGACGCTTGATACAGTCAAGCATGTTCTCTAGATCTTCCTGAACGAGAGTCCTAGCACACAGCACTATTCAAAGCCATCACCACGCTGGAAATCGTGGGCGTGCAGCGGACTGCACTGGAGGCTGCACAGTCTGGAGAGGAAGCAAATCTCGGGGGTTACGAGCGGCCTGCGCTCAGGAAGCGGCACGTACTTCCCTATCCGCGAGATCCCTCAAGCACAGCTTCAGCTGTCTCCGCATCTCTGCAACAGGACACGCAAGCCGCTACGGAAAACTTGACCCCAGCAGTGGTTCCAATGCGCCTCCGACAACCAAGTTGCCATTCAAGAGTGCAAACCGGCGCGTTCCATGGCCATGCGTGTGCAGACACTCCGTCTTGAAGCATCCTGGGAGCTCTTGAAGGTGTGTCCAGGCGGCCGAGTGGCTTCAATAAGGGGCAATTGGAAATTCATGATTGGAAAGGGATTTTTTCTACGTTATCGGCTGGGAAGCGCGAAGCAGACACAGGAGTCACCCTGGGAAAGCAGTGTGGTGCTCGCTCACCTGCCAAGTGATGGGGCGTTAAGTCCACCTGCCACGGAAAGCAGCAACGCACGTGCAGGAGCAGGCTGTAGCGATGCGCAAGCGCGGCTAGAATCTACTAGAGTGTCAGTGAGAAAATTTGGAGCAGCGACAACGCGCGGTACTTGCCGCAACCTATCTGTTCTTGCTGCCCGTCACCATCTACCTGAGCTTCCTTACGTTTGCAGGCGCTAGTCGGTCCATGAGTTTCCTCAAGAGATCGTGCGTCTCTGCCGTACTAGGGAACGGAGGAACGGTAGGCAGCTTCGGCGAAATGGTTTCCTCCATGCGACTGGAAAATTTGTTCATCGCTCCGATAAGACTTTTGGACGGGTTCATGAGGTCCATCATGGTGAATGCTTTGGGCTTGGGCTGCGAGGCATTGGTGGTAAGGCAAAACGTCGCTAGCCACACACTTCGCAAAAACGTATCTAGCAGTGAATGCCTTTCAGCGAAAAACTCCAATCGACTAACTTATTTGAAGTGCGAAAAAAACCTTGCAAAGGCGCCTTGTGGTCCCACTGTTCTCAATGGAGCCTTACTGCCATGCAGTTCAAACGGCTTGACACGGCTAGGGGTGTTACAGTTCGAGGAAACTACAAACTAGTCTTTCCGCCTTTGCGCATTATAGAGTGCATGCAATGTTGGGGTGTTTCAAATGTAGAGGCCTTCATACCTTCGGAGACGGACGCGGAGTGGCTTCGGGAAACGGCTTGGGGTAGAAAGGAGAACCCTGAATGTGTTGTCCATAGCATCTGACTGCGCAAAGTATTCGAGAGAGATCCACGCAGCAGGCTAATTTTAGAAAATCGAGAGAATTCTCGATCGCAATGAACGCAGACGCTATGACATGCTCGAAGGAAGCACAAGAAGCTCCTGCGCCGGCATACTCACTATTGAGCTGGCAGTACTGTGATTCACACCCAGCACGCACGAAAAACTTCACTCGGTACTGCACACAAGGCCGCAACAGCAACAAACTGCTTAAAAGTACAGTAAATGCACACTGGCACTGGTCTACTCTGCGAGTGGCCAAATCTTCGGAAAAGAGCGCTCTGCACGCGCGAGGGGGCTTGTTATAAGGCCTCACCAATCCATCGTTGAAGTCCAGCGTCTCGACAACATTTATCGCACCCAGACCCTCCACGCAAAGCGCGTCGCCTCCACTGCGGCATCCACAAATGCGCAAGGGGGTGCGCAAAGCAAAGGCAAATGAGCAAAGGACAAGTCGTGACGGCCCCGTAGACGGCCAAAGAAACCGGGCTAAGTTCTCTCCAAAGGAGCAGCGGTTTTTGTTTCTATGTACCATTTGATGTTGTTTCCATGTGCGTCACGCGCTTGAATGACAAAATCCTGCAAATAAAGAGGCAGGGCCAGCCGCTCAAACTGATTTCTTGGAGGCGATGCTTCTTTGAATAGGCGCACGTGCACAGACTCGTAAACGCTACGGAGGAGCCGCCGCTAGACGTCCTATGCTCATCGCGCAGCGGGAAAGCCACAGACAAATTCTACAGAGCTGCGCTCTTTTCGCCGGCATCCCTGGGAGACAGGAATGCGGGGTGGAGGCCAGGGCAAGCAGTACACTGAAGCACAGCCTGCCGCAAGCCGATCTCGGCGGGATGAGAAACCCACGTTCATTTCTCCATTTCTTCCAAAAAACTTTAGGCTTTCCCCGTGAGCCACAGTTTGCGAGGGGTCAATCCTTCCAGGTACTACAGAAACGATGTAAGGAGAAGCTGCACATTGGCACGGCAACACACATGGGATCGTTGGGGGAACGGCTCCGGGGAGGCTCGTTGCACCCCGTGCAGCTCGGCCCCTCTGCAGTTATGCGCCTACAGGCAACAGGATATTTGTCGTCCAAAAGAATGGTCACTTGGTGGCGGACGGCAACAGAGCACGAGAAGAATACCTGAGTGCCCAAGACACAGGGGCTAAGCGAACTGGAGTGTAAGCTCTCGCAAGCTGGTCTCTCTGGTGACGCAACAAGCCTAAGCGTCGGTGGAAATTGCTCTGACGCTTAGCAGAGCGTTCGAGTACCTTTCTGCAGCCTCCCGCCGGGCGCTCTCTTGTGTGGAACGCGGGTGATTGGGGGGATCTCCACTACTACTACTACTACCACTACCACCCCTGCAGGGTTTGGGCAGACAGACAGTGCCGCCGCTCACTCACGGTGCAACTTCCGTCCTCGTTGTCGAGGACTTGCGCAACTGAAGGCTTTTCTAGAGAGTTTTCCCCAGTGGAATCCCTCCCGCCGCGACGGCGGGGGTCCAGCTCTGGTAGCAAGCTCCCTTCTTCGCCCCGATGCGGGTCCTCCACCGGGTGTACATACACCACGAATCGCGCACCTCCGTGAGGGGCGAAGCGACCATCTACTGTGACCGCTTGTATAAAGAACTGCGCGCAACACCACCGAGACTGCAGCGAAAAGGCACAGTGCACCTTGGATGTATCTGGGATGGAGAGGTGAGCTCGCGCTGAACGCAGCCCAGAACGAAATGCGACCACTGCTCAACCTACTTCAGAAAGAACGCCAGCAATGCGCTTTTCCAGTCCTGGACCGTACACCCGACACTGGGCTGGATCTACCGGCGTTGGCATTGAGAGACCTTCTCCTCTTTCGAGGTCCTAAACGCCACAGGCAGTCCCCAAGCATCTTCACTCACGCAGGATGCAGCCTCCGAAGGCTTTTGAACGGTTCCCTTGGTGCAACCAAGCAGCGCCTATGCTACACATTTGCACGTTGGCGAGTGGCGCAGTTGCGCGCCACGCAATACGAACTCAAGGGGTGCTTTGAAGTCTCAAGCTTCCCCAAAGCATCAGGGCATTAGGAGCCTCGCAACCAGCAAGCCCGATGGGGGCAGAGGAGACACAGGAGCCGCTCGCGCGAGTCGGCGAGTCTTTTGCAGCTTTACGCTTCTTTACAGTGGAGGAGTGGCGAAAAAACGGCACTCCACAGAGCAGATTATGAACTCCTTCATGGCAACCCAACACCGATTGCAAGTGCACCCATGAGGCACTCGCGCGGTGTACGTACATCTTCAAGTTCTGGAGTAAGTGAAGGTTTAGAAAGAACTCTGCGCATATACAAAGGACGCCTTTCGCAGTGGTAAAGACAAGCAATCAAGGAAAGAAGCCCAAAAGGCGGGCAGTTCAGTGTCCATACACCAGAAACCCTCGAAGTCTAGGGGTGCTGTGTAAGGCCAGCACTAGGGGCCTCCCCAGGCGGAGATCGCAGGTTCTTTGGCTGGCAAGTGCGTCTTTCTGTCAATCAAGCTGCCCTTACTCGAAGGCGTTCAAGTCTGTGTACTTGCGAAGTACATCTAATGAAGGCACAGACACGCAGTCCACAAGCAGGGTCAGTCGACACACACTGCTGCACCCGATGTGTCGACAACTGGGGCAAGCCGTCTCAGTGAAGCGCGTCAAGAGGGGAGGCAGCGACTGCCTATGGTGTGAGCAACGAGATTTGATTCTTCGATGCTGGCTGCAGTTGCCCATGTCGGTTCTCACCCCCAGCATCCAGTGCTGTGTCTCTGGTGATTAGCGTTTCCCAGGAGTTCTGCTGTTTGGACGCTCGTTCCCATGAAGCAGTGACGGGTGGCTCGGGTCGGAGTTCACTGTCAGAAGATTTTGCGAGGATTTTCTCAAGGAAAGCCCCCCACTTCAGGCTGCGTGCGGGCGCTGTGTCGGCGTCTACGGAAGCACTCCTTGGTGTGTGGCTTTCGAAATCCAAGCTGATGACAGAGTCCACGCTTTGAGTAGAACTAGTGGCTCTGACTGGACTCTTCTCAGCAGACGGCCGTTCAGTTTCACGGAGCGGCGTTCGCGGCAGTGGAGGGCTTTCCTGCGTCGGCGTGGTGATCGCCTTGAACTCTGAGTGCCCCCCCTGCCCTGCATCTTCTTCGGGGAGGCGCTTTTCGAAAGACATCATTGTTTTGGAGGCTACTTGCGTAGACGCTACAGACGCGTTGCCTCTGTCTTGAGGAGCTAGGGGTTTTCCCTCTGACGAAGGGGGACTACTGCTGCTTTCGGCCGAGATTCGAGCCGCCGATTCAAAAGCTGCACTTGTTGGAGTCTTGCTGCTTGCCCCTAACTTGGAGGCGAGGTGCGATATGCTCTTGCGCATGTTCGAGACTGACAAATTTCTCAGCCCCTTCGTCACACCTGGAAGGAGGGAGCCTTCACGGCTCAACCAGCCATCAGTTTCCTGGTGGGAGGTTGACGTGGAAAGCTTCATCGCTGTCTCTTACAGGCTTTCCACTCGGGTTGCTGGGGATTAGCGCGTGGAATTTACCGCTGCTGGGGAGCGAAGCCACCAAAGGCGACGGCTGTTTGCAGTTAGCAATGGAAGAAGGAAAAGCACATAGAGAGACCCTGCCACGCGGCTCCACTCAGAACATTGCTAGACAAAAGCTAGCAGTTTCACTCACATCGTCACTGCTCAAAAGGTTGCAGGGCGTACACTACAGATTTTGCATCCAACCACGGATTTGCTCACTCCTGCCTGAAGACGAATGCTACGAACCGGCCCAAGTCGCCGCCGTGTTCTATCAGCACTCAATGAATTGCAGAAAAACTGTTTAGCTCAAAACGAAAAAGCCCACTAAAACCTTATTTGGGCCTTACACCCGTCCACCCTGCGCACATTGCTGCTCGAGCTGCTTGTGGTCCTCCGCCCTGAAGTAATGCGATGAACGATTAACTAAAGGAAACTCCTTCTACAGCAATTTCAATGAAAAAAATGTTTTGGCTCAAAACCTTTCAAACGATACCAGCTGGGCTCTTCCTAATGGGTCAGAGTATGGGCGGCCGGAAATCATGGACGGACGACTGGCAGGGCATGCAGGTTCCTGAGTGCAGCTTCCTTGTTCTCTGATAGAACATGCATCTACAAGACCCCTTCAGTACTCGAAATTATTGGCATCAAAGTTTAATTCCGTTTCTGAAATGCCGGCAGCCGAGGAACGTTGTTTCAACTCCACACGATGTGCCCAGCAGCAGCCGTGCTTTTGCTGGTGCTAACGCTTAATGTGAAGGGGGCATTATCCCGAGCAGTTACACCCACCGGCTTCCACTTGCTGACTCCTGCTGGGTCGTGCGCCTTCCTTTCTGGAGGCTCCGGCTTCTCAAGCGGAAGACATGTTGCTGCAGATTCGAGGCGCACAACCAGTTTACGCAGGCGCGCACAGCCGCCAGCGGCACTCAACAGCCTCGACAGCACCTTTTTTCCCCCTTCCCACACTGCGCACACAGGGCTCTGCGTCCACAGATCCACCTCCCGAGTTGCCAGCTCGGAAAGGAGCCATGCGGATGGGCTGGAGAGACACCTGGAAAAGGCTGCTTGGGAGCAACATCTTTTGGGGGTGTGGCATTTGTACCTTCCTTCTTCTGTTTACGATGACTTCCATGCCCATCTAGGCTCTGACAGACTCAAACCGGTGCCGCTCTGGATTGGTGAGGATGGCAAAGTGGCGTGCCCTGACTTGAACTACGAGGGCACTGTCTCGCCTCGTCTTCTTTCGTCCAGGTCGTGCTCTTCTGACAGCGAGTGAGGCCCTTTGCTCTGCGATTTTTCAAGGCGATAATTTTGGGTTGACTCTTCTGCCAGAGCAGCTATCTCCCCGTGTGTGACTACTGAGGTCATGCAGAGCGCCCCTTCGCCTTGACACCGACTTCCGAAAGGCTTGAGCCAACTATTCCGGCCAGCTCCGGAGTATGCAGTAAAGTCGAAACATTGCTGCCAGCGTATGAGTGCCTCCAACTAGGCCAGGTGGCTGAGCATGTGCGTATTCGCCTCCCAGGGTTTTGGTGCGTTTGGCTTCGACGTCTCTGAACGGTTCAGAACTTGAACTCGAGGGAATTCTCGCCTCTTCCGCAGCGCCCACTGTCAGCCTCTGGAACGAGCAAGTGCAACTGCATGCGGCTGTCGCTGTGGGGGCCGTTTTCGCCCGCCCGATTCAGGTTGGCAGCCCCACTCGTGACACACCACGTGCAACGCCACGAGGAGACTTCCACCCCTGCTAGACGTTGCGCTGCTCGTCAGAACCTGTACAGTGCAACAAGCCGCTTGGCTCCAAGCCAGGGCTGCCTCACACGCCTTGCCAGCACCCTTCATAAAGACGGCTGCTGCATTGTTGCTGCATTGTTCTCACTATGTCTCCCTTCTTCATCAGTATTTCACAGATGTTTCTCTTAAGGCGTTACTCCGTGCATGGACAGCCAGTCTTCCCTAAGGTCGAAAAAGAGCCAAAAAGGGCAGCAGATAACGCGTAGCTACACACACGTGCTTGCAGCTACTTGAAGGCACCTGTGCATCTGCACTCTGTCGTTTCCCTACAGGACACAGCAGGCCGGTCTGCGGCATCCGATCTTCCAGAAAATGTGGAAGTTGTGAGTTTTTTTCGTGATTTTTTTTTACGTCTGAGGAGTTTGGAAAACTCCAAGTGCTGCTGGAGTGCCTCTGGTTTGGTGTACGCTCGCATAGGGTACTGCGCAGATAAGCGCTTTGGTAGCCTTGCAGCAGAGTCACTAAATAAATTGAACAAAAATCCAGCAATCATTTCTTAGCACGCTGTCGAATCCCTTTCTCCCTACACTCGCACCATCGCAGTGAATAGCGGTTCTCCCCTTCCTGCTAGTGAGGTCAGCACTCTCTTTATTCGTAACGCGTAGGCTACCTGTATATTCACCTACATGCTCAATTGCGCGCACATGAATCTGTGCGGGCGTCGTTGTTGGTTACTCAAGGTGCGCAGCTGTTCCACCTAACTGCCAATTTGCGCAACCTGTCGATCGTTTTGTTTCAGCGAGACAGCAGTGGACGCGTTGTACTAGCTGGCTCGATGGATGATGCCTCGCACTCTGCTGAACAGAAACACCAAGAGCAAGCTACACATACTCCCAAGTCGTGGCAATACGTTGGCAACTTCACGGCATACAGGATTTTAGGCGAGGACCGCAATGAGCTGTAAGCCATTCCCCCAAGCCCCTCAGTATCAGCTCTGGGTGTAGCAACAGCGGAGTGGCTTTTTTCTGCATACGGAGCTGAACAGGCCCTTTGTCATCTTTAGATTCTGTCGACCACCATATCTCTGAAATCCGGTGTATGTTTCTCGGCAAGCCTACTCTTGAGCGCGGTGCGGCTTGCGCTGTGGCATGCGGTCCGCCAGACGAATTCGTCACCCCTTTTTACAGTTTGGACCTCAGCGTATTTACAACATCGTAGATCCAGACACCCAGGATGTTGTGCATGCATTTTGGAGGGCTGCCGGCGGACTTACGACATGCATCAACGGCACCCAGCTGCGGTGCGATACCCCTCGTGGACGCACATTTGATGCGATTCAGAAACGGGTACGATATGGATTGAATGAATCGTTCTCTTTCGTACGCCGCTCTTCGTTCTGTTACCTTGTACTCCAGCTGCACTGGTAGGGAAGCAGTAAACGCCTGCGCTGTTGCACGCTGCAGCCCGTTTCCTACAATATATGCTCCACATACCTTGTGTTTGTTTACAGCTATCCCAAATCGTAAAGGAAAAAGTTTGCTGCCCGTGAGTGTGCGGGCAGCAAAGCGCGGACGAAGGCTTCCCTTTTTAGAGAGCCTTCGCAGAAGCGACAGGTTCTACGAAGCTAAAGGAATACAGCCTTGCCTTGCTCTTACCTTTGCGATATCGAGACAAGTAAATATCCCATTGGCTTTGAGTCCTCTTCAGCGAATGATCCATATTGTGGCACTGACAACCTCAAAGGGCCTGGCGCTGCGCGAAGCACGTGGCTTGCACTGTCCCCTTGCAGCAGTTTGTGACGCTGGTCACCTTAGGAGGCTCTCAAAATCTCTCTCTCTCTCTCTCTCTCTCTCTAAAAGTGCTGCTACTCTGTCGGTTACAGGTAGATGGTATACCCTGGCACTGTCGAATGTGCTCTATGCGCTTGATGAACTGCTACATCCTTGGCTAGCTACATCTTCTTGCGTGGTGGCGGTCTCACGAGCCTTGCATTCTACTCGAAACTACGAGATAAGCAAGGGCTGGACCGCGCAGTACACCGCATGCCTCTATTAGTATAGTAGAGGTGCTGACATGCTTTCTTGACACGTGTGGCACCCGAGCTATACGCCAGTTTTAGAACCTCGAGCGCTTCGCCAAACGCAACAGTGAAACTCTAGGAAGATGTAGGGCTGTTCATCGTCTAGCGAGATGCGGGAAGCCTAGGGACTGAGAAAGGGGAACCAAGACCGCTTTTTGCGCTTTGTTAGTCAGCCAAATCGCGTGACTGTAAAAGCCCTTATTTCTAGGTTCCCGCCCAAGACCATTTGCTCTGAACCGCGCACCCTGCGAACGTACAGGTGTGATTCAGACATCTATTAGAGCTTGCAGTGTAGATCTGCTGACTTCATAAGCAGACGACCAGAAGTCCCAACGGTATAAAGGCATGCAGCTTGAAGAATTCTTCATGTCAGAGAGGGCCTGCCCAAGCTCCTCCGTTTGCATGCACAGACAGTTACCCGTGGCCATCGACGCCAGTAGATATCCAGCAGTTTACTCACGCACCACGCGCATATTCCAGTGCACGGCTCCTGTTGAGAACTTCCTTGCTCCTGTGGGAGCACCCGCTTCTCTTGTGCCTCCGCGGGCTGTGCTTTGAACATTCGCAAACACGCCGCACGGTATCGCCGCTCTTGCATGCGAACAATTGCCACTTGCCGCCTGCACTGCCTAGCAAGGAGTTCCCACGGCTCCTCGCTCCCAGAATTCTCGCATGAGTGGGCAGCAGCAACATGCTCCTCCAGGGAGGCAGGACTGTGGTCATCTGACCTTGCCGGTTTATCGCCACTGCCACTACAAGGCCTTTCTCTGGGAGGGAGAGGGCCAGTCAATCTCTGAGAGAGTGCATGTTTTGCGTTCTGCACAGCTCTGCCTTGCTGCGGACGAAACATTCTTTGTGTTCGTTGCGCCTTCTGCATTTGCTGGCTTTGGCGGTGCTTCTCGCAAGCGACTAGGACCTTTCGGAAGTCTCGAGTAGCTGCATCGAGTTCCCCGAGTTCCTTCTCTGCCAGCCCCCGTCTGTACAGGGCCTTGAGGCAATGCGGGTTTACATCTAGAGCGACGTTGCAAACTGCACGAGCCTTGGCATAGCTGCGCATCTTCAGCAAGCAGGCGCACAGGTTGAGCAGCAAGGGCAAGAGGAGCTGGTGCTTAGTATCGGCTTCTTGCTCTTCTGAGGTGCCGAAGTCCAGAGCCAAAAGCCCCTGCTCGTAAAGTGCGATAGCCTTGGCGTACTCGCCAGATGCATAATGTGCATTTCCCTGGTCTTTGAGCCGCTTGCACAGATGCAGCTTTTCGGTGTAATTCATGCCTTGTAGTGCTTTCAGAAGCCCGCCTCTTGATTGTGAGTCCATCGCTTCTCCGCAGGCCTCTTCCAGAGTTGAACGACCAACTATCGTGCCGCCGCGAGTACACCTAAGAACTTCGGGTACTGCGGGGACCTCCAGATCTCTTGTAAGGCAGTGCATGCTTTCAGCATTGGGGTTGAGCGATACCCGAGGCGGGGGCAGCGAGTGTATTTTCAATACTATATACCAGCTCTTTTTCACCAAAAGTGTAAGAAAAGTTGAGTTTTCCACTCGGGTAAAATGGCTAAAATGGCGTGAAGTAGAAGCGTTGGTATGGAATCGTATATATTGCCTTTGTACTGCACAAGCAGAGTTGTACACATCAGGAGAGCATCGCGAAGACAACAGATTCCTGGCTTGCTTATCCCTACAGAACTATTCACAGTATATGTTATTGGTTCATGTTCTGTTTCGTCCTCCACTGATGGAGCAGAGGAGCCCAAACCTGGTCCTGGGGCTTTGAGCTTGCAGGCAAGCACAAAGCAGTCAAGGGGTGCGAGATAGGAAGGGTCAAGGGTATTGTGCTACGGGTACGTGGAGGGATGTGCGCCAGTCGAGTCTCAAGGGGCCAGAGCCGACGCAGCAAGTCCTCTACTCAACATCGATGCCTGCCTCATTGGTGTACGAGAGTTATTCGGAATGTGCTGATAGGGACGCACGGGTTCCAGCAGAGATTTAGGCTCTAAGAACGCTTGTTCACTTTTGCGTTATCTGCATATATATGCTCTACCTAAAACTGAGTCAACTGTGGCTTCTGTCATACCAAATAGATGAGAGCCTTGGGGTTCCTAAAAGGCCTCTTACACCTCGCGCATCTAATCGTGAGAAGAAAATCGGTGTATTTAATCGTTCAATTAAGGTTCGTGGAAGCAATATGCTAGGAAATACGGAGTAGTGTTGCCCATGGCGCAGCCAGGGACCTTGGGGACTCCTTGGTGTGGCGGTGCCATTCCATCAAGTTGGTTGGTCCTCATTTTCTGGCAAAGAGCCGTACTGTGGTTTGTTAGCCTTCCATGCAAGCTTTTTTTGTACCAAACAAACAAAACTTAGCAGCCTCATTTGCTTGGATACAAGTATCATTCAGGCCTATTTACGGGTGACCCTAGATGTGAGACAAGTGTCCAGGCGCCCGTGAGCTTAAAATACCCATCATGACATCTGACGCTTACTCCGCAAACTATGCTTTGATGATTTGGCCTCACTGAGAAAGCATATACGGGGTAACAACCCCCGGAGGGGAGAAATTCACACAAGTAACGGGTGGCCCTCCACCTTTGCTTCGCTGTGAAGGTAATTACCGGCACATTCGTAGTGAGAGGATGAATGAATTTGAACTGCCTTGTTCAAGAATCACTGCCTCTACAAAAGCATCCTGAGTACGTTTCGACCGTAATCTGGCACCAAACAGGATATGCGTCTAGCAGGATGTGAGGTCACTCCAGTATGATCCATCTACCACAGAGGAGGAATAAATCCACAGGATTATCGTGAAAGTTTTTTAATTTGTAAAATTTTCACTTCCAAAGCACTTGGATCCTCAGGATTATGCAGATGTCGTATCAATTATTTCGTGGGAATTACTTTCGCGACTTGCCAAAACGTCTTTAGTCTCTAGCTGCTTCTCCACAAGCTCTAGTTTCTTTTTCAGAGCTCCAATTTCACTAGCCTGTGTTTCAATAAGCTTGGCACATTCCTCTGCCACCTTGTCACTCGCCTGTGTCCCTCCTGGCTCTATCTCTTCCAGCTGACTCTGATTGACGGGAGGATTTCCTTGAATGCAAGGAGATGATGGCACAGCACTTCTGGTAGCGGAGAGCTTGACGCTTTTGGGCCGTGGATCCCCTGAGTTTTTGTCATATAGCGTGCTGTTGCCCTCACATTTGGGCGTCTTGCGCCGCGCCGAGCGCACATTGTCTCGCTCAGTTTTAGGCGCCCCCGCAAACTTCCGTTGGCGGTTGTCGGACTGAAGAGCAAGTAACTCCTTTCGCAGGTCGTTAATTTCACAGATGAGAGCCGCATTCTCCTGCATGAGCTTTACATTGTCCTGCCGGTGCATTTCTGAGTCTTTGCCCAAGCGTTTCTTGAGGCACTCTACAGACTTTTCCAAGTAATCTCTTTGCCGCGTTTGTTCCTTCAAAATGTCGGTATCGACTTCTGATGGGGGTAAAGTGGTAGTCAGGTACTTCCTATAAAGTGCGGTCACACGCTGCTTCAGCGTGTGCGGGTCCTGGAGGTACTGCATGCATTCGTAAATGTCCAATTGCAGTCGCCTCATCCTCTGCTCCCCCTGAGCAATTTTCTGCCTCTGTGCACTGATTTCATCGCGCAGTGCTTTGTGCTTGAGCTTAAGCTGTTCCATTTCCATGGCAGACACTTTCCCCTGGCGGTGATACTCCACTAACTCCGAGTCCATGGCTTGGATCTGCGCTTGCATCTCTTGGATATCGCGAGTTTTAGGATCAATCACTGCTTTAAGCTGATTTATCTTATAGTCTAAGACAAACTTGAATTTTTCCAGTTCCTGGTTTTGCCTCTTCAAATCGTAAATCCTTTGCTCTTTTTCGCCTATCGTCTTGTCTCTCTCTTGTAGCTCTTGATTCAGGGCCGTGCGGTCTGCCACTAGCTTGTCAACATCCTGAAATATTGCACGCAGTAAATTTGCCTGTTGGGAATGTTTTTATTCCCAGCTGAGTTACAAGTATGACTTTGAAGCTGGCTGAAGCTTTGTCCACCTCATACACGAAGTAGAAGCTTCATCAAGGCATTACTGAAAGAGATTCAGTGCACTATGTAGAGCCACCTAGCTACCAGGAAACTGCAATGCAGCTTTGGAAAAGCTCTCTTATAATCATGCTGCTTGACTATGGAAACACAAATAACACAGTTGAATCCCTTTGTTTGCCGAGTCGCCACCACGCGCAATCCTTCTTGTAAATTGACGCTCTAGTGTATGCTTTTAGACTAAAGACAGTTTTCCCCTGGTATACTTCATTAAAGCTAGCAGCTAGTCAGGCATTTGCTCTCCCCTTTTAGCTGCTTCCTATCTAGACTTACAGCCTTTAGCCTTGCAGCACGTTCTTCCTTCATTCTTGCTGCTTCTCTCAGCTGCTCAGCCTGCTCCTTTGCGTCTTCATAGCGTTGCCGAAAGATGCCTGCTTGGCCCCGCAGTTTGACCTTTTCCGCATTTTCCTCTGCCAGCCGTCGTTCGTACATTTCCTTCAGACTCTCAATTTCCCTGACGGCCAATAATACAGATAGGTAGAAGCGAAACCCGCGTGTATGCATTCCGCACGTACGAGAGCCGGATACGAGAAACTATGCACATCCTGAGTTGGTAGTCCGCCACAAAGTGAGGCTTTGCTCAGTATGGAGTGCACTGTTTCTATTGAATGCAATACCTTCTCCACTACATCACTAATGGCAAGCTTTCCAGTTTCAAAGTGTGAATTACTGTGAGCAGACAGACGAGTTCCTGGGGGGTTGGGTAGGCTGCCAGCCTTACCACGACATAGCAAAGCGCTTGCCTGTCTGCGTCTTCTTCCACTTGTTGCAAAAGTTCCTGGTGCGTCTTCAGCGCCAGTTCTTTGCTTTCTCTCATTCTTTGCAGCTCATCCTCTGCCTGTTTTGCTTGAAGTGTCATCTGCCGGCTCCACTCTGTCCGAGCCCACAAAGACAGAAGGCGTTGCAGTAATTCGAGTGCAAAACCCACTCTACATGCGGCGTAGTGTAGACACCAACTTGAATATCAGTGCGGGTTACCTTGCTCTTTACTTGCTGTTTCCTTGAGGAGCTTGTCCTTCTCATTTTCCCAGTTTTGCCTGTCCTTTTCCTTCTCCTGAGCTAGCTTCTTCTGACGGCCTAGCTCTACAGATAGCTTGCTGTGAAACCTAGCTTCTAGAGTCTGCCACAAAAAGGCACACCAAGGTGAACAGAAAGAGATCAACCCAGCGTTGAGCACCAACATTTTAGCCGATGGTATCTTCGGTAGCGCGGCTGAGGTTACGGTAAAAGGCAGGAGGCTAATATGTCTAGTAAAAACCTAAAACGTTGATATAGCATAATCCTTCTTCTGCGCACGGAAAAGGGAGCTAAGAGAGAAATAAGGTGGTATGACGGCTTCTAAGCAAGCTTTCTAGCCAAGCAACGCGCATTGACGATGCCTTGTATGACAGCCCGATTTACACACAATCCAAGATCAGGAGGAGGTCTATAGAAAGGCGCACTTACATTCAGCCAGTAATCTGCAACCTACCTTATCTGCCGCGCTGTAGCTTTCCTCCAGAAGTGAATAAGTAGGTAAAGTGCAGATAGAAGAAAGCTCTTTAGACGAATCACTTTTGATGATGTGCCTATAGGGGTTCGGCTCACTTGAATTGCCGCCGAGTGCTGTTCCTCCTGCGCTTCGAGTTGCTCGTGAAAAAGGCGTTCTGCCTCGAGTTTTTCTTCTCTGAGAATGTCAAACTTTTGCCTGCAGTGCGCAGATGCCGCACGTTACTCCAGCCGCGACATGAAGGAGGAAAGCGCACATAAACTAGGACTAGGCATGACCCTAAGTAACTAGGCGATTTAGAAACGCAGAAAAACAGGAAGGAAATTCGAAGACGAAAGACTTGTGTCTCGGGGCTACCTCTCCGCTGCCAGCTCCTTGTTGAATCGCGTTTCCAACTGGCTCATGGCATCTTTATGCTGGGTTTCAAATCTGCGTTGCTGAAAATCCATTTGGTTGGACACATCTTCGACTTGTCGTTCGAGCTCAGTTAGATGGCTCTGCCTCTCCATAAGATGCGTCCTATCCACTAACACCTCAGCCATGTATTTTACGGTGGATTGTTCAACGGGTGCTGCTTCTCGGTCATTCACATTCCACACACACAACACTCCATCTGCGCCAGCACTCAGAAGGATAGAATTGTTCGCGGCGACTGCCAGGCGGGTAACTGGACCTGCAAATAAAGCCATCAGAGCATTGACTCCTGCACACCACTGCCATGCCAGGGGTGCTCAAGTACTCTTGTCTCTGTTTGCAAGCTGTTGTTCCTGTCCAGTTAGATGCTACATAAAGGGGCTTTCCACATAACAATGTCCAACCTGGATCTATAGAGGGTAGGCTGCGGCACCGGATGCAACGCCACGCAGTTACCTTCATGACACATATGCCTTCCATATTCGCCTGATATTGGCGCCTTGTAGCAGCGGATCGATCCGGGCAGTCCTGAAACGGAAACTCCCGTGAAGAAGGCACGCCCGTTGGAGAGGACAGCAATCGCCCCCTGAGGCTCCACGGCATCGTAGCACTCGAGCAGCTGGGATTGTTGAATTTGTTTGATGCATGCGTCGGAACCAACGGCGAAAAGCTCTGACGTCTCGCCGCCGTTTTCCAGCGGGTTTTGCACGATCGAATAGAGCTGCACATTCTTTTGTACGCAGTCTTGTGTCCTCGTTCCCTCCTGGCGAAAACGTAAGTCCGTTGTTTCACTTTGCTCTTTGCCGGGTGCTCTCAGTTACGTAGTGGCGCCCGTCTACCCTTAGGCATCTGGAGCAAGAGTGCTCCGCTCAAAGGTCATGACAGCTCTTCATGCACCGATATGGATTCAGCTTATGACTAGTAGTTTCACACCTTATGGTAATAAACGGGGAAAGGTGTTTGCTGTCTGCACCCAGGAATGGCGTTTAAGAAGTATGGTAGTGCTTGCGAAAACCCACCTTGTCAATAAGAAACTCATACACAGCGCCATCGTGCCCGGCTGAGGCAATAGAGCGGTCGTCCACAGACCACGAAAAGGATGCAACTCTGGCGCTGTGCCCGCGAAGCGTGGCTTGATGAGTCCAGGAATACATGTTGAACACCTCAATCATGTTTCCACTTGCAGCAGCAAACATGTGCCCTCCATGAGAAAAACGGCACTCGCGACTTGCTTTGATCGCGAATTCCTTGACCGTCCGCAACTCGCCGAGCATAAGGTTCATCAGCCTGCGGGGTGCAGGGCAGGCAGACAGAGAAAAGCAGCTTCGACGACAGAAGCGGCAGCTACGCAGAAGCAGGCAGGGTACACCCCGCAGGTGATCAAGAGAGGCCCATGGCAGAGGCAAGCTGGCAGACGCGAGAGAAGCACACATTGACAGACAAACGGAAAACGACGCCAGATATGTGGAGGGAGGGAAGGAGCGAAATGCTGAAACGGGCTGTGCAGGCAGCGGGAAGCGAGAACGATCAGCCACCTAAAGATTCAGCTGCACATTAGAATCATATTCCGCTTGCAGGCAGTGCAACAAGTGTGGGCTTATAGGGCGTAGGGCAAGCCAGAAGTCTATCGTAGTGGGCCTTCCAAGAGCTAGTTATCTTATAGGCGGGCTGTTAGCCGCAGGAGTGCCAGCAAACGAATCTCCTAGAGTGTCTGGTAGTTTGTTTGCTCAGACCAGTGTAGTTGCACCTGACCAACAGCTGTTCTCAAGCTTCATAAAGAGCGAAGGGTGCAAAAGGCAGCGACAGTTATTGCTAGCGCCTTACCTGAGCTTATCTGCAAACCCCGCAAGGATGTGATAGCTGGAAGGGTGGAAAGCCACGGAGAATATTTCCTCCGGGAAGTTCTGACACAGCTCCAATCGGCGCTCTAAGAAATCCCACACTCGGATAGTTTGATCATCCCCGCAAGTCACTGCCAGAGGCTTTTGGGTGCAGACGTCCATTCCTGTGGATGGCAGGAAAGGGAATAGCGCGCATTCTGCAGCGGCATAGTGCTCCAGCCGGGCTTGACTTTGCATGCCATCACAGAATCTTTACGTGCCGCAGAAGGAAATGTCAAAAAGGCAATGTGCGCGTGTTTTCGCATTTAGTTAACTGATCCTGGGCGCGGTATTATCATTAGGGTTCGCTTTTCCTACAGAAGTGGGGGGAAGTCGGTGCTAGGTCTCACTACTTGTTTCGATTGTTTAAGTGCGAAATATTAAGGCACGGCGACTATGCATACGCGAATAGACTGAACGCTGCCGAGTATTCGGCTCTGCACTGCAGCAAGAACCTTTGCCGCTCAGCAGGGAAGCAGAGTGTGGAAGCCTGTGTACGGAATGCATGCTTCATGGCATAAATGCCTTCTTCTTCTGTCTTACCGTATATGGCGCCCGTGTGGAACGAAGTGTGCAGGAAAGACAAGACTGGCGTTGCTGGTGCCTGGTGGGGGCCATGCTGGGCTTTGGCCTTTAGCGACAGCAGAAAGAGCTGCCCGTTAGACAGCCCTATTGCAACGGTGTCTTCCTTTGGACTCATCGCCAGGCTGCTCACGTGTGTTCCCTCTGTAAGTTTTCCAAGAGCACCAAGGCACAGAGCCACCCGCCGTCCGCTGTAGCGTCTTTTTCCGAGGCGGCAGCTCTCACTAGCCGCAGTCGCTGCTCTTCGAAGGGCAGAGTGTGGCGCTGTGCACGTGCCCGCTACATTAGCTTTTCCTTGGCCGCTTAGCGCCGCGGAAAAACGCGTGCAGAACTCTCGCGCAAGGGCCTAAAGCTGGCTACATCTGTCAGTGCCAGACTCACCGGCTGCCTGGTTGTCTACGGAGACGTCCGTTGTGAGTTCGTAGATCTCCGTAGGATCTTGGCTTTTCTCGAAAATGCGGATCGATGCCCCCGCACCTCCGCAAACGAAGCCTTTCGAGGTAGGCACCAGGCAGCGCAGCGTGCCTGGAAGTCCAGGTGAGCAGCTGAGCGTTGCCACAAAGTCGCCCGTTCCATCCAGCAGTGTTAAGTCCCCTGGGAGGAGGATCCAAGCAAGGTGGATACAAACAGAGGCGCATACATGCGTGCGACGCACAGGAAGAGTGCGGATACTGCCCAATACATAGACAAATTGAGGCGCAGGTAGCCAACGTGGGCGCAGTTAGTCGGGTGGATTCATATGAAAGGGCAAGAGGAGACTTGGAGGGCCTGCCTCTGTGCATACCCCTAGCGCTTTGTCATACATGCGCAGATAGAGACCGTGGGAGAGTGCCGATGTGCATGTAACCGCGAACGGACATATTATTGAGTTGAGCAACATTCACACACGCAGCTCCATGGGCAGCAATATCCAAAAAGCAAGCAACGCAGCAGCAAAAAGTTCTTCATCGAGTGCACGACTCAGGCTCTTTGTGTTGCAGCCGCGAGTGAAGGACAAGCAGCACAAGTGATGGCGGCAAAGCGCGAGATCGGCTGGAAAGCTACCAGCGTGAGATGCTGTGTACCACTGTGTGAAGCGACGATGAGCGAGTCGTCACAGAGCCACGCGTGGCTGGTAAATTGCTGGCCTTGTCTTTTATAAAGATAGTTCTGCATGACGCGCAGCTGGCCGTCTTGCAGCCTCAACATGCGACTGACACCATCTCCCACCAAGCACACAATAGAGGAGTCTAGAGGATTGAAGGAGCATTCGCAGAACTCCAGTGACGGCATCCCAAGCTGCGAATGAGCGATGCACAGAAGCAAGACGGCCGGCAAAAGAGACAAGCTGCAGCCTGACTGGTAAGAACCGTGAAAGCACAACTTAGGGCTGCTCGTTAGTTGCTGCTGACAGAGCGCTTGGAGCGCCTCTACGCCGTCGACGGAGTTTATGCGCAAGTGCCGTGCATGACGGGCTTTTGTTTGTTTTGGTGTCAGCTCGTTATTGGCTCTTTGGTTTTGGCGTGAAGCATTCGCCTAGTACGAGGGATCAGGCACTCTGTGTACAGGCGTGTCGGAGGCGCGTGGAGAGAAGCGAGATCGGCAAGGCATGAAGCGCGTAGCCTGGCAAGTGTATAGGTGCGGCTCGCCTCCGCGAGGCGTTTCGCGAGTGGCAAATTCTCGAGGATGCGACCAGTGGTATCAAGAGGCAGCAGGATCGCCTTTTACGCGGAGCTTTCTGACGGACCGACTCACCTTGTAAGAAGCAACCACCTTGGCCTTTTCCCAAGCCCAGTACACGAGGCACCAGTCGGGGGGTCCTCCAAGGGCGAGGATGTGTCTGCTATCCCCGGAGAATGCGACGGACCGAAATTCGGTGGACTGACAGTCCGCGAATGCCAGCGTTTTCTTCGTCTTTAGAGTTATCAAGTCGTACACTGAAACTAAGGCCCTACGCTCAGAACGCTCGCCCACTAGCAAGTACCTGAAGCGCCAGCGAGACAAGGGTCACAACTCGCTTGAGCCGATCTCGCTATTCAGTTTACTCATGCTAAGGCTCTTAAGGCCAAAGGGAGTCTTCGGCCGTGGCAGGATCCTAAGGGCCTAGTTTCCTCAGTGGATGAAATGCTGACTGCAGCGTGCAGCCTCAGGTTTGCCCATGTGCTGGTGCCCGTTACTCCAGGGAAAAGCCACAGAAGCTCTTCCCCGCGTTCACCTCTTGTTTTGCGAGACAGCAGTGCAGACGGTCTCTAGCCCTTCGTCTGCCCCGTGGAGGAACTTTTGCGCCTTTTTCTCCAGCTTGTGCAGCACCATCAGGCGGCCGCAGGGGTAGCACACTGCTGAAGCCTCGGTGAAATGAACTCCGCCCCTAACGTTCGGCTTAGAACCAAACACATGGTGGCAACTCAGAGAAACTGGAGGCAGAGCAAAACGCTCAGTGGCATTCTGATGGACCGCTGCCACGGAGCTCCTCTGAGTGCCCTGGGAGGGTCGTTTGCCTTCGGTGAAGCCACCGAAACTCATTTTTGCACCTCAGTTCTACAGCGATAAGTCGAGTTCAGCAAGTGGACCAGAAACCTGCGGGGAGTGGCTTGGATTGTTCGAAGAGACTGCGACCAAAAGGCCCCTCAATAGAAACACAAGAAAGAGGAGGCACAGAACAGCAGCACATGTGGACCCGCATGCCGCTGCTTGAGCCTTTGCTCAGACTAGTCGGCTCGAGAGCAAACTGCGTAGATGTATTCAACACACGACGGTCCGCTCAGGCTTGAGGGCCAGAGGTTCACAGTCGACGACAGCACTCCTGGACGCCTGCTGATTCGCCTGCTGGGGAAATTCGCCTGCAGTCTGAGGCGGTGGGCATGAAGCCAGTCCTCGTGCCTTTCAGAACCTGCGTTTCGGGAGCGCATTGGCCTACCAGAGGGCGGCTGCTCCCGTCTTCGCCGCTTGTCTGCAGAAGCAGTAAGCAGCAGACTGTCTACTTTCCTTAATCCCACAAATGAAACAAGTGTTCGGGATGCAGGGAATATAGCATCCGAAGCAGAGCGCTGCCTCGTGCAGCAACGGCTTAGGGCTTTAAAAGGGGGTCTCGGCCACTTTATCAGGTGACTGGATGTGCTGCCACAAGGCACAACGGATCGCTGAATTTAAATGGGATACCTCATGACCGAAATACTTGAACGCATTATTGAAGAACCAACGGGGAAGAAAGGAATTGCCGTAGCTGTGGGAAATTCAAAGATACTTCGCAGCGTGTTCGCGTTTCTGGGGATTGTGCAGACTCGCCAGATGGAAGCGGAGACGCAAACAGGCGCTCATGTCTCCTTAGTACTCATAATTTTTAGTAATTTTCAATATCCTAAGCTTTAGGCTAAAGATTTCAAATGAAGGAGCGGGATTTGTCCCCAAACCACAACCTGCGTGAAGGCAAATACAGCAACGCGCCTCTACCAGGCGCTGCTCATGAAAACTGAATTCCCTCGTAGACAAGCCGCAATAGGAAGGCAACGCAGTGTTAAATAGAATGAAATGGGCCATTCTCACGGCCTACGCGCTGAAACGAACCACGGCGATGACCATATGAACTTCTTCGTTCCTAACCGATGTGACCCTGCTGCCAATGCTTCAAGGGGCAGCGAACCGCGACTACACCCATTGAAACCGTCCGGATTTACGAAAAGCGACTGCACTGACGATTAAGTACCATGGAAAGGCTTTTAATTGCTACCCCGCGAGCCTTCCAAAGCGCTAGAATTCCCTTTCCAGGGAGCCCAAGAAAGCGTAGAACCACCTGTAGTTTCAATTCCACCCTTTAATGTAGCACCACAAAGAAGGTGTGAAAATGCCGTATTTACTTCATGCTCAACAACCACCTTCACGACCCTACAGTGTGCCGATAGCTATGCACATTTGGAGATGCACCGTCAGAGGCGTGGGCATGCGTGAACGCGCATGGACGGACAGACCGCCTGCACGTGAATAAGGCTTTGAAGGGCTCATGAGAGTTCGAACACTACGCACCCGCACACCACGCTGTGCCTGCACTTACGGTGGCCTTCAACGAATGCTGTGCGCAGCGCATACATGAATGCATGCATATGCTTGGAGGAGGAACACGCTCTAGACACAGACGTCCACATGAATGCAGATACCGGCATAGCAGAGGCACTTCGCAGCTGTGTACCTGGACAAGACCTCAGTCAATAAGGAACGACTGCCTATATACGGTGTGCGCAGCACGTGATACGGATTCGGCCACTTCCCTTTAGACCTTTTTCCATCTTTCATGCCGCCTCTCTGGGAAAACATGCCTGAATATTCGATGTCTAGCAGTCTCATTCGCGTTTCCACAGAGATGGCTGGTGGAGTGGATGTGTGCACATGAGCAGTGCGCAAAAGCGTGTGCCAGCGTATTTCCGACGTAGTGCGATGCGTGTGGATCCGGCGTCGACACATGGTCGCGTGTTTCTGGGTGGTGGTGTATCTAGAAGTACCGGCCCTTGCCTATACATTCCCTGTTCTAATCACTTCACCGGGTGTCTAGGGTCATAGAGGCGCACCGTCCGAGCTGAACGATGCACGCGAATTGACTCCGCAGGCGTTCCCTCTGCTCACATCCCATCCGTTTCTTGCACGGGCACCAGCACGCCTCTGGCGTTGCGCAGACGCATCCTACAACACCCCTACTGGTTATGCATCAGCAACACCACACCTTCTCTGCTTGTGCACTGCACTCATCTTGATGGTCTCGGGATACGCGAAGACCTTTTTTTTTTTGAAAAAAGCACCAAACGCACAAGGTAGGTGGTATTCATAGCGATGACGAAAGCCCAACATCTGCACTCAGAGGGGCCTTCGATACACCGCAACCTGTGTGCACTTCTCCGCGACGCTCACTTCGAGAGACTGCACAACACAATTGCAGAGCGCAGCATTTTTCAGCCTCCAAATTCACTCGGCACTCACCACTCGGCACTCATCACTCGGCAGCACCCGTGACAAGAAAGTGCCAACCCCACCGTCGACACACACCCGTCCTCACCTGAATGCCTCTCTTCTTTAGGCGACCCTCTGTAAGGTTGTCTACTATGCTTCTCCAGATATACGCGCAAAGTTCCTCAGCCGTTGAATGCACGATCGGCAAGCACTGCAAAGCCAGAACCAATTCAGTGCGACGGAGCGAATATGCATGCCCCTACCTCTAAGAGCGTTTGCCAAAAAAAACCCCTTCGGCATTCCACCTACCTTCCCTCGCCCTCCCCTCTCCCCTCCAAACACTCTCAACACACACTTCACACCAAGCGCAGTCGCGTACGAGGCAGTCTGCCCTTGGCAGAATAAACTCGGAGCCGTCTTCGCAGCGCATGCGGATGCTGGAACCTTCCTGCGTGATTTCCAGCACGTCACTCCTCATGGGAATGATGGTATACTCGTTTAGCGACTGAGACGCGGCACAAAGCAATACAAAACAAGCAAAAGCCGATGTGTGTTCAGCTCCGTTGTCGCGATTGACGCTGCTAAAAAGCCGCAAGACGCACTGCAGGAGTCGGGAGACTCTCTGAATGGGCTGCAAAACGAGAGAGATGACTGCAGTTCATCTTCGTTGGGTGTGTCTCGCTCTAGATCTATTTCTTTCCTCCCTCTACATATATATACATGTCTATCTATCTCTTTTGCTCTCTCTATCTCTCTCTCCATATATATCTCTCTACCTCTATCTAAGTACCTGTCTATCTCTCCCTACCTCCATCTAACTACCTCTCTATCTCTCCCTACCTCCATCTAACTACCTCTCTATCTCTATCTAACTACCTCTCTATCTCTCCCTACCTCCATCTAACTACCTCTCTATCTATCTCTCTATCTAACTACCTCTCTATCTCTCCCTACCTCCATCTAACTACCTCTCTATCTCTCCCTACCTCCATCTAACTACCTCTCTATCTCTATCTAACTACCTCTCTATCTCTCTTTACCTCTATCTAACTACCTCTATCAACTACCTCTCTCTCTATCTCTCCCTACCTCTATCTAACTACCTCTCTCTCTATCTCTCTGTCTCTCTATCTCTATCTCGGCTTACTTTGCAGACTTCCCTGACAGCACGCTTGAGCTCTGTGAAGTCGAGAACGTATCCATCGACTCCAAGTGGTCCTAGGAGGCGCGCCGACACCTGGTAGTTGTGGCCATGCAAGCGCTCTCTGTATCCCTTGTAAGCGACGAAGTGTGCACAGCAAAAGCTGGATTCGAGGAGGCAGACAGTCACCTCGAAGCCTCCATCGAGCGAGGAGCCTCCGCCTCCTCCTGCGCCGCCAAGCGAAGTCGAGAGGGGATTGCCCCTTGCGGAGCAAGTGTCTGTTTCTTGAGTGCCGCGAGGCGCAGACAAGTCGATGGATGCGGAGACTGCAGGAATCGCGGGGGAGTACGCGTCTTGCCCATACGAATGAACTGAGGAGAAAGTCGAGCGAGGACTGCTCGGGGGGGAGCCTTCCGTGGCGGCTACTGAGGAAGAGGCGACATGGTGAGGCTGCTGTTGCTGCAGCGAGGAGATGAGGAACGCATTCATGCCTCCGCTGGAGCTGGGAGCGCTCGCGCTGCTTCCTGCCAGCGCACAGCCGTGAGGAGATGCAGCTCCCCCTCGACTCGACGAGGACGGCTTTCCAGACGTGAAGGAAACGGAGGTGCGCGAGGAATCGACGGGTTGCTGTTGCTGTTGATGGGGCTGCTGGTGTGGCTGCTGCTGCTGCTGCTGGTGTGGCTGATGGTGTGGCTGATGATGGTGCTCGAGCTTCTGTCCAAGCGACAGCTGCTGCTGCTGCTGCGAGGAAGAAGAAGCAGCAGAATCACGACTGCTCTCAGACATCTTCTGGACGCATCGCTTGTGACGCTGCAGCTGAAAGAAATGCGTGGAAGGCGCCAGTTGTTTGCTGCTGCTCTCCTGCCTGCCAAGACACCCACCCGTTCAGGATGCTGTGCGAAGAGGTTTGCTCCTCCTCGCGGCACTGGGGAGTGTAACGCGAGCTGTCTGCTCGTCTCCACACGCACATGCCAATACTCTCTTAACTAGGCAGGAAAATAACAATTCAAGTCGCAGCAGCACCAGGGAGCAGCAGCAGCCGCCGCCGCAGCAGCAGCAGCCGCCGCCGCAGCAGCAGGCAGCCGCCGCCGCTGCTGCTGCTGCTGCTGCAGCCGCTGCTAGTCGTAAAAGTTTAGCCCAATAGCCAACGCCCACGCGGTGTATGTGCAACTGGGGTAGCCGAATTTGTGCTCTCGAGTGTCACGGCGGGAGACCTTTGTCTTCCTTTTGAATCGACTCTGCTGCTGCGCCTCCGCTTTGCTGCTTCTGGTGCTGCATGCACACTGGCCGTTGTGTTTCCCCCACACATCGTGCCTTTTCGTCAATCTGCAGCAGCAGCCGAGACGCACAGGGTTAGCAGCAAGCAGCGAAGCAGCAGCAGCAGCCGTCGCTGCAGAGAGCAACAGCGACAGCTGCCGCAGCAGCGGAACGCTGTCGCTGTTTGCACACGACGACTCGAGAGGCTTTCTTGCTTCCTTGCTCCAGCCTTTAATTTGGAGTCGCATCATCGGCAGCTTTAGCAGCTTTAGCAGCAGCAGCAGCAGCAGGAGCAGCAGGAGCCGCCTCCGCGGATGCCGTTGTGTAGCATCCCCCAAGGATTCGCTGCAGACGAGGAAAACTTGAGGGAGGGCGCCACGCCGCAACTCAGCAGCAGCACAGCAGCAGCAATAGCAGCAGCAGCACGATGCATCCAGCATTCCCTAATGAGAGTCTCATCGACCTCACACGTGCAGAGGAGGTCGAAAGCAGCTGCAGCAATGACGCAGACGGCGCAGCTGCAGCTGCAGAGACAGTGCGCAGCTGCACCTCCGCGGATGGCAACAACAACAGCAACAGCAGCAGCAGCAGCAGTGCTGCAGGGCAGTCTGCTGCTGCTGACGTGCTGCCGCGAAGCAGGGAGGCGGCGGAAGGCAGCAGCAACAGCAACAGCAGCAGCAGCAGCAGCAGCAACAGCAACAGCAGCAGCAGCAGCAGCGGCGAAGACAGAAGCGCTTTGGACTGCGCAGGAGAGAGCAGTCTATCCTACTGCCACGCATGCAATAGGATCGTGGATGCAGCAGCAGCAGCAGATGGGGAGCTTCAATGCGCAAACTGCGGTGCTGTAGGCTTTGTGGAGGTGATGGACGCTGCAGCAGCAGCAGAAGAAGCAGCAGCAGCAGCGCCAGGCGCTGCTTCTTCTGCTGCTGCTGCTTCTGCTGCTGCTGCTTCTGCTGCTGCTGCTTCTGCTGCTGCTGCTTCTGCTGCTGCTGGCTGGGGAAATTCCCGCGGTGTATCGACAGCTTCCCTTCGAGATGGGCAAGCACGACCTATGAATCGGCTTCTTTCGTGGCTGCTCCGTCTTCCACAGACGCAAGGAGGCTTAGCCGCCTCACCCAGCACAGCTGAAATTGCAGCGAATCGTGCAGCGACTCAAGGAGGAGAAGCAGCTGCACAAGGCGGAGCGTCGACAGACTTGGAGGCAGATCTTGTGGCTGTGCAGCAGCGGATTGTGTGAGTGCTGCAGTTGCTTCACCTCAGCCAGTCGTCTTTTGTCTTTGCGCTGCTTTTTCGCAGACAGCTGCCACCACACGAGCGACATCTGCAGCCACTGCAAGAAGACAAGCCACGCTGAGAGCAACGCACGCGAGGCTTCTGTCTGTTTCTGTCTCTCTGTTTCTGTTGCGCTGTGCGTCTCAGCGAAATGCTGAGTGTCTTCGAGGAAGATCCTGCCGTTCGCAATTTGCTGCAGATGATGGCTGGACAGAACACTGCGTGGGGATGCTTGCTGATGTTTGTTGGAGTAGTGGTGGTGGTGTTTGTGGTGGTGGTGGTGGTTGTGGTGGTGGTGGTGGTGGTGTTTGTGGTGGTTGTAGTAGTAGTGGTGTTTGTAGTAGTAGTGGTAGTGGTGGTTGTAGTGGTGTTTGTAGTAGTAGTGGTGTTTGTAGGAGTAGTGGTGTTTGTAGTGGTAGTGGTGTTTGTAGTGGTGGTGGTGTTTGAAGTGGTAGTGGTGGTGCTGGTGTTTGTAGTAGTGGTGGTGGTGTTTGTAGTGGTGTTGGTGGTGGTGTTTGTAGTGGTGTTGGTGGTGGTGTTTGTAGTGGTAGTGGTGTTTGTAGTGGTGTTGGTGGTGGTGTTTGTAGTGGTAGTGGTGGTGGTGTTTGTAGTGGTGTTGGTGGTAGTGTTTGTTGTAGTGGTGGTGGTCTTTGTGGTGGTGTTGGTGGTGGTGTTTGTAGTGGTGTTGGTGGTGTTTGTAGTGGTAGTGGTGGTGGTGTTTGTAGTGGTGTTGGTGGTGTTTGTAGTGGTAGTGGTGGTGGTGTTTGTAGTAGTAGTGGTAGTGGTGTTTGCAGTAGTAGTGGTGCTCAAGTTGATGCTAATGTTGATGCTCATGTTGATGCTCATGTTGACGCTGAAGTTGATGTTGATGCTGCTGTTGGTGATGCTGCTGTTGATGTTGCTTCTGTAGCGGCTTTGCTTGCTTGTGAGATATCGCCTGCTGCGCTGCATGCTCTCTGTCATCTTTATGACTTCTCTTTGTGCTGCTGCAGGCTGCAGCAGCAGCAGCGACGGGCAAGCGCTGCAGCAGTGGCAGCTCTTCCAAGGCATATCCTCACACAAGAGGAAGCGAGTAAGCAGCCGCCTTAGTGCGAAGTTGCTGCTTCTGCTTCTATGTCTTCTGCTGCTGCTATGTCTTTTGCTGCTATATCTATTGCTATGTCTTCTGCTGCTGCTGCTTCTTCTGCTATGTCTTCTGCTGCTATGCCTTCTAATGCTATACCTTTTGCTATCTCTTCTGCTGCTGCTATGTCTTTTGCTGCTATGTCTTTTGCTATGTCTTTTGCTGCTGCTTCTGCTGCTATGTCTTCTGCTGCTATGTCTTCTTCTGCTGCTGCTATGTCTTTTGCTGCCTGTGCTGCTATGTCTTCTGCTGCTGCCTCTGCTGCTATGTCTTTTGCTGCTTCTGCTGCTGCAATTTTTTCTTCTGCTGCTGCTATGTCTTTTGCTATGTCTTCTGCTGCTGCCTCTGCTGCTATGTCTTTTGCTATGTCTTTTGCTGCTTCTGCTGCCGTGCCTTCTACTGCTATATCATTTGCTATCTCATCTTCTGCTGCTGCTATGTCTTCTGCTGCTATGTCTTCTGCTGCTATGCCTTCTACTGCTATATCTTTTGCTATCTCATCTTCTGCTGCTGCCATGTCTTTTGCTGCTTCTACTGCTGTGTCTTCTGCTGCTATGCCTTCCGCTGCTGCTATGTCTTTTGCTGCTGTGACTTGTTCTGTTTCTGCTCCTTTTGCTGCAGATGGTATGGATGCTTGTTCTATTTGCCACGAGGATTTTGCTGCGGGGGATCGTGTGGCGTCTGTGTCTGCGGATTCGAGTCAATGCGTTCACAGCTTTCATGAGGCTTGCATAGTGCCATGGCTAGAAAGGGTAGGCTCTTGCCTTGAGGTGTCAGTCTCAGTCTCTCTTGCGATATATATATATATATATCTATATCGTTCTATATATCTATCTAGCTATCTACATATCTATCCATGTATGTATCTATCTATATATCTATATACATATATATCTGTCTGTATATATGTATCTGTCTATATATATATATACATATATACATCTACATATATGTATCTGTCTATGTATATATCTATATATATATATGTTTACATTTATATATATATATCTATATATATATGTTTATATTTATATATATATATCTATATCTCTATATATCTATATATGTATCTATATCTACATACATATCTATCTACATACATCTACATATCGATCTATGTATATCTGTCTATATATATGTATCTATATATATATATCTATATATATATCCATCTCTATATATCTATCTAGATATATATATATACATACATATATCTATATCTACATATCTGTATATATATATGTACATATGCATTTGTTACGTGACATGTTGTGCATGCGAAAAGGCGCCTCTGGCATTTTGCTGCATGCGGAGTTTGCTGGTAGCTGTTTTGTGCTGTGCAGAACAACACCTGTCCTGTGTGTCGCTTCGAGCTGCCAACGGAAACTGGACCGAATCTTGGAGGAGGAAGGGGGCAGCAGCAACCTCAGCAGCAACAACAACAACCTCAGCAACAACAACAACAACCTCAGCAACAACAACAGCAACAGCAACAGCAACAACAGCAACAGCAGCAACAGCAGCAGCAACATCTGCCATTTCTGATAGGCATGCCGCTGTTTGCGGGCAGCATCAGCTTTGCGGAGACAGCCGAAAACGCAGCTTTAGGAGGAAGGCTACCTCCTGAGGCAGGGAGTGGTGTTTCTTCCGCTGCTCGGAGGTTTGAACGACTGCAAACATCGCGCGAGCGAGAGAGGCGACAGCAGGAGGCAGCGCTGCCGTTGCTGCTGCAGGGAATGACCTCTAGCAGTCGAGGATTGGGGAGTTCGCGTGTGGCAGCAAACGGAGAGGCAGCAAGAGCTTTGCATGCTGCAGCAGACGCAGCTTCAGACTCTTCTGGAACGCAGGCAGCAGCTGCAGACGAAGCGGCAGGCAGCGCTGCTGAGGGAGAAGACAGTGGCACAGGCAGCAGCAGCAGCAGCAGTCGGAGGGGAGAAGCGGGCAGCGGCGAAAGCAGCAGCGGCAGCAGCGGCAGCGGCAGCGGCAGCGGCGCTTTTGGCAGCAGTCGCAGCAGCAGCGACACGCAGCAGCAAGCGGAGAGCTGCACGGGCAGCAGCAGCAGCAATAGTAGTAGCAGCAGCGGCAGAAGCAGCACTGCACTGCCTGTGCATGCGCAAGACACGGCAGCAGCATTCTTGCAAAGCAGCTCTAGCAGACACCTATTCAATACGGGGAGTTCGAGCAGCTCCGCGTTGCTTGGTGCTGGCAATTCAGCAGAAGGATTCTTCAGTGTGGCTGTCTCTACGCCTTATCCTCCCTTCTTTGCTTTCCCAAGAGCTGCAGCGGCTTCGCAGCCTTCTCAGAGAAACGCAGCAGCAGCAGCAGCAGCTCCTGCTGCTGCTGCCACACCCCAGGCGCAACAGCAACAGCAGCAGCAGCAGCAGCAGCAGCAGCATAGTTGGACTGCTGGCAGCAGGGGGGAGTCTGCTTTTCCCTCAAGAAACAGCACACGAGGCAGTCACGGAACTGGTGACACCCCGTGCAGGCAGCAGTAGTGAGAAGCTGGCACTAGAGAGTTTGTTTGTTTGCTTGCTTGCTTGCTTGCGGTGTATCGACACCTGCCCTCCTGCTGCTAAGAGGATTCTAGCGAGCTGCTTTGCGAGGCTGCTGCTTTTAAGGCATTCGCCGTTTGGCACGCTGCTGTCTGCCACAAGCGATGCAGCAGTTCGCAGTCTTCCCTAGGCAGCAGCAGCTCCAGCAGCAGGTCCTGTGCTGCTAGAGCTTCCCCTTCGCACATTCTTCTCCACGCGTATCTAGCTACAGGCAAACATGCATGCATGCATGCAAGCATGTACGCATGCAAGCAAGCATGAAGGCAAGCATGTACGCATGCAAGCATGAAGGCAAGCATGTACGCATGAAGGCAAGCATGCATGCAAGCATGAAGGCAAGCATGCATGCAAGCAAGCATGCAAGCAAGCATGCAAGCAGTATTAGGCTTTGCTACTTGCTCACTTGCGTGTCCGCCTGCCAGGAAGGAGGGCATGCAGCGCTCGCGATGGGGCTTGTAGAGGCGGCAGCAGCAGCTAAGACACATGTACATTACTTAGGGAAGTGCTGATTTCTTGACTACGTTTCTTAGCTACTTGCACGCAGCCTGTAGACGACACGAAAGTGAGAGAAACGCTGCGGGCAGCAGCTCAACAGCCGAGGCAGCAGCAGCAGCAGCTGCCTCGTGCGCTCCTGATGCTGCCTTTACTACCGCTGCAGCTGCAACAGCAGCATAGGACGCTGACGCTGCTGCTGTTTGTGTGTCTCTGTTTCCGTCTATTCTGTTTGTATTTCTATGTTTCTGTCTATTCTGTTTCTATGATTCGTTCGATTCTGTTTCTGTTTCTATGTGTCTGTCTATTCTGTTTCTATGTGTCTGTCTATTCTGTTTCTATGATTCTGTCTATTCTGTTTGTGTTTCTATGTTTCTGTCTATTCTGTTTCTGTCTCTCTGTGTCTGCCTATTCTGTCTCTATGTTTCTGTCTATTCTGTTTCTGTGTATTCTGTCTCTGTTTCTTGTTGCGGTTGAGGAGGAGGAAACACCGCACTGCACACACCGCGCCGACAGACGCGAGGCAGCGTCCTCTCGTGCTGCGTTTGTAAAACAATCTTGAAACGATATTTCGAGTTACCTGCGCCTGCACAGCGTGCAGCTCTGTTGTGGCTGCTGCGAGGGTTCTCCCGCTTGTTAAGTGCTCGCTGCTGCTTTCTGCTGCTGTTGCATGCGAAACGCAGCGGCGTGATACCTCAAAAAGCATATTCCCTGGCGCATGCATTCAAGACGCTCAAGCGCCGTGTGCTGCCTGTAGAAACTATCTACGTCAGGCCACCAATTGAGACATATGACAGAAGCTTCCTTGCTGCTGCTGCTGCCAAGCTTGCTGCTGCTGCTGCCAAGCTTGCTGCTGCTGCTGCCAAGCTTGCTGCTGCTGCTGGTGGTGTCAAGGGAAGAAGAGGGGAGGTCGTCGGCGACAGAAGGAGCCTTTGAACTGGCATCGACCACTTTCGGCAGTTCTCTCGCCGCTCCAGATGCTCTTACACGTCTGCTGCTGCTGTCTTCTTCCGCACTGGAAGCGAGCTGCTGCAGGCAGCCTCTGTGCAGCAAGCAGTCTTGCTGCTGCGAAAAAGTCTTGCCTCGCGGCGGGGAGGAGCAGTCCTCTAAGACACTGCCCACAGGATGCAGCGCAGGGGGAACAGCACCAGCTGCATGCCTTGCCAGCTGCGCTCGGGGAGACAGTCTGCTGTTGCTGCTGCTGTCTCTTCTGCTGCTGTCTCTGCTGCTGCTGTCTCTGCTGCTGTCGGCAGCTGCAGAGGCAGCAGACACATCCGAAATGCTGCGATGATGCAGCAGAAACATCGACATGCTGTCGCTCCCTGCTGCCGATCCTTCAGCCTCCGAGAGACTGCCAACGCGGAGCGTTGGTGCTGCCCTCTCCTTGCTGCTGCTGCTGCATGGAGAACCTCCTGCAGCTGCGACAACGTGGCTCGTGCGCTCCAACTTCGCCTGATGCAAAAAAAATGCCTCGCCTTCTTTTCCCCCAGAAAGCCGCTGCTGCTGCTGCCGCACAGTCCAGCAGTCCGCAGCACACAGGAAGCCACATGAACTGCTGCTGCTGCTGCTGCTGCTGCTGCTGCTGCTGCTGCTGTCTCTGCTGCTGCTGCTGTCTCTGCTGCTGCTGCTGCTGTCTCTGCTGCTGCTGCCCTTCTTCCTATAAAAGCATGCGCAAGCAGGCGTGCACTGTTGCAGCAAGGCGCTCAAAACGCGTACAAGTTTCCAAAATCCCCAAAAGCCAAGGCCAGAAAGACTTTCGAAAGGCGCAGCAGCAGCAGCAGCAGCTGCTGCTGCTGCTGCTGCTGTTGCTGCTGGGCTGCCAGCGGCGCTGTATGGCCGTAACAAACTGCCGTACAACACTGCGAGATCGCGCAGCGTTAGAGGCCTATGAGCAAACCTTCGACAAGTTCTCCGGCGCTGCTGCTGCTGCTGCTGCTGCTGCTGCTGCTGCTGCTGCTGCGCTGCTGCTGCTGCTGCGGCGCTGCTGCTGCTGCTGCTGCCACTAGACACTGGTACCCACAGCAGTGCCACCTGCAGAAACGGCGCAGCGCACGATGTACTACACCAAGCCTGCTTGCGTCCACTCGCTGCGAGAAGAAACGGGCAATGCAGCGGCAGCAGCAGAAAGGAGGCAGCAAGAGGCGCCAGAGAGCGCGCACAGCAGCACACGCAGCCTCGACGACGCTGCTTGCCAACCTGGGAGTCTAGCCGTGCTGCCTTGCAGAACTGGATCCATTGACTCAGCGAAAGCGTCTGCTGCTTCGGAAACGCCACCATGTCTTCAAAAAGCAGCATACACTCCCTATACAGAACGAGCGAAAAAGACTGAGGCGTTCGGAAGTCTGCAGGCGCTGTAGGAACTGGAAACCACATGCAGCAGTGCAGAGAAAGCAGCTCATTCAGCCTGTTGTTGCTGTTGCTGCTGCGGCTACTGTTGCATGCCCTGCTGCTGCGGGATGATCTCGATGCCACTGTGCGTTTCAGATGCCAGCTGTCAGAACGCCGATCTTTCGCCACCAGCTGCTGCTTTTGCTGCTGCTGCTGCTGACAATGGGGGGCAGGATGACGGTGAGGGTGCGCAGCAGCAGCAGCGGCAGCAGACAGACATCCAAGATTGCAAAAGCCGCTTGGCAAAACGTTCTCAGAGAGGCGCGTTGTTGTTGCAGCACGACTGTCTCCCGCTTCTGTGCTGCAGGCTGCTGCGCTTGAAGGGCAGTTGCAGCCGCAACGGCTTCCGCTGTGTTGTCTCTTGTCACCTTCGTCGAGCACTTCCGCGTCGTTACTGCTGCAGCTGCTGCTGCTCCTGCTGCTGCAGCTGCAGCTGCTGCTGCTGCTGCTGTGTCGCACGCAGCCGCTATTCGTGGAAATGTTTTCAAAAGAAACCGAAGCCATAAGGGGACGCTGCTGCAGCTCCTTGTGCTGCTGCTGCCTCTTATTCTCGAGGAATGTCTGAAGCACATCCAAGCCTAGCAATCTGCTCGAGCTTGGCGCATCCTCCTGCTTGCTGCTGCTCTCTTGAGGCTGCTCTTGTGGGGAAGCCTCCTCGCCTAAACGATGCCTGCCGCTGCGCGCTTTGAGGATCTTGAAGTCAGAGACATGCAAGCGGCTGCTGCTGTTTCTGCTGCTGGTGTGCCACAGGTTTGATTGCCGCTGCTGGCGAGCTTTGAATACAAAAGTCGGTGCATTCGCTGCTCCTCGAGCTGCTGCCGTTGGCGTAGAAGCATCGACTGCCTCCTCTTCCTGACGCAGAGAAGGAAAGTGCAAGTTCTCATCACTGACAAGTCGTGAAGGCAGTGTCACTACACCTTGAGCAGAAGAAGCAGCAGCGGCGACGGAAGGCGCGACTGCAGCGTCTCCCCTTTGCAAGGATACTTGCCGCTGCTGACTTCGCTGCTGCTGATTCCGCTTCTGCCGATGGCGGAGTCTCCGCGCATCTGCAGCAGCTGCCGTCTTCAGCTGTTTTCCCCCCCTCCTGCTGCGCTGCAGCGAGGTTCCCGTGGATGCAGCACGAGCGCTGGCAGAAGCTGCCGGAGACAGCAGCGCGAGATATACAATGACAAGAGCTTCTCGCAGCAACGGCTCCTTGACACGCCTGTCAATGACGCTTTCCTTCGTGCTCAAATAGCCTCCTGCGCCTTCCGCTTCATAGTCTGCAGCAGCAGCAGCAGCAGCAGCGCAGCAGTACGAGGAGGACTAAGAGGAGGAGTATCAACAGCAGTGGCAGCAGCAAAAAGAGCAGCAGCAGTAAAGAGCAGCAGCACTATCAACAGCAGTGGCAGAAGCAAAAAGGAGCAGCAAAAAACAACAGCAACAGTGGCAGCAGCAGAAAGCAACAGCGAACAGCAGCAGCAACAGTGGCAGCAGCAGCAGAAAGCAGCAGCAAAAAGCAACAGCAACAGTGGCAGCAGCAGCAGCGAAAAGCAGCAACTAACCTGTCCTCAGCGAAGGGTTCGAGTTGATTTCTAACAACCAGAGTTTGTGTGTTGCGTCAAGAAGCAGATCAAATCCTAAGATCTGAAAGCAGCATACGCTTTGCTGCTGCTGCTGAGAGGCAGCGATGCTGGTATTTCCACCCCACAAGGCACGATACTTGAGCGAGAGAAGTGGATCCAACGTCCTCATGGTGCAAGACACGATTTCAATGATTTGATGCCAGATATTCTCCGTGTCAACGCCTACAAGGCAGCAAAGAAAGAAGCAGCAGGCAGCTTCCATGACGCTGCTGATATGTGCAGAAGAGGAGCAGGCGACAAAAGAAGGAGAGCTCCCCCCAACGCGAAGAATTCCAGACACACTGATAGAGAGAGAGCGAGAGTTTAGCGAGAGAGATTCGGGAAGAGAGCAGAGAAACAGATACAGACAGAGATGGAAAGAGATACAGACAGACAGGCAGATACGCACAGACAGAGAGAGAGTTTAGCGAGAGAGATTCGGAAAGAGAGCAGAGATACAGATACAGACAGAGATGTAAGGAGATACAGACAGACAGGCAGATAAGCACAGACAGAGAGAGAGTTTAGCGAGAGAGATTCGGGAAGAGAGCAGAGATACAGATACAGACAGAGATGTAAGGAGATACAGACAGACAGACAGACAGAGAGACACACACACACACAGAGTTTAGCGAGAGCGATTCGGAAAGGGAGCAGAGATACAGACAGAGATGTAAAGCGATACAGACAGACAGACAGACACACACAGAGACAGAGAGACAGACATTGTGTGCTGGGAGGAGTTGGTTGGTGCATAAAACTGCAGACTCTGAGGCTACTTAAAGCAGACGAAAGGCACAAAAAGCAAAACTTCAGACACATGGAGCGACTTGTTTCTATAAAGAGGCTGAAAGTCGAAAATACCCCTCGCAGAATTCAGCAGTCAAGACACATGCATTATAAGGCACAACTCGCGACAGCCACACACACGCTCCCACCTCCCCCCTACATGGACTCATACACCATACAACACAGCCTCCTACAACATACAAAACAGCCTCCTACAACATATAAAACAGCCTCCTAAAAGTCAAAAATACCCCACCATGAGCTGCAAGCTCTTCCAACACGTCCTCCAGCAGTCGCTTGTTCGCTTCTGCGTCGTGTGGATTCAAACTCCTGCTCACACGCAGTGTGCAGCCTCCCTCTCTCTATATATGTCCATTTTAATCTCTCTATCTCTATCTCTCTCTAATATATGTATGTAGATATCTCTCTCTATCTTAATGTCTACCTGTCTATATCACTAGCTTAATGTCTACCTACCTATCTCTCTCGCTCTATCTCTCCATCTAACTCTCTCTCTACCTCTATCTATCTACCCCCTCTCCCTCTCCTTGGCAAAAACGCCAGCCTTCCTTGCAGCGACAGCAGGCATCTTACCGCTTGAAGTCTGGATGGAGCTTGTTGATGGCATAGTTCGTGAGGTGAGCAGTAGCTGACCAAGAAGATCCTTGATTGACAGCGGTGTAAGACTCAGCGCAAAAACGCACCAGACCTCTACGAGAGACGTAAACCTGTAAGGCAGCAAGAGCAGCAAGAGCAGAAGCAGCAAGAGTAGAAGCAGCAAGAGCAGCTGCAGCATGCAGGAAGGATGAGGAGGATGAGAACAGAAAGAAAAAGCAGACTCCACACAGAAGAAGAGACACCCTCAAACTTGGTAAAGGCATCCCCCAACTTTCATGGCAGGCGAGCTGAAAGAGGTAAGGCTGCTGCAGAGAGAATCTGCAACAGCAAGCGCAAGAGTAGCAGCAGCAGCAAGAGCAAGAGCAGCAGCAGCAAGAGCAAGAGTAGCAGCAGCAAGAGCAAGAGTAGCAGCAGCAGCAAGCGCAAGAGTAGCAGCAAGAGTAGCAGCAAGAGTAGCAGCAAGAGCAACAGCAAGAGTAGCAGCAAGAGCAACAGCAAGAGTAGCAGCAAGAGCAACAGCAAGAGTAGCAGCAAGAGCAACAGCAAGAGTAGCAGCAACAGTAGCAGCGCTCAATAGGCATGCATGCATGCCGTCTAAAATATCCAGCAGTAGCAGCCGCCGTTCCTCACGAAAATCCCCCAACAAAAGACTGGCTGCTCGTGTTTTCTGAAAAAATCTTCTGACACACCTGCAAGTGTGGATACACTCCAAGTAGCAAGACGTAGATCCTAAAATCGAATTTCTTGCCGTTCAGCAAGAAAGGGTTGGTAATATACTGCTGCGCTACATACAGATCTGCGGAGTCTCCCCTTAAAATGGACGGAGAAATATCCGTCGCTGCAGATGCCAGCAACACACCTATGCCTTGAGCTCCCGTGTAAGGCTTTAAAATCCAAACTTTGCTAGGCACCGCTACTACTTCTCCTGCTGTTGCTGCTGCTGCTGTTGCTGCTGCTGCTGTTGCTGTTGCTGCTGTTGCTGTTGCTGCTGTTGCTGCTGTTGCTGCATTGCTTAACCCTGCTCTAAGGGAACTTGTGCCAACCAATCCGCTGCTGCCGCTGCTGTCATGCGTAGTAGTCGTCCTACTACTACTTCTGCTGCTGCTGCTGCTGCTATTGCTGTTGTTGTAGCAGCGTTGGTGGGAGCGCAGTGGGGGAAGCACATGCAATCCTCGCTGCTGTTGCTGCGGCAGCAGCAGCCTGCGCGGTGTGAAGGAGCGCAGCAGCTGGTCGCTGCTCTCGGGAAGCAAGAGCGTCTTTGGATAAAAAGCAAAAAGACTTGGTTCTAGTTCCTGAAGCAGACACGAAATTGGCTGAAAGAGGCACTCTGAGACGGCGACTCTGTGTGTGTGTGTTGCCTCTGTAAGCACTTGCTTTCGTTTGCATGCTGCAACAGCTCTCCTTCTCTCGCGGCAGCAGCAGAGCTGCTACTCTGGCAAGAAGAAGCACAGTATTTCTTTGCAAGCGGTTCCAGAGATGCTGCACAGCAGCAGCTGCTGCAGCTGCTGGCGGGGAGTGAAGAGAGTAGAGGAAAGAGAGAGGAAAGTAGAGAGTAGAGTAGAGTAAAGAGTAGAGTCAAGAGTAAAGAGTAAAGAGTAGAGTAGAATAGGATGGAAAAAATTTGTGGCGAAAAAAGCAGCAGATTCGGTAGAGGCGTGAGACACAACTGCTGCTGGCGTACCTGCATCGCACCAAGCAAATTAGCCAACCATTGCTTGTTCGCCAGCGTCGAGAGAAAGGGAAATCGATTAATAACTCGCAGCGAAGAAGAAGTAGAAAGCGCGAGGTGATCTGTTTCCGATAAGGCGCATCCCAACCAGACGAGATCTCCTGAAAAATTCGCGAGCCGAGCAAAGTTTCTCGAAATATCCGAAGAGAGAAAGAGAGAGAGACATAGCGATACACATATATAGAGAGACAGAGAGAGACATACATACATAGCAACATATATAGACATATGTATATATATATATACATATTTATATATATATCGAGGGAACGCTTGGCATGTAGTGCCACACACTCAATCAGAACGCCTTACTCGAGGCACAAGAAATGCCTGCCTGCCTGCCAGATAGCCGACAAAAAAAGGTGAAGCAGCAGCAACAGTACTACTCATAGCAGCAGCAGCAGCAACAGTATTACTCATAGCAGCAACAGCACTACTCGCAGCAACGACAGCAGCAAAAACACTCACCTGAGGAGAAAAAGCTGTCTGCTGCCTTCCAGCCAAGAGCTTTCACGCATTCTGTTAGGAGTTTTTTCTCAGCTCCTGCCAAAGTGACGTCAACGGCAATGCTTCGTCCTCTGCAGCTGCTGCGAGGTTGCAGACGGCGGTGCTTTCGCTGCTTGTGCTGCTGCGAGCTGCTGCAGCATGCTGAGCTGCAGCAGCTCTCATATATCCAGCCTCCGAAAACTCCCATCCACGCGTCTAGGATGTCTGCTAAGTGCAGCGGAGAAGACGTCAGGCTAGAAGTCGCAGCTACGGCTGCTTCAGATGCTTTAAGACTCTCGCTGACATACGCAACACCCTTGGCTGGTGTATTACTTGAACCACGCAAAAATTGCATGGATTCACGGTGCTTCACTGAAGACATTTTCTCTCTATCCTCAAGACACACATCCTCCTGAGGAGGAGACGCACTCGCCGCTATTGATGTTGCTGTTGCTATTGGTGTTGCTGTTGCTATTGGTGTTGCTGCTGCTATTGGTGTTGCTGTTGCTATTGGTGTTGCTGCTGCTATTGATGTTGCTGCTGCCATTGATGTTGCTGTTGCCATTGATGTTGCTGTTGCAGAAGAAGGCACTGCTCCTGCTGCTGCTGCTGCTATGGGTGTTGCTGTTGCTATTGGTGTTGCTGTTGCTATTGATGGTGCTGTTGCTATTGATGGTGCTGTTGCTATTGGTGTTGCTGCTGCAGAAGAAGGCACTGCTCCTGCTGCTGCTGCTGCTATGGGTGTTGCTGTTGCTATTGGTGTTGCTGTTGCTATTGATGGTGCTACTGCTATTGTTGTTGCTGCTATTGCTGTTGCTGTTGTTGTTGCTTTTGTTGCTGTTGTTGTCTTTGTAGACGGCGCTGCTGCACAGGCGGCTAGCGGCGATGCCATGACTGGTGCTGAAGCAGCAGCAGCAGCAAATTCACCTTCTCCTGCTGTCAAAAATTTGGAGTCTTGCTAAAGGCTAAACGGGGGCAGGCTACTACTGCTCCCGCTGCGCGCGTTGCTGCTGTATTGACAAGCCTTCCCGCGACTGCAGCTTTTCCTGCCGCATGCATAAACGACAGGAGCTGCGTCTTGCACACGCAAAGCGGGAAAATAATGAAAATTCGGTGCTGCTGCTCTTGCTGCTCTCGCAGCGAGAGCAGCAGTTGCCTGAGGACGGAAGTCAAAAGACAACGCTAAATTCAGCGCCTCAGACACTCTAAAAATTAATTAATTAGCAAACATAAGCAAAAACGCATAGCGGTCGCGTCGGCAGCAGCCGCTCGCTGCTGCTGCTGCTGCTGCTGCTGCAGGGGCCGCTGCTGCTGCTGCTGCTGCTGCTGCTGCTGCTGCAACACAGTCTGCTGCTGCTGCGGCACTCTAGTCGATTTTCCGGAAATTTCGGGTGTATTAGCAGCAGATGGTGAGCGCTGCTTTGCTCCGGTGCCGTTGCCGTCGCTGCATAGCCATCGCAGAGCAGAGAATTGCCACAGGTGCAGCAGCAGTAGCAGCAGCAGCCGCAGCAGTAGCAGTAGCAGCAGCAGTAGGAGGAAGAGCAGCAGTAGGAGGAAGAGCAGCAGGAGCAGCAGGAGCAGCAGGAGGGAGAGCATCAGCACGAGCAGGAAGAGCAGCAGGCGAGGCAACAACGGCTGCTGAAATCAGCAACACAGCATGCTGGGGAGTTCGCAGCGCATGAGTAGTTCGTGCAGCTGCTGCTGCTGCTGCCAGGGAGCTTTGTCTCGCTCTTGACTCCGACTGCGCTGCCAGAAGTTGAGGTGTTTGAAATTTTCGCCTCAATCCTCCAAGCGCATGCAGCTCCAGCTGAACAGACGCGCGGAGAAGGCGAGACTAGCACCCCATCTTTCGCGAAAAAGATTGCAGTCAGTCTGACAGCCACTCCCGTAACAGCTGTATCGCCACTCCATCGCACCAACAGCTGTTGCAACAGCCGTTGTGGTAAGAGCAACAACAAGAGCAGCACCAACAGCTGTTGCAACAGCTGTTGGTGTAAGTGCAACAACAGCATTGGCGTCGAAGGGATGCCTCTGGGAAAGCGAGAAATTTAGCCGCGGCATTCAAAACTTCCGCAGTTTTTCAACAACCCGAGCGCCGCTTTCTCTGGAGAAACAGCAGCAGCAGCAGCAGCAACAACAGCAGCAGCAGCAGCAGCAACAGCAGCAGCAGCAGCAGCAGCAGCAGCAGCAGCAGCAGCAGCATTTTTGGTACGTAATTTGATGGTTAGACTTGGGCTGCGGCAAAGGCCGCAGCGCGATTTGCAAGCCGGAGGAGTCTTGGCAGCAGCAGCAGCAACTGAAGCGCAGCAGCAGCAGCAGCAGCAGCAGGAAGCGCTTCCTGCTGCTGCCGCTGCTGCTTCTGCTGCTTCTGAGGGGCATGCGTTACGAATTACAAAGCAGCGAGCAGCTGCAGCAGCGAAAAACTCAGCTGTCGCAGCAGCAGGGGGTGATTCTACAGCAGCGTATAACGCCGACGGGATGCAGCGCAGCAGCAGCAGCAGCAGCAGCAGCAGCAGCAGCAGCAGCAGCAGCAGCTGTGGGCAAGGGGATACTGCTGCTGCTTCTGCACCGACGACAGCACCAGCAGCAACGCGTTCAGCAACAGCTGCGTCAGCTTTGCGACTTTCTCCCGTTGCAGCGCATGCATCTTCAACAGGGAGGAAGCCTCCAAGCACGCGCAGCAGCGCAGGAGGAGGAGGAGGAGCAGCAGCAGCAGCTGCTGCTGCTGCTGCTGCTCCTGCAGCTGACCGTCACAGCCTTGTGGCAGCAGCGGCAAAGAGCTCTCCTGTGCTGCATAGGGCAGCAGCAGCAGCAGCAGGTGCAGCAGCAGCAGCAAGCAGCGCTGTGGCTTCTTCAAGGCGCAGCACCAGACCGGCAGAGAGCAGCAGCAGCAGCAGCAGCAGCAGCAGCAGCAGCAGCAGCAGCAGCAGCAGCTCCCGGGGAGCCGCTGCTGCTGCTGAGCAGCAGGTGCAACAGCATCAGCAGCAGGTGCAGCAGCAGCAGCAACAGCAGCAGCAGCAACAGCAGCAGCAGCAACAGCAGCATCGCTCCCCACGCAGCGCTGCTATAGCGGCAGCAGCCGCAATAGCAGCAGCAGCAGCTCCATCGTCAGCAGCAGCGGGAGGGCGTTCGACTGCTCCAGCGAATGCTGCTGCTGCTGCCTCTGTTGGAATATCTCCGCGAGCAGCAGCAGCAGCAGCAGGAGCATCTTCAGGAGGAAGTCAGAAGAAAGACAGCAGCTCGCATGCTCCCGCAGCAACAGCAGCTACAGGTGCAGCAACAGCAGCTGCAACAACAGCAGCAACAGGTGCAGCAGCACCAGCAGCAGCAGCAGCAGCAGCAGTGACAGCGCCACAGAATAAGAGGCCTTTATCAACTCACAGCAATGCTGCGCGGAGAGAATCGAAGCACAAGGGGTGAGTTTTTCCTTCGGTATATGTGGGGAGTTGTGGGGATGTGATGTGTTGCAGCGATTCTCTCTGTCGGATCTGCTGCTGCCAGCAGATCCAAAGTCATCCTCGTTTTTCATGAATGAAAGAGACGTTTGAATCGGAAGTATATGTGTGTATGTATGTATGTATGTATGTGTTTATGTATGGATGGATGTATGTGTTTATGCATGTATGTATGTCTGTATATATGTATGTATGTATGCATGTATGTATGTATGTATGTATACATGTATGAATGTAAATATGTCTATATACATGTATGAATGTAAATATGTCTATATGCATGTAGGAATGTAAATATGTCTATATGCATGTATGGATGCATGTATGTCTGCGTGTCTGTCTGTATGTCTGAAGGCGTGGAGGGGAGTCTCAGCAGGATGCAGCTGCGATTTCTTCAGTTTGCTGTGGCGGACGCTGCGGCTGCTGCAACACGCCTGTGTCTCTAAAAGAATTTCGTATTCAGTGTGGTGCATGCAGCGCTAGCAGCAGCAGGGAAGGAGGCAGCACGAGCAGCAAGAAAGGAGGCAGCAAATTCATAGTTTGCCTCAAATGCTTTTGTCGGGGGGTCGAAACGCAAAATCATTTAAACAGCCATCCGTATTTCGTTCTTGGACCGAATAGCAAGGAGATCTTTGCCTTATGTATGGCTGTCGTTTGTTTGCTTGCTGCTGCGGTGCTGCTGTTGTTGCTTGTTAGTTTGCTAGCTGCTGCTGTGCTGTTGTTGCTTGTTAGTTTGCTAGCCGCTGCTGTGGTGCTGTTGTTGCTTGTTAGTTTGCTAGCTGCTGCTGTGGTGTTGTTGCTTGTTAGTTTGCTAGCTGCTGTGGTGCTGTCGTTGCTTGTTAGTTTGCTAGCTGCTGCTGTGCTGCTGTCGTTGCTTGTTAGTTTGCTAGCTGCTGTAGTGCTGCTGCTGTTTGTTAGCTGCTGTTTGTTAGCTGCAGCTGCTGCGAGGGTTGGCAAAGCCTCTGCGATCTCTGCCGACATGCGATATTTTTCTTCCAGGAGTTTGTGCATGCAGACTGGACTGCAGACGAAGAAATTTCTTTGCTTGAAGCCGTCGCCAAGTGCGGCTTAGGGAACTGGAATGTATGCTGCTGCTGCTGCTGCATTTGCAGCCTTTTGTTTGTTTTGAAGAAGGCAGGCGGTAGAAGCTGTATCGTGAAACGGCTCACGTGTGTGTCTAGAGTATCTCAATGTGGAGAGCCACGTATGTATGTATGTCTGTAGATACACATCTATATCTGTATGTACATCTATATATACAGATACGTCTATGTATTTGTATACGTCTATCTGTGCATACACATCTATATATTTGTATACGTCTATATCTTTATACAAATCTACATATTTACATACATCTATATATATAGGTACGTCTATATATTTGCATACATCTATATATTTACATACATCTATATATTTGCATACATCTATATCTCTATACACATCTATGTCTCTATACAAATCTATGTCTTCACATACGTCTGTGTGTACATTTGTAAGCACATGTATGCGCATACACATACCTATGAATACATGCATGTGTGTGTGTATTTTGCTGCTTTGCATGTTTCTTTGAAGCGTCTTGCGTCTGCTCTGCAGTGGGCAAGTTCTCAATGCTGCTGTGTTGTTGTTTGTCTTAGGATGTTTCTGCTGTAGTAAATCGTGTTGCCTTCCGTCCCAAGAGTCGCTTGCAGTGTGAAGCGCACTACTTTGAGGTGTACGTGGATTCCAACGGGAAGCCTACGCCTCTGTGGCAGCAGCAGCAGCAGCAGCTTTTGCTGCTGAGGAGCTTTTTGCAGCAGCACGAGCATCGCATGCAGCAGCGGCAGCAGCAGCAGGAGGAGGAGCAGGAGAAGAAGCCTGCGCAGCAGCAGCAGCCTCCCAGCTCGTCGCTCGCATCAGCTGCAACTGCAGACGATCTTCCACCCCCTGTAGAAAGTCTCCTCCTTCGTAATGCGAGTGAAGAGGCTGCTGACAAGCGCAGTTCTGCTGTCTCTCTTGAGGCAGCAGCAACGCCTTCTGCAGCAGCAGCAGTAACGCCTTCTGCAGCAGCAGCAGCTCCAGAAGCAGCAGCAGCAGCAGCTCCAGAAGCAGCAGCAGCAGCTCCAGAAGCAGCAGCAGCAGTCACACCAGAAGATCTCAACGAGGACGAGGCACTGCTCCTCGAACTAGATGCGCAAGTCTCACCCGCCGTTGGATCTGCTTCGACTGCCTCCATGTCGCTAGCTGAGTTGCAAAAGGCAGCAGAAGCGCTGCATCCTACGTGGGTGCCAGGAGTGGTAGCTGTGCAGCCTCAGCATCACTCGATCCAGGGGTAAGTGTTCAGCTCGACAGCAAGCGCTGCCTTGCGAAATCATGCGATTTTGTGTGACATCCTCCCTGCCGTGCATCGGCTGGCTATCAGGTGCTGCAGCATGCGCCGTATTCCTCCAACAAAACTACATGCTTGCCAGCCTGCATGCTTGCTTCCATCTTGCTGGTGCTGCACTTGCACGTACACTTGCTTCTGTACTTACACCTGCACATACATTTGCACTTATACCTGCACTTATACCTGTATTTACACCTGCACATACACCTGTATTTACACCTGCACTTATACCTGTATTTACACCTGCTCCTGTACTTACACCTGCACATACATTTGCACTTATACCTGTATTTACACCTGCACTTATACCTGTATTTACACCTGCTCCTGTACTTACACCTGCACATACATTTGCACTTATACCTGCGCATACACTTGGACTTGCACCTGCACATGCGCTGCAGTTACAGCGCCTATCGCGGTGACTTTGACGTGGAGTTTGACAATGAAGCGGAGCAGCTCGTGGCGGATCTGGATTTTTCTCCGAGCGAGACACCTCAGGAGCTCTTTTTGAAGGTGCAGTGTGTCGCATGCAGCACGTTGTGTCACATGGCAGCAGTGCATGTTGTTCAGCGAAGCACAGCCTGCGTAGAGCAGCGAAAAGGTCTCCTTCTTCAAGCGTGTGGTATGTGCGCTGTTGGTGCATGCAGCTGCGCGTCTTGGAAAGCTACAACTGCCGGCTAGATGAGCGGCTGTACAGAGGACGGACTGTGCTTCTTCGCGGCTGGAGCGATCCTCGACAGAGCAGCAAAGAGGCAAGTTGCCTGTGGTGGTTCGCTGCTGGAAGTGCTGTCTGAAAGGCACTGCATGCACAGGAATAGCGTGTACGTTGTTTTTTGACTCTGCGGCGAGCATTTTCACCGTCTCTTGGGGTTTTTTAGCGTCTAAAAACAGTCAACGGCTCGCTCGTGCTCCTGTTGTTGCTGCTGCTGTTTTTACCTCTGCAGAAGACTCGCTCTGCATGCGAAGCGTCGCTTGCCGAGCGACTTCGCCCGCTGCAGCGCTTCCATTCGGCAGCAGCGCATGCGGCGCTGCTGCGGCTGCTTTCCGTGCATGCAGAGGCTGCGACGAGGTGTGCTCTCCTCAGGGAGTGGCGGTCGTTGGGACTGAACACCCTTCAATCCGTACGAGTAAGTGGCTTTAAGGGTTCGTTTTTGCGGGAAAAAGGAGGGGGAAAGAGGGCAGAAGGTGAGACGAAGAACAAGAAAGAGGGGAGGAAGAAGGGGAGGGGGAGTAATTGCGCAGGCACAAGAATACGTTGGCGCTTAGGCCTTATTGGGGAGGCTTAGCGTGACGGCAGAAGAAAAAGTGCCTTGTTTAGAGAATTTCGAGCTTTTTCTTCCTTCCTGGATGCTCGTTCTCAGGCATATGAAGCAGAAAAGACGGCAAAAAAATCCCACATTACTGCAAATGCATATCTGGCAGCCGTCGTGCCGCGCGAGCAGCAGCAGCAGCAGCAGCAGCAGCAGCAGCAGCAGCAGCAGCAGCAGAAGGAGAGACACCTGTTCTCAGCAGACACCACCCCAGCAATATCCCCCTACTGCCCCCTCAAAACGCATCCAGCAGCACTCCCAGCAGCTGGAGCAGCAGCAGCAGATGCTTCCTCAGCGAAAGATGCATGCGATGCTGCTGCAGCCTCTACGCGGAGCAGCAGCACGCCTGAGCACAAAGAGCAGCCCAAACAGCAGCAGCTGGATGCAGCTCCTTCTGTACCTGCGCAACCCCACAGCAGCAGCAGCAGCATTACCACCAGCAGCAGCACTACCAGCAGCAGCAGCAGCAGCATTACCACCAGCAGCAGCACTACCAGCAGCAGCAGCAGCAGCAGTAGTGGTGACGAAGAGGTGTATTTGCAGCGAAAAGATGAAGAGTTTTGTAGATCGCTAAACATTCCCCCGCTGGTGTATTTGCTCTTGACAACGGCCCTTGCCAAACAAATGACTATGACACCGACAACTTCCAGTGCCTCACGCAGTAAGCTGCTTCTGTTGCTGCTGCTGCTACTGATTGTTTTGCTGCCCGCATATCAATCGTAGTTTCTCAGTGTTGGCGCAAGTGCTCCTCTACTGATGCAGCACGAACTCCGGCTGCTGCTGCTGTTTCAGCTGACACAGCTGGAATAGCAAATGCATCGTATGTGTGTGTATGTGTGTATATGTGTATGTATGTATATATATGTGTGCATGTGTATATTTGTGTGTGAATATTTGCATGTGTATGTGTATATTTGTATGTATGTGTATCTGTGTGAAAATTTATGTATGTATACGTGTATTTATGTATGTATATGTGTATGTGTGTTTGTGTATGTGTATGTATGGATATGTGTATGTATGTATGGATGTGTGTATTTGTATGCGTGAGTATCTGTATGTATATGTGCATTTATATATGTATGTATATGTGTTTGTACCTATGTATGTATATGTGTATGTGTGTATGTGTACGTATGTATGGATATGTGTATGTATGTATGGATGTGTGTATGTATGTATGGATGTGTGTATGTATGTGTATATTTGTATACGTGTGTATCTGTGTGTGTAGCTCTATATGTGTAAAACGTGCGTATGTATCTATGGATATGTGCATGCATATGTTTGTATGTGTGTGCTATGGGGCTTTTTTGTAGATCTGTGGAACTTTGACGTTCGGCTGAATGTTCAGCAGCAGCAGCAGCAGCAGCAGCAGCAGCAGCAGCAGCAGCAGCAGCAGCAGCAGCAAACTCGCGATGCGGCAGCAGAGGCTCCAAGTACAGCGCGAAGGCTTCCGCCGTTGCAGCTGCGTGAGGCGCAGCATCAGCAGCATCAGCAGGAGCAGCAGCAATACGGCAGAGGCTTAACGCAGCAGCAAGGGGGAACTGCTGCTGCTGCTGCTGCTGCTGCTGCTGCTGCTGCTGCTGCTGCTGCATCACCGCTGCTGACGACAGTCGCAGCTCCCATGAAACGGAAGCAAGCAAATGCTGTCGAGCTAGCAGCTGCAGCAAGCAACAAAGAGCTGATGTACTTTGCTTGGCTAGCTTCCCAGCTGCCGAATGTGAAGGGGATCACGTACGATGCTGCCTCTGCAGCGTGGACTGTGCAGCTCAGCTCCTCAGATCTACCGCAGCAGTCACAAATCCAGCAGCAGCAACAGAAGCAGCAGCGAGAGGGGGAAGACGTGGGTGCGGCGAAACTCGCAGGCAGCAGCTCCCCTGCAGCGTCGTCTGTCACTGTGTCGTCTGCAACAGGTGCATCATCGAGCAATAGCAGCAGCAACTGCAGCAACGCGCAGTCTTTTAGTGTTGCTGTATACGGATTTGAGGGGGCTTGGCAGCGTGCATGCGCCATGAAAAAGGCAGCAGCAGCAGCAGCAGGACGGACTGACGTCGTTGCTGCAGTTCAAGCGGCTGCGGATGCTGCTGCAGCACTGTATGCGCATGCAGATCTCTCGGCAGAAGCAGCACAGAGCAGCAGCTATCCCCCCGGCTTGGCAGCAGCAGTGGACAGGGTAGTTACAGCAAGCGACCTCGCCACGAGGGCAGCAGCAGCAGCAGCAGCAGCAGCAGCAGCGGCGCGCATGCACAGCAGCTCTCTGCGGTAGCCGATGGCGAGGATGCAGCAGCAGCGACGCTTAGAAAGTCTTCGCCGATGGAGATGGCTGGTGCTTTGCAGCAGCCTTCTCCATTCGCGCAGCCTCCAGCAGCAGCAGCAGCAGCGGCTGCTGCTGCTGCTGCTGCTGGCGGTAGTTTCTTCGGATCCTTCCTCCCTGCTGCTGCAGAGCAGCAGCAACGAGCAGCAGCCGCTGCAGCAGCAGCCGCTGCAGCAGCAGCAGCGCAGCAGCAGCAGCGTTTCGCAGCAGCAGCTGCTGCGGGGCAGCAGCTGTCGTTCAGTGTGCGTCAGCAGCTGCAGCAGCAGCAACTGCTCTTGCTGCAGCAACAGTTACAGCAGCAACAGGCGCTGCTGCAAAAGCAGCAGCAGCAGCTGCGATCCCCACAAGAAGCAATCGCAGCGGGGGGAGTTAAGGGAACACAGAAGGATTTGCAGCAGCAGCAGCAGCAGCAGTTGCGGCAGCACCAGCCTTGGCTGATGCTGTCGCCAAATGCTTTCGCTGCCTCTCCCCAGCAGCAGTTGCTGCTGCACCCGTTGCTTCAGCTGCAGCAGCAGCACATGCTGCAGCAGCAACATATGCTGCGGCAGCAGCAGCACATGCTGCAGCAGCAAAACATGCTACGGCAGCAGCAGTGGAGGCAACAGCAGATCCTGCAGCAGCAGCAGCAGTCTGTACAGCAGCAGCAGTCTGTACAGCAGCAGCAGTCTGTACAGCAGGGGCAAGACTCCGCTCAATCCTAGATGCAGATGAATTGGCAGCAGCAGCAGTAGCAGCACTTAGCGTGAGACTAAGAAGTGGTGTGTTGCCGAGCAGCATGGCACGAGCACAGAACGACCACGCGAGAGATTTCTGCACTGCTCTGTCTCTCTCTCTCGTCCTTTTCTTTTGTCGATCTTTGAAAGCGCAACTGCTTATGCCACTGCATGTAAAACACGCCTTTCTCGTGAGGGATGGTGGTAATTTGTCTAGGCATGCAGCGGCAGGCTGGCAGCGAGAGAAGCAAGCTCCTCGAGAGGGCATATATGTGCAAGTTTCTCGAGAAAGTGCACATATATATGCGTGCATGCAGTCAAGTAGTGTGGCTCCTGTGGTGTTTAGCGGGGAGTCATTGTGCAGCAGCTACGTCTGCCACGCGCGATTCTAGCCAAGTGTCTGGAGAGATTCTAGCGGTGGGTGGCTGTGCCAATAGCAGACGCATGCATGGGCTTTCGTCTTGCGTTCTGGCAGCAGCAACGAAGCGGCAACTGGATTCACGCAACGAGTCGATCAATGGCAGCGTTTAGATTGCCACTGCATGCCTCTAGGGCCCTACATTGCAGCAGCCACAGACACGTCGCAGAACCAGACATTTGTGGTGTATGTACACACACACTTACACACACAATAAATCTCGAGAGGCAGCCGCAGGCACGCGGAGCTGCTGCGCTGTCAACACACCCCAGCATCGTCGAACTGCCAACGCAGCAGCACTTACTCGATGTTTCTCTGAACGTCGGTAAAGCCCATGGCATGCAACTGCTGCAGCTGAAATGAATATCGCTGCTCTGGTGTCTGCTGCTGCTGCTGCTGCTGCTGCTGCTGCACCTGTTGCTGTTGCTGAACTTGCTGCTGCTGCTGCATCTGCATGAGAGATGCGGCTGCTGCTGCTGCTGCTGTTGCGAAGGCCCCTATTCCTGGAGAATCCGATGGTGGGGTTGTTGTTGCTGCGGATTCAGCAGCAGCATTCTGCGGGGTGAAGGCGGCAATAAAGCCGTCGAGCTCACGCAGCTGCTGCTGCAGCTGTTGGTGGACCCTTTCTTCGCTTTCCACATCGTACAAGGAGAAGTAGAGGAAATTTTCTGTCGTTGCGTGCTCCTGCTCGCCGTCGTCGGCTGTTGCTGGAGCTGGCTTGAACCCTATGAGCGCCAGTGCCTCTCTTCCACCTTGGATCCGCAAGACTTTGGAGCGGAGAATTTCATTCGACAAGTCGAGGCGGAGATGCTTCTGCTGCAGCTCGCTTTTCGGCTTATTGATATTGTTGATGAGCGTTTTGATCGCGAGCAGGAAGACGCGTTTGCTGCTGCTCACGATCGTTTGCGATGTGCAAACGTTGCGCAACACCTCTCCGAAGGGAGAAGGGGTGGCAGCAGCCTGCAGTCGCTCCTCTCGCAGCTGCCGATCAGTGCGCGTCTGCTGATTTCGCAGCTGAGCAGCAGTCCAGAGGGTTGACTGACCAGCAGCCATGGCGGCTTGTTGCTGCTGTTGCTGCTGCTGCTGCAGCATGGGCAGTAGCATGCGACCCACTGGAGTTTCCGCGATCTCTTGAACCTGATTCGTTATGTATTGCGGAAGGCTTTTGCCGAGCAGAAACTGGCAAAATTCTGCGCGAACAGCGCCGCAAGAGGAGCGTGCGAGCAGCGGCAGCCATCGGAGCTCTTGAAAGCAGCCAGCGAGGCTTGCTCGGCTGGCGGCAAACAAAGGCGCTCACGCAGCGTTGGTTGCGCCGTGCGAAGAGCGAAACGCAGACGCGTTCATGACGGGAAAACAGAGGCTAACCTTGGGTAAAGTGATTGCAGTTGTTGTGCAGCAAGTCATAGGTGTCTGCCGTAAAACGCGGCGAAACCTCGTTGACGAAGCTGAGCAATTCCCACAAACACCCCAGTCGTGCAGGCACGCAATGCGCATACAGCAGACACCGCAACACGGAGGCAGCGGTGGTGCTTGCAGCTCAAGCCGCACGTCCCTACCGCCGAATCTCCTCCAGTGTCTTTGTGGTGGTGCCGAGAGTCTCGATTTTCGAAGGTTTCATTTGGAAATTCGCTTCAATTTCCCACGGAACCATGGCTATGATGCCCCCGCCTGCAGCAGTCACAGTTCACACGCCGACACCCCTGCCCGATGAGTGGCTCTGCCAGCATGGGAAACGAGGAATCTTGCACAATTATAAAATAAGAACGCACCGTAGAAGTACTCGAGCTCATTAATCTGAATTCCGCTGTGCCAGACGCCTTCAATGGGGCGACCCAACAGCATCGAGCCGAAGCGGGAAGCCCTGTACGTACACCGCAGCACACCATGCAACAAAGCGGCCGCGCTAGACTTCCCCCCGCCAGCCGGCAGTCCTTTTGGAAAGCTTATCTTCACTTCTGAACCGTAAGGCTCACATTCCTCTGCTGATATCGTAAACCCTCAGAATCACGGGAGTGCTGCCGCCGCCGCTCGCCATCCTGGCTGCTAGGACTAAGACTTGCTGCTGGCGTTCTGCCGAGTGCCACAGATGAATGCCGTAGATGCTGCTTCCGTTCGCGATGACGCGACTTGAACTGCCGCCGTTGCTGCCGGCTCTGCTGCGGTGCTGGAGGTCTGATGGGAGATAGGCAGCCGCAAGTGTTGCTGCTGGGCGCTGTGCAGCCGCTGCAAGTGCCCAGCTGCGGCCCCTAAATGCGTGGGTGGAAGAGTTTTAAAGAATTAACGAGGATTTTCATCGGGGCTGCGCTGACAGGAGGAGCAGGCAGCCCGCTTGTTTCGCTGTTACAGCCGCTGCAGCAGCGCACTGATGGTCGGCGGCGCATGCAATGTTGAGGCAGCTTTTTCCACTTGGCCAGTTGTCTTCACTGGTGGTAGGAGGAATAATGCAACGCTTCCCGCTAAAATACAGGATCTCCATGGATGCGTGCGTCGCATATGTTCATACATCCCACAGAGCAGGAAGTGCACGGCGCCAGAGCTCCTCATGGCTGCGTTGTGTAGCAGCAGCAGATTGAAGACAGCCGCGCGAGTCGCACACTCACACACACACACACGCGACTTGGTCACGCTGCTTGGACCTCTACACAGTAGAACTGTTCGATTACTGCAGCACAATTAGCTGCCTCTTCTGTCGCGAACTGCTCTCTGCGCAACACAAGTGCAGCAGAAACGACAACAGCAGCATGTGCCTGTTGGCATCCATTTTAGAATTCGTGCTCCTGGCGCTGCTTCTTTCAGTACTGCTGCTGTTGCTGCCAATTCTTCTCATTTTCCCGCTGCTTATTGCCATGTGAGTCTCACACACAGCGCCAGTCTCTGCAATCCCATGCACGCCCAAGCCTTCCGTTCAAGTCGACAGCTTCCCTCCCTGCAAGCGCAGCAGCCGCAAGAATGGCAGATGCACCAGAAGCCGCAGCCGCTGCAAGTGAGAACTCGCTGCTGACGCCGTCGTCGCCACATCACCCACCCTCTTTCTCCGAGACAGACTTCAAGCAGACTGATGACGCCTGCAGCAGGCGCAGCAGCAGCAGCAACAGCCTGCAGCAACACAGCCCATGCAGCATCAGCGTGCCGCTCTTCAGTCCCCGCAGCAGCGACGGCAGCGGCAGAAGCCGAAATCTTGGCAGCAGCAAGAGCAGCAGCAGCAAGAGCAGCGGCAGCGGCAGCAGGTCGGATAGCAGGGAGCTGGCGAGCAGCAGCAGAAGCAGCGCTTTCGAGCAACCTCAGCAGCATGACGAGCAGCGACTCCTACATGCATTGGATGAAGCTGAACGACTTGCAAGCCACACGCTAGACGCCATGCAAGAGAAGCACGACACGCCGCTGCAAGAAGGCGTTTCCGAGCATGGAAGACACCAGTGGCTGCCACCCCTGCAGCCTTCATGGAATCTTCTCGCGCATTTCCGCGCGCTTCGCAACTTCAAAGGCAAGGGTTTCAAAATGGAGAGGGTTTTATTTCATTGCATTCATTTTATTCGTTTCAAGTTTTGCTGCCTCATGCATCATATGCGGTGCCTGTATGGACACTTGTTGTGTGGGCGCGTTTCAAGAGAAGACATGACTTCGGCGCGCGTGTGTAGAGGGTGGTGCATGTATGCATGCATAAATGCGTGCATAAATGCATACATGCATGCATAAATGCATACATGCATGTATTCTTTCATACGAAGCAGCCGCTAATCGTGAGCGCTCGTGCTGATCGCTGAGAAGGCATTTCCGAAGGATGCGTTAGAATATTCAGGATGTGGGATGCAATTTTTGCAGTTCGCGTTCATTTGACGGCAGTAGGAGAGGCTCCACGCCTGCGGCTTAGCGGCTTCATCGTGGATGGAGGCGAGCGCTTCGATGCCATCATCTCATTTTTGCAACGCGCGCTCAAGAGGAAAACGATAGTGGGCAACTGTTTGCTTATTCAGAAGTGTCATCATTGAAGGAGAAAAGGGGAAACTGGAAAAAGAGACAGTTGTTGCTGCGTCCGTGCAACTGTGCAAGTGCTGTCAACTCCCCTGCTGGCGGCAGCCGCACTTTGCAGCTGCCAGCATTGCGATGATACAACGCGAGCTCTTGCTCGCAGCGGTAGCCACTCTGCTGCTGCAGTAGCTGTTACCCCTCCTTCTCCCCTCTTGATTAGTTGGTGGTGATGTTTGCTGCCTCGGAAGCAGCGTCGTTGCCTGTATGCCAGGGTGCTCCTCTTGCCGCTGTCAAGAGTAACTCGCATGCTTTGAATTAGCGGAGCACGCATCGTCTTTCTCCCTGTTGCTGTCTGTGTGTGCGTTGCAGCACGTCTACTTGAATAGCTCCTTCAAACCGCAGCCGAACGAATATATAGCGGATCTCTATCAAGTCAGCTCTCCTGAGAATCTTTGAACCCAACCTGGTTTTCTCGAACCCTCGAAAAAAACTCTTGAACGAAGCTTAGCCATTAAGTCTTCTTGTGCGCCATGCGCCTGCTGCAGAAATTCGCCGTAGGCAACCGGCTGCTCATTGCGTACAGCTACACGCCTGCCTTCTAAGCCGAGGCGGCAGCAGCGCAGATGCTGCAGCTTTTGCATGCGCACTGCTGCAGCTGCCAGGTGCTGCATTCGACGGCCTATATTAAGCGCCTTTCGAGCTAAGCAGACTCTACGAAGCACGCGCAAGCAATCCGCGTAAGAAAACACACCTACAAAAAGTTGCACACAGTTTCTCTAAAGCGCAACCGTCATCGCGCTCAGAAAGCTTTGCGGGCGGCAGCCACTGTACTGCCAGAGAGATAGGCACCGTCTGCAGCTCTTTCATGACGGCAAAGGGAGGATGTAGCTCCTTGTCTCCCCGCCGCAGCACTGTGAACGGCAAGAGCGTGATGCCTGCTGGAATGAGGTTGTTGCGTGGGTAGGCTTCTAGTTGTACGGTTCAAATAATCTAACTGCAGCGGCAGTATCTGCTGCACCTTTTGACTGCGCTTAAACCAGCCCCCACAGCACACCTCTGCGGGTTGTGACAGTCGAAATAGCATGCAGCGGCACCCAGGAAAACAACAATTCACGCACACACACACTACTGCCCCTTGCCGGCTAGACTCTCCGTCTTTTTCTAGGCTTTCTAGCGTTCAAACCACACGTAGGAAGCCTCGGGATGTGCGTCAGCTTCGTGACTTCAATCTTGTGCGAATGAAGTGCTCTAACCACGTCTGCTATCCTGCTGATCCGCCGAAAGCGGACCGACGTCGCAAAGACACCCAGACGCTTCATCTTTCGAGCAACGTTTTCACCGATCCGAAAGGCGCATGCGGACGACTGTTGGGCGCTTTTCCGCATGCCAACATTGCCTGAGCACATATATATATACATATATATATATATATACATATACATATATATATATATACATGCACAGAGGCAGGCAGACATGCACATTCATACCCAGGCACATATACATACATACGCACAGGCACACCTACATATACATGCACACTTACACATACACTTGCACAAATCCATGTACCTATAGACTTCCGCATCCATACATACATAGACATAGATGTATACTTCATACTTATACACATAGATCCATACACAAATACACATCGATACATGCACATACACCCGCACATCGATCGAGGCAGAGCCGTACAAAGCCCTTCCACCAAACACGCCGGAAACTTGCCTCAGCACTTGATGGTTCAAATGCTGAAAAATGGAAGCTTCTGAGCTTCCCACGCCAAAAAACCGCTTGTTCTCGCGGTAGGCGGCGATTGCGTCATTGAAACAGTGAAGATTCTGGAAAGTCATGGATGCATTCTTGCGACAAAACGTCATCCGCCGCCAATTCGTTTTTCGCTACCCAGGGAGACTCTCTCTGCCCGTCGAAGTCTGGTGTCGCATGCATGGTGTCTGCGAGGCACTAACCTGCAAAGGAAGCAAAGACAGTCCTATTGCCGTTGCTGGTATTCAGGAGAACGCAGTGCACATTGTTTTTGGACGAAGTGACGCAGAGGCTGAAGGTGTCTGTTGGCTCGAAGATCCTCTTGTTGCGGTTTCTGTCAACATTGTGAAACTCTTCCTTATTGCCAAACAGCTGGAAGCGCCGCAAGTGCCCCTGAAAGGCGCGTCGCTCTTTTCGACTGAGCTGCTGCTTCTGCTGACCACTGCCAAGTCTGCCTGCAGCTGAGGCAGCCGCTTTCCTTGAGCTGGAAGCTGCTGCGGCTGAAGGCAGCGGTCGAGAACTTGCGGCTGCGGCTGCTGTGGCTGCCGCAGCTCGTGAAGAAACAACCTTGCACGAGAGCGCTTGATGGTGGGCATGCGTTTGCAGAGCCACGCTGCGCTTCAGGCTGTTTTCGTAGGCACTCTTGATGCTGCCGAGAGCCGCTGCAGCCGCAGGGGATAGGCTGCCCCTCCTTGCAGAGGTTGCTGCTGCTGCTGCTGCTGCTGACGCCGCCTCTACTGCAGCTTCGCCCTCTGGAGCCAACGAGGACGAGGAGAAGAACAGCTGCTGCCGCCTTCCTCGGAGGCGCAGGAAGCGGAGAGGAGGGGCCGAAGACACTGCATGCCTGCAAGTCGCCGTTGCTGCTGCTGTGCCTGCTGCTGCTGCTGCGGAAGCGCTGTCGAGGCTGAAGCTGCTAGGAAATCCCCGCGATCTTCCCGTGGACGAACAACAAGTCGGCGTCGCTGTTGCTGCCGCTGCTGGAGCCACGCGCCAGAAGGCGCAAGACGGTAGGCGTGTGCAGAGGAAAGGCAGCATTCGACGGCGGGAGGGAGAGCTGACTCGGCCGCATCTGCATGCATCTGCGCGCGCAGGGAAAATGGGGTTTTCCACTTGCCAGACCACCGCCTCCCTCGAAATAAAATGCGAGAAGCTGCTGAACTCGAAAAAATTCGCGCATCAGGAGGCACACGGCACCCCAAGCGCAATGAACAGTCCCACGGCTTCTGGGCAGCGCCAATGTCGAGACACGCGCGTCCACCAGTGCGCCTTTGTGCAGCGTAATAGTTCACGTTTTTCGCTTTTATGATGACTTGTCAGACGATGCGCCGCGAAGGCGGAGGCTTGTCACTCTGCTCTCAAGCGCAGTAAATCCCCGAGAGCCGAGGCAGGCACTCAGAGCCAGTAGATTTTCGCGGGGAAACAAGCCGAAGCTAGGCTGACGGCTTTTTTGCCAGCACACGCTGCGCTATATCTGAGGAGTGCTGCAGTATGCACCGACTCACACCCTCGGGGAGTCCGTTCACTTCGCACGGTTGCTGCAAGAGGTCGCGGCATCGATGCGTCGGCTGCCTGCGGCATGAATAATTGCGTCTGCAAAGTCTGGAAAACTGCAGCTTCCATGGGTGTACACAAATTCCGAGGGAATATGAAAGTCGGAGGCAGCGTGCTCATGCACCGTTGCAGCTGTCTGTCTACCGCTCGCGCCACTGTGTGGCGTCGCGAGGCTTTTGAACTGGCCTAGCTCCGCTTTAGCACTTGCCCCCCTCTCCCCGCCCACTGGTTGAGTTCAGCGAAAAACTAGGGAAGAATAGACGCACTGCTGTGGTGCTCGTGTGTCTTATCAGCACTGCAGAGCGCCACTAGCTTGGAACGAAGAGGCGCAACGCTGTGAAACGCGCGCTTGCTACGGGCTGCGTGCAACTGGTCGCTCACCCCCGACCTGCATAGAGGAAGCGGCTGCCTCACTCCTCACGTTGGGATCTGTGAGGGTTGCGGGAAGGGGAGAGGTACAGGAAGTTTTTTCGGAAACTCCAAACCGGCGTTAATTATGCTTTCATTGAATATGACGCGCCAAGTTCCTCCCTACAGAGAGCGCGAAGAAGCGTTCCATGTGGTGCGTGCACGCCGAGCAGAGCATGAACACAGGTCCATGTCTTTCCTCCGTAAATGTTTGACTCCATGTGATGACGCCCCATGGAGGATCAGCAGGAAAGCCGCCTCTTCAAGCCTCTACGGCAGAGGGCGGGTGGTTAAAAGAGACTCGCAGCGCCTTCAAATAGTCTAAAGCGCTTCCGAAGCCGCTTTTTCTGCAGTTCACCGACGGACTGCCGGCAGTCTGTCCGTCGAGCCACGGCGGGGTGTGCCAGCGCTGCTGCAGATGGCGAGGAGCTGCCTTGGGAGCTGCTCGTTCCGTCGTCCTCTTTTTAACGATAAAAACTAATCTCGCTTTCGCTAACTATGCCTAAAACATAGACCGCAGCGCTGCTCGCTGATCAAAGGCGCTCGCGCGGTGCGCCCACACCTGGCGGCAAGGCAAGCGTGGCTGAACTATCTGACAGCAAAAAAGCTCGGTGCCGTGCAACCAGCCATCTTGAGAGGCTTCGTGGTAGCAGCAGCTCACGTGTAGATGCACGAGGTGCGTCACTGAACTGCAGGGGCTGCTCTCTGAGAGGCTGACGAGCAAAATCTGCGCACCAGCCGCGACAAGAAGGCAAGGCTCGGGGAGGCGCACTGACTAGAAGAGCTAAGCGACTACTTCGCGCTTCAGGATTTCGTACTCCGGCTCTTCTTGCTCTGATTCGCTGCCTTCAGGAAGGAGCTGCTGTTGCCGCTCCTGCTGCAACAACCAGTAAGGACAAGTTTCATCCGAGGAGTACTTGCAGGATTCCTTGTAGAAGGCGGTAGCTCGCACGTTGCAGCGCAAGACGGTGCACATGATCTTTTTCAGGTGTATGGGCAGCAGCGCCTCTGGTGTTGCTCGTGCCGCCTCCGAAGCATCCCCTGCCGCTGAGGCGACTTCCTTGACTTTATGCGCTTTGCAGTCGAAGCGCAAGTGCTGCAGCTTTGCGTTCAGTTTTCTCACAGACACTTCAAGCAGAAGCATCAAACGCCGGCCCACTGAACGAGATTGGTAGGCGCTCTGAAAACACCAGACATCAGAAATCCTGAGACGTTTCTAAGCAACAAGCGCAAGAGAAGAACCCGTGCTTCTGGCAGAAACCTCATAGACGTCCAAAACACCACACACAGAGAGAGAGAGAGAAAGCGAGGAGAGCTGTACACTCTCAGTCCTCAAAGCCTCCATCCGAATTCCGCAAACGCCAAACTCCTCTCCACAGTCGCCAAGCTTCGAACCCTAAAGTTTTGCCTTACTTTGGTTTGCAACTCGTACAGGTAGACTACCGGCTGGCTTTCTTCAACTTCAAAACGAAAATGTAGAAAAGCAACTAGCGGGAGTTTTACGGCTTCCCCTACTGCACACAAACACATGCACACACACACACAAATACATACAAATCCACACACACACATACACACATACAAATCCACACACACATACAAATCCACACACACATACAAATCCACACACACATACAAATCCAACATGGTGAACCTCCGCAGCTCTTGCGGGTACTCTGCCGTTTCGCAATCGAGACAGCAAACGAAAGCGTATCCAGACGGCAAGGCGTACGCGTTGCGGCGCTGCCTTGAAAGATGATCCAGAACTGCGCGTCTGGGTGCCTGAGCTCGTCCTCCTTCTTTTCATCCTCCCATCCAACCCCCAGAAAACGGCTTTGCTTGTACATGAGCTCCATGTTTTCCTTTGTTAGAGCGAACAGACGTTGCAGAAGGCCCTCGCCATAGCCGCTTTCCGGCTGCTGCAGGCCTGTGCTGCCGCACTCGAACACAACGCATTCCAATTCGTCCATGCAGCCTTTCCTACAGACGAAAGAAGTCTGCCCTCGCTCGAGAAGAGGCAGCCTGAGAGTCGCTTGCTGCACTGCCGCCTTCGCAGCAGCTTCTGCCGCGTCCTGCAGCAGCCGCTTCAGCTTCTTCTCCTTCGCGTGGCTCTGCGCTTTTGCACCCAGCAACCTCGCGTCTTTGGAGCCATGGCTGCGGGGGGAGCTCCCCATGAGCGGATGACTCGGCATCGCTGCGCTTGTGGCTGAAATTCGCCCCTTTATTTGTATCTGTGCGTGTTCGTGCGTCTGTGCAGCTAAATCTCCCTGCGCTGGTGCAGTCAGAATTCAGGAGCTGCAACGGACTGCGTCGGGACCGCACCGGATGACGAACCTGAGGCTCTCCCTTTCGACGTAGCGTCGACAGCAAATTTCGAGGCACCAGACACACAGCAAGCCAGAAAAAGCCGGCGGAAACGGCACCTTTTGAAGCCCGGCTCCCCCGGTGCAACAACAACCCCACCCGCCGATGAACCGTTCAAGGGTTTCGGGGGCTCAAGTGTTAGGTCTGAGCTCGGCGTATCGGTCAAATACAAAAACTGCGGCGCTTTCTAATTAACATTCAAAAAAAACCAGGCTGCCGGCCTCCTAAAGCCTTAGCCATTGGTTCAGTCGCTTGAGCCGTGCGCGACGGATAGCAGAGGAGCCGATGCGGCTGCGTTACCCCTCACAGAGTTCAAAGGCCTCCTCGATAGCCTAGACGTCGAAGAACAGAAGCATGTAGGCAGCGGAGTTGCTCAGAATTTACGGCTGAAAGGCCTTCTGTTCAGGCAGTACAAAGTGTGCCCTCGAGAATCGATGCTGCTGCGACGTGGAAGGGCCCTTTCGTGTACATGCAGCCCGAAGGCATGCGGATATTTTTGGCGCTGAACTCCTTCTTCTCGGCGTTCCTTCCTTCGAATTCTCAGCGTCTCCGCCTTTTTTAGCGCTCAGGTCTAGGTATCTCTCGGAAGGAGGGGTTAGGGTGGCAGGCTGCTCGCGTCAGGCAGCTCGCGGGAATGCGACGGGCAGCGGCGCGCAATTGCGAGGGCCTCTCTAGCAGCAGCTCTGTCGAGAGAATACCAAAGCCATACAGCAGAGCGGCGGCTGAAGATCAGCTGAGCAGGAGGCGCAGCAAGAGTTAATCCGTTGCGCCAGGCGCAGCGGCACCCGCCGGCACAGCTTCTGCACAACTGCAGGCGTACAACTGCCTCCCCTTTTTTTCTGCAACAGCCACCCAAACGACAACGAGCGAGGCTATGGGAAACAGGAAGAAGCGTCGGGGCCTGGGCTCTGTGCTGTCTGCACTGAAAAAAACAGAAGCGTCGCACCTCAAGCGCTCAGTTGCAGAATCTGAAATCCACTCTAAAGAGCCTTCAGCGAGCCAACAGCCCGAAATAGCCGACCTTCCCGAGGCTGTCGCATTGGACTGCGAAATGGTCGGCTGTGGAGATGACGGCAGAATCTCGGTACTGGGTACGACGCCCTCCTTTTCGCACACACACACCCCTTTTTTAACCCCAAAAAGGCGCGTTCTAAGCCTTCCCCTAGGATTCTCAGCGTCTCAGTGGCTACCTTCGAGAGTCATTGGCTCCTAAGACTTCGCCTACGGCGACGGTGTGTATGAAGAGGGCCTATGCATTGGAATGTGTCGTGCGTGCGTCGTGACACCCCTACGCTCTGGAGTGCATGTATTGTGGATATGCATGTTCTTGCTGCTGCAGCCCAAGTGGCGCTCGTCAACGAAAAGGGGGAAACGCTAGTGAACGAGCTCGTCAAACCACAGCTGCCCGTTACCGACCTCAGAGCGCACATCACCGGTAATTGCACACCAGCAAGCGCCTAGAAAATCACCTCTCTATCGCGAGAAAGGGGCACTGCAAGAGCCGCGCGCACTGCCGAAGAGAACAAGGCAGTCGTGTCATTCGCTTCTTCTTGAGCGGTAGACGAAAACCTGTTCGCAAGTTGCGGGCTAGGCACCGCCTGCGTGTGAGTGAGTGGGTGTGCTTGCTTGCTCGCTTGTGCGCGTAAACGGAGAAGGAAATTTCGAGTGCTTTCGGCGCTGGGATGTGGTGGCTTCAGGCTTAGATTTGTGGTCGCTAGAGAATCGCGGGATATCTTTTTCTGCGGCTCGGAGTTTGATTCAGTCGAAGATCAAGGGCAAGATTCTCGTTGGTCATGCGATTCACCATGACTTGCAGGTATTCCTCAGAGGGCGAGCGCTGGAGCTCGCAGAGCGCACGCAAGCGGCGCATTCCCTGCCGCGCCGACAGTAGCAACCTGCCGCGCGTCGAGACGAGGCTGCTGGCTGCCACACGAACTCCCGCTGCGCGCCGTCTCTGGCTGAGCCTCCTGTGCAGGAAGGCAGAATCGCTGCCGCTGCCGCTGCCACTCTGGCGCGCGTTCGGGTGTAGCCTGCCGCGTGTTTTCTGGGCTCAGTAGCCGCCGCTGCGTGTGTAGTGCTGCGAGGCTTTTTGCGCAGGTGTTGAATTTAACGCATCCGCTGCACTTGCTGCGAGACACCAGCAAGTACCGCCCTCTACGCCCTCCCTTTCTGCGCCCTCTGGCTTCTCCCTCTCTGCGGCTGCTCGTGAAATACCACTTGAAACGCGACATTCAGACGGGGAAACACGACCCCGCCGAAGACGCACGAGAAACGATGAACCTGTACTCCCTCGTGAGAGAGCAGTGGGAAAGGCGCTTCGCGGCGGCTGCGCGCGACACTGCTGCTGCAGCGAGCGCCTCCCCAGAAGAAGAGGCTTCGGCTGTTCCCGATGAAGGCGCCTCCCTCCTGCCGCTCGAGGGCGAAGAAGAGGGCTCGCGTGGCGGCGCGCAGCGCTCGCAGCAGCAACGCGAGACACCGCCACCCCAGCTTGTGCTGCATCGGGGAGCCAGGAAGAAGCGGAAGCGGCGAGAACCGCATGAATACTATCTAGACTAAGTGCACTGCTCAGGGTGGGCTTCTAAGGGAAAGGCAGGAGAGCGGAGGAGGGGAGAAACAAGAGGCCGAGGGCTTTTTTTCTCGCCTTAACCCTGCGTTTGCATGCATGCATGCTTGCATGCGTGCATGCAGGCGTGCATGTGTACATATAGCGGCGTGGCATCAAGTCTTTTTACGCAGAGCTCGCTAAACGCACTGTGCTGCGGCATTTTCCCCCCCCAAACTCGCAAGACGCGACTGCGCCGTGTGCAGCACTAGCTAGCCAGTCTTCGCTATTGGTGGCAACGACTTAATCCACGAAAGGCGAAGGGAGGCTTGCCTCCCGCAGCTTCGCCAATAGCGCCATGAACAAAAGCAAAACGCCGCCTCACTGCTAGCCACCAAAAGCCGTTACTGGCCAGCTCGCACGGGTATGTACCCCGCCGCATACAGCACGAGTCTACTCGCCGCTACAGCGCGAGCTTGACTCTTCTACTGCAGCTGATGCGTCTTAACAACGCTGCAGCCCTAAGGGTGGCGTTCCTGCATCCCTGCGGGCAGGTGCACCAGCGTGTGTTTGCCGCGCAAAGAGCAACTCGCTGCTGCCGCAACTCGGCGAGCGCATGGAGGCTTCCACGCCTGTTGCATCTGTTGGTGCAAGTATTCGCAGTAGCAGGGATGCGGGGAGGAAAGCGGGAAGGAGGGAGGAAAGGCAGCTGCTGCCAGCTGCAGGAAGGAGGCGAACTCGAGCGGCACGCGCCGCTCAGGCGTATTGAGTGTCTGGCGTGGCGATGTACGGCTTGTGCTTCGCGGGAAGTCTGTCTTCGGCAAACGCGTAGCCTTTCTGCAGCTTGTCTTGATCCCATCTACGCAAACAAGCACAAACATTGCCATGCAAGCGACACCACTATGCATGCACAGGAGGGAGGCGCGCCTTAAGAAGGTTCAAAATCGAAGAGCGGTCAGGTGGGCGGGCAGGTGGGGTGTACGAACAGCGCGCAGTCCGTACTTGCACTGACGCCACTCTTGAAACCACTTGACGCATTTTGTGCTTGCTGTCTCCGGATCCTGCACACATATACAAGTGCACAACTCTTAAGTCTGCACATGGCTTTAAACGCATGCCCCTAATTAAGAAGTGTTCTTGTCGCAAGCCATGAATGATGGCGTGCGCGAGAGAGAGGGCTACGCAGCAGAGTCTCTTGACGCCCAGTCTCTCTCCTCTCTGAGCTGTGCGGTGCGGCGCCAAGACAGACGCACTCGGTGTGCCTGGTGCTCGCGCAGACACTTGAATTCCTCGAGTTGCAAGTACTTGCAAGCGTCTTGGGGTTCTGCAGTTTCCAGCGTTTGCTTGAAAAGGGAGACGTCGGCAGCGACTTGCTGGGGAGTCAGCGCCTTGTGAAGGCGGCGAGGATCGTACAGGCCATAATTGTACGCCAAGTGGCGCTCCCAAGCGCTGCTGTAGGGGGGGAGTGACCCCTCGACGTCGACAGTCGCTGACGCAGGCACAGGCTGCTCCTCCGCAGCCACTGCAGCCGCTGCCGCCGCTGCTGCTGCCGTCGCTACACCGCCTCCGAGAACCTTCAAGCCCAAAAAGTCGGACGCTGCAGCGAGGGGATCCGACGCTGCCTGCTGCTGCTGCTGCTGGAGCTCGTCGCGACCACGCTGCTGCTGCTGCTGGCAAGCAGCGGGAGGCGCAGACGGTCCCAACAACGGTCTAGATCGCAGCCAGTACATCTTTTCACATCGGGTGTAGAGTGGGAATTGAGGATTCAAATACGCAGCCGAGCTGGAAGGCGGACTTGCACTGCGCCGATGTGCCCTCCACCAGCGCGCATGCAGCTTCTGCCCCGTTGGCGAGGGTTCATGCACCATGGAGTGCAAGTTCGCGGCTGGAGCGCCTAGACAGTGCGCTTTATGATTGAAACGCAATGAGGCGTTGTTTTTTCGATGCAGAAACGGGGGGAGGGGCGGTTCTGACTTTGTGCGTGGCCGTTGGCGGTAGGCGTGTGGCGCACGGTGTCAGTGCTGGGGGGAGACAGCAGAGAGAGTGGCGGCAACTTGCCTGATTTCTGCAGAGCGTTAACCGAGAGGATTTCCAAAATTAATTCGCAAGCGTCCCACATGTCCAATGATCCTTGCTTTCGGCGGTTCGGCGGAAGCCGACTGCTTGCCTGTAGAGTGGCGATGATTCTGCGGCGCGCTTGTCGGCGTGGCTTCCTGCAGGGGCACACACATAGGCGTAGTGGTGCACTTCTGCTGTGTGCTTGAGACGCGCTGCAGTCGTAGAGAGCGTCTTGCTCTTGGGAGAGGGAAATAGAGAGAGGCTTGCAGCCAACAACACACGCGAGCGGCCATGCACGTACGCCCACTGTTGCCGATATTCTCTTCATTGATCCCTAGTCACTCCAATTGTTTGCAACCAAGGATTAGTGAAGAAATTTTATCACGCACTGGTTCGTGTGCGTTCCGACACCTTGGCGGGAGTAGCGGAAACGCGATACACAAAAAGACGTCATGTTCCTCGGCGCAGCCACGCTCTACGCTACGTGCAACTAACTGCGAATGCTCCGCATGCTGACAGAGTGCAGCTACGCGCACACTGGCGGCTCCTCACCGCTCATGTCGGTAAATGTGAGGGGCGGAGGCAGGAGAGTTCTTACGGGAAACACGCGCTACCCCATGACCGATTCTGTGCCTAAATTCGAAGTGTCTCCCTACTTAGCTCAAGCTGCAAATCTGCGATTTGGCTTTTGCAAATCTGGCACAGTGGCACTAGGAGAGTTGCCTAAGGCATCTTGCTGGTTTGGGGTTCAATGCGGGGATATATATGTATATATATATATGCATCCCTACTGTCGGTTGCAGCTCAGCGCGCGTGCGCGCAAATATGATGCCTGTCTGTAAGCTCAAAGAACGCGGCTTGAGTTTTCGAAATCCCTCGTGCTTTTGGAGGCAGTTTTTTCACTCACACACAGGCGACAGTTGCCCTATAAAGACCCCTCAGACTCCGCCTACGAGGATGAAATCAGCTTCGAGCAAGTGACAAGTACAAAGATGGGGTGTATAAGCCTACTCAGAAAACAGTTTGCAGACGCCAGAAAGTTATCAAAGCACCTGTGCCTCTCGGCGAGAGGTCGAACTAGCCGCACCGGCGACGCAGTCTTGCAACACGCAGCTGCACCACAGGCAGAAGCAGCAAAAAGAAACGATGCCTTGAACGAAGGGAAGCGGCGACAAAGGTAGCAGCTGCACAGCTAGGCGCGGCGCCAAGAGCGGCCGTTTCACGCAGCAGCCACTGCACCTCCTGCAAGAGCATATTCCTCATTCTGGGGAGCCGTCGGCGGAGATCCCCAGCAATCTGCAGAGACGCAGCAAACGGTTCGGAACTGAAGTCTTCATCGCGCGCCTTGGAGAAGTCTGGAGCCAAGATTTAAGCATGCATTTTGCGTCTCTAGAACCGAGGAGCCCAAAAACATCTACAGAGAGAAAGAGAGAGAGAAACAAGCAGACAAACAGACTGCTCGTCAGGGAAGGCTGAGGCTTGTGGCTTTTTACTTCTTGCAGAACTGTAGGTAGTTGACTTGATCTCCTGGTCCTGCTATCTTTTCCAAAGCGAAATTCACTTCCTGAGGATTCAAACCCTCTCCGAATTGGGTAAGCGCGTGTCGAAGCTGCTGTTTAGTGATATAGCCAGACGAGGAAGGATCCCACAAGGCAAAGGCAGACGCCAGTTCCTCAGCAACGTCTTCAGGGTGAGCTGCCGATGCGCAGAAGGCTGTAAAGGCTTCTAGAGTTACGTCGCCACCGTTGACAGAAGCATAAAAGGCTGCTATTTCCTCCTCGCTCGCAGAGATTCCCTGCAACACGAATACATATATGCATGTATATACATTAATATGCGCAAACACTTAACTGCCCCTTAATCGAAGGCGCCAGCAATACGATACGCATGCTGCTAAATAAAAATCCACACATTAGCCTGCCAAGATGCCAACAGGCATCCTCTGCCAGACAACACTGGGCAACAAACCTCCCGAAAAGTCACATACACCTTGGCGACGGCAGCAGCACACGCGCCAGGCTACCCGCCACAGCAACGCAAAGATATCTGCATATATACATAGATATGTCTGTGTTTGTATAGGAATATATGTATTTCGACCTCTATATCCATACGCATATATATATATATGTATGTGCATATGTATTAATCCATATAGCTATATGTACACATTGATAGATAGATGTACCTCTATCCACATACATCTACAGAAACATATGTATATATATATATGCCTGTGTTTGTATAGGAATATATGTATTTTGACCTCTATATCCATACGCATATATATATATATATGTATTAATCCATATAGCTATATGTACACATTGATAGATAGTTGTACCTCTATCCACATATATCTATAGATACATACATATATATATATATATATATGCGTGTGTTTGTATAGGAATATATGTATTTCGACCTCTACATCCATACGCACATATATATATATATATATATATATGTATTAATCCATATAGCTATATGTACACATTGATAGATAGATGTACCTCTATTCACATATATCTATAGATACATATATGTGTATGCGCACCATCTTTCTGCTCAAGGCAACAGCCGTTATGACATCGAGCGTTCCTTGAGTTCCCTGCGCGACGGGAAAAGACAGCGGCGGCACAGAAAAAGCATGGGGAAGCTTCGATTACGAAAAGGGGAGGGGGACGGAGAGGGCAGCTGCAGGGTGTGTGGGGTGTCTCCAGATCAGCGACGAAGGGTGGACTGCATGGGGAGCAGAATGCAGCGCTTTCACCCACCGCCAAATTCTCAAAGGCTTGTCTGAGAGGTTTCTCAACTGCCTGCACAAAGACACCGCAAACACACAGTCAGGAGGGAATTCAGATTTCCAAGGCTGGCGTTTGCGCGAGGAAAAGCGGAGGCTAATGGGTAGCGGGGGGTACCTAGATGGCTGCGTTTGCCTCTTACAGGTTTGTCTACGGTGGGTTCTTTGGCTACGACCATTTCTTGTGGAGCCTGCACCGCAAGGAATACACCAGAGACACTGACTCTTCTTTCTTCTTGCGCATTTCTTGGCTGTCTCCACGAGGAGAAGAAAGCCGCCGCTGGCTCTCTGCATGCAGGAAGCGAGCGGAAGAAAAGGCAGAAACAGGGGAAAGGAGGAGGCTCTAGCCGATATGAGGAGCCTCAAGCCTCTTCTGAGCGCTGCCTCTCGCTCCGAGAGGGCTCCCTTTGCCTATGCAGCGGAGGAAGAGGCGCAACAATTTGGCAGCGTCGAGAAATTGCACGTGGCTGTTCGCAAGAAGAGCAGCCGAAGACGGGGGAGGGAGTTACCATCTCGGGGGAGGGCATGCGTTGAGGGGTGGAAGCCAGCATAGCTCCCTCATGAGCCTTCATGTATGCCACGATCTGCAGCACCGCACAAGGCTGCATGTAATAGGAGGCTTGCCAGCTCTGCTAGACCGCTTCCTCATCTTCCGCCCCCTTATCCCTGCTGCCTCCAGTTGGTCATGTCTCGAAAGTGCAGGCAGCCTTTGCGGCGAGCGCTTACCAGTTGCGCCAACCGTTTGATTCGCAGCGCTTCGTCTTTGCCTTCTTTGCACCTTTCCTTCAGTCGATGATACTCCTGGGCAGTTCGCCGCAAGAGATTGCGTTGCTGCAGAGCATCACAAACGCAGCAAGCATCGCGAGGACTGACTTCCAGTCTGAGGCAAGGCTCTAGAAGAAGCGTCCTCATCCGCCTTCCTCCCTCAGGAGGCGTCAGCTGCCTGCCATCCTCGCATTCTCTTGGAGGGTCGAATTCAAGCAGACGAAGACGCACCTGCTTAAGCAGCTCTAAATGGTGCCTATTAGAGGCTGCTGTCTTCTTGAGGTTTTGCTCTGTTGCCATCTGCTTCTCCTTGGCAGCGAAAATCTCGCGCTCCTTAGCCTTTAGAGCTGCCTGAACCCTCTTAGCCTCGCTCTCTATGCGAGACTTGAAGTACGACTCTCTCTCTACCTGTTGCTCCTTGGTTTTCTGATAATAGAGACATACGAAACAGAGGCAGACGTGCTCGGGGAGGGGGCGGTTGCAGAAAGCGAGACTCTGAGGACCAGCCTGATGCATCCTTATGTAGACATGAAACACGTACAGGAGGCAGATGCGCGATGCGGCAGACTGCAGGCAGGAAGAAACAACAAAAAGCGGTGAACACAGAAACTGCGCAAGCGCGAGGTGGCATTTGCTGGTCCTTACAATTGCCGTATCGTAAAAGTGATCTCGCTCCTTGACTAAATCGCTCAAGTAATTCCTGCAAACAACAAAAAGCCAAACCTTGCAATCCTACGAGGTGGCTCCTAGCTCGTGTCTCGACATCGCCGAGTTCAGCAGGCACACGCCCCTGCTGAAACACGAAACGCCATTCAATGGGTTTGTTGAGGCATTCCATATGAATATGTCTATGCGGATAAACATACACAGATATCTACAAACATAGGCTTAGACTCGTCTTACTTGTAAATAGTAACTTCACTGCGGGCGAGAGCTTCCCGCGCTTTGGATCGCTTGTAAGACTCGATGGCAGCAAGCTTTACATTCTGGAGGAAAATAGCGTACATACAAAAAGCGAATAGGTGTGTGTGTCTCCCTCGAAATACATAAGTTCATGCATACAGAGTATATTGTAGAGACTCCTCTGTAGAGCCTCAATGCAACCCGCTGTCGCCGTGGGTAATAGTGCACATCAAGGGAGAAGAAAGCCTACTCCTAAATGCTCGCAAGCCAACGCAAGCTTCTCCAAACGAATGAGAGCTTCCGTCAAACTGCCCTCGTCCATCTTTTGATCCATAGACTTGAGACGCCTGCGCAGCGTCTCCCAACGCACAATTCTGAGAGATCGCCGTCTCCGATATATTTCGCCGCAAACGTATTGAGCAGCGGCAAGAACTAGTTCTATGCAAAGCAAAAAAGCTGCACTCACCCCCCTTCTCTCTTTCCCCGCTTTCCCCCCCCCCCGCTTGCTGCTGCTCTTGCTACCGCTGCATGCGTTTCCTCCCATGAGAGCCTACGTATCTCCACTTTCCCTTCCCTGCACGCGCTGTTTTCCGCCCGAGACACCCCCTCTTTGCGTGAGACGATTTCTTACTGCGTTTCCCTCGTAGGCACCGCTTTCGCTTTTGCAGCCTCGTAGTGTCTAGACACTCTCATATGTTTCTTTTGGTGGGCAGCCCTAAGCAGTCAAGCCATCAACGCCAAGTACACACACACTATGCACACGCACATGCAAAGGCGCTAAGCATCGAACTCTGGTGTAGAAACATGCAACTTGGAATGCGGTTGCGCACTCTCCGATAAAGCCTTGTCAAAACGCGCATAAACAAATCGCGGCGCATACGAATACTTACAGCGCTGCTTCCATCGCTTCCGCATGCTCTTTTGCAGCCTGAAGCTCGGCTGTAGTCGTTTCCAGTTCTTGCTGAGCTACCGTCACCTTGTATTCCATGCTTTTCAGAATCGCCAAATTGGATTGCAGCTCTTGCTACATGCCCACGACACAAATACACACACACACAAACATATATATATATATACATGTATGGATATGCGTATAAAAAAATAGTACTACGCATTTACGCACAAGCACACGTAGGCACATGCATAAAAGAGCACAGACACATACACACATGTACACACATATGCACATACACATAGACACACATATACATACACACACATAGACACATATACACACATAAACATACACAAATAAACATACGCACACACACAAGCACATTCATGAAGGCAGCTGAACGGAAGAAAGAGCTGCCCTGGGTGCACAGCGGCTCGGGGGAAATCAAGCGCTGTTGGCAACTGTCTGGTGGCGCTAGGATTCTGCGATGTTTTTTGGAGGTTTTTTCAATGGTACCTGGATTGCGTCGCGCTGCAAGTCCAGTTGCTCTTCGTTTTTCTTGAGTTTATCCATCATTTCCCGTTTAGCGCCTTCTGCAGCGGCAGCCTGTTTCTTTAAAAGCGCAAGCTCCTCTTTCTGCTTGCGCTGCACCTGCAGCAGCTGTCGATTTTCTACTTCCAAGCACCTGAAGCAGCACGCAGTAAGAGGGGGGATGCGTGCAGCACCAAGCTCTTGACGGAGGCGGCGCAATGAGAGAGAAACAACGAGAGAGAGAGAACGACAAAACGCGAAAAAGACGGAAACGCAAGCCGACCGGAGCACTGAGAGGCATACCTGACGTTTCGTGAGAGGTCATAGCCCACTTCGAATCGTCTGAAGCACACACTCCCGAACGACTCTGCGCACAGGCGCTTCTACTTGCAACTCGCCTCCAGCGCATGCGCGCTGTGTTCCCGAGCAACAGCCTCCCACAAACATGGTGCCTCCCTACACTCCACAGCGGTGTGCTTTTCCCTGCCGCGCACGCTGCTGCATGCGGCGCTTTTGGCAACACACGCACTGAACGAGACTCCGCACATTCCGATCTTTGCCTAGAGCGTCTTTCTCGAGAATCTGCTGCACTAGGACGCTGTCTGAGATCTCAGGTTGGAAGACTTCTTCTTTTGCCAAGCCGTCCTCCTCATCATCTGCCCCCCCCCACAGGCGCCTCTTGGAGGTACTCTTCACTTCTCCAAAGACAGCTTTCCGAATGTGCGCTGGACGGGGGGGCCCCCCCCCTGCGGGGGGGCCCCTCCTTGTGGGGGGGCCCTTACTCCCGTCCCGGGGGGGCCCCCCCCCTGCGTGGCAGACTTCCTGAGAACGAACGCCTTGGCGAAACTTTCGAAGCGCAAGATCAGAGGATCCTTCAAAGAGGATAAGGCGTCCAGAAGGAGACAACTCGCCTGTCATAGGTCCCACGACACGCCTGTGCAGCTGACTTCCCCACTCGCGCAAAGACGTCATTTGCTGAGGAACAGATGCACGGAGGCTACAAAGTTTGTCTGCACACGCTACGAGTTATTCTGCGTGGGGTGCGAAATCATGCTGCACAGAGGCTACAAAAACATGCTGCACAGAGGCAACAAAGATATGCTGCACAGAGGCTACAAAAACATGCTGCACAGAGGCTACAAAAACATGCTGCACAGAGGCAACAAAGATATGCTGCACAGAGGCTACGAAAACATGGTGCACAGAGACTACAAAAACATTCTGCACAGAGGCTACAAAAACATGCTGCACAGAGGCTACAAAAACATGCTGCACCGAGGCTACAAAAACATGGTGCACAGAGGCTACAAAGTTATTCTGAATACTCTAGAAAACTATTCTGCATCGTCTGCCAGCTGCCAGCTGCTGCAACCGCGTGGCTCTTGTTTCTCCCTGTCTCCCCCTGGGTTTCCCGCCTTGCCTAAGGAAGTTATTTGAGAGCCGCTGCTGCTGGATCTAGAGAAAAGTGAAGCGCTGATAGAGAGTATTACCCATTTAAGCAGCGCCAGGTGTGGAGGGAGTGTGTGTGGCAGTCCATCTTCCACGCACGTAGGCAAGCTGCTGCAAGGGGTTCTCTGGATGCATCTGCCCGCTGCCTCGAGAACGGAGGGATCAGAGGAACGCTGCCAGGGGGGCCCCTCGAAAGGAGTGCAAAAAAAATCGCAGGGAGAGCTTCTCTCAGGGGGTTCCCATCGCGGCGGAACGAATGCAGCGCGGCGATCGGCACGGTACACTTCCTCCAACATGCGCAGCCTGAGAACGCACCCCCACTCCCGAAGAATGGATCAGTGAGGGTTCTGGATAAGCATCGAAGAGAAAAAGAGAGAGACAGAGAGAGAGAGTTAGAGGGGTTCAGAGAGCAGGAGAAAGAAAGAAAGAAAGAGACAGTGAGAGAGAGTTAGAGGGGTTCAGAGAGCAGGAGAAAGAAAGAAAGAGAAAAAAGAAAAAAAAAGAGAAAGAAAGAGAGAGACAGAGATAGAGAGTTAGAGGGGTTCAGAGAGCAGGAGAAAGAAAGAAAGAGAAAAAAGAGAAAGAAAGAGAGAGACAGAGATAGAGAGTTAGAGGGGTTCAGAGAGCAGGAGAAAGAAAGAAAGAGAGAGAAAAAAGAGAAAGAAAGAGAGAGAGACTTAGAGGGGTGCAGAGAGAAGGAGAAAGAAAGAAAGAAAGAGGAAGAGAGAGGACGTTAGACACCAAGAAAGAGAAAGAAAGAGCGAGAGAGACAGAGAGAGAGGACGTTAGACACCAAGAAAGAGAGAGAGAAAAGAGAAAGAAAGGGAGAGAGATAGACTGCTGCTGCTGAGCGGCCGTCTCGTTCCCCCTTCCCCTCTATTTCTTCGATTTCTTTGCCCACTTCCTTCCCTTCCACGCGCTTTTTCAGCTTGACACACGCGCAGTGCCCATTCGTGCCTTCTTGCAACAGACGGCAGTGCAAGAAGACGCAAAGAGTCGCAGCAGCACGCCGCATGCAGACTGCGCGAAGCCGTCAAGGCGGCTGGCTAACCTGGTAAGAGATGCCTCATGAATGTCTGTCTTTGAGGCGCGAGGGCATTGATGGCGGAGATCGGCGTCAATATTCTGAAGAGGAAACTTCTCATAGCGCATCATTCACGACCCCTAAGAATTCTGCACAGTGGCTGGGGTTGGCAGCCGTGAGAAAGAAGAGAGGGAAGAAGGCAAGGCAGCGGGGAGGGGAGAGGCTTTGCTTGCAGAAAGTGCTGGTCAAAGAAGGTCGCCAGGAAGCGCGCTCTCGCGAGAAAGCTGTTTAAAGCGATTAAGCGGAGACGCACAAGCATTCTTCCAAAAATCGCGGCAAACCCACCATGCGGAAAAGTGCCTTTAGAGCCTTTTCCTCCGAAGGCGTATCCATCAAGGCGCTGTCTTCGCTCCCCACTGCCGCTGCCACTACGGAGGACGAGCTGTTGCGACTGCGCATCTTCTTGTTCTGCGCGAAAAGACGCTATTCAGCTCGGCGAAAAAAATCCAGATCTTCAAAAAACGCAAAGGATATATGGGAGATAGTACAGTCTTGGAAGGAGGGAAGGAGGTGTGCAGCTCAAATGCTGCGCCTCCTGGAGGACGGAAGCGGGAAGCTGCCGTCTATACGCAGTTTCGCGCCAGCTTGCAACCCTCCGTGCGCTCCTGGGAGTCATTCCCTGCGCATGCAGCTGCTGTTTGAGAAAGCGATAGTGCCTCTACGTGAGATGAGAAGACACCTGCGAAGTCGGGGAGGACCGCGTTGGCCTCTTGGAAGATCCAGAGGCGACATGCGCGGCAAAAGCACCCGCAGGAGGTATTTGAGTGTATGCATGTATGCATGTATGCGTGTGTGCAATGTATGTATGTTCGTATGTGTGTATGCAGGTTTGAAATGCATGTATGTATGTAGGTTTGTATGTGTGCTATGTATGTTTGTACGTATGTAAGTATGTATGTCTGTATGTATGTAGGTTTGCAATGTATTTATGTGTGTCTGTGGATGCGTGCCACCGGCATTCCGTGCGGAGCAGCTGTCTGCAAGAAGGTGAAGTGTTGCAAGTGAGGCTTCTTTGTGTCTTTGAAAGCATGAAAAATGCGCGTGTCAATGCGTGAAAAGCACACACACCTCAAATCGAGCATGCGTTTCTGGCGTAGCTTGCGCTTCCCCGGCTGTCCGATGAGGTGCCTTCGTCGCGATCGCGAGGCGTCCTGAGTTCAGCGTGCGTTTGTCTGCGAAAAGATGCTTTTAACAAGGTGTAGGGGAAGCGTTTTGGAAGCTTTCTTCTGGTGTCTCTCCTTCTTTCTCGCTGGGGGAAGAAGAAGGGGCAAGGAGGGTGGCTGCTCTCTGCACGGGCGACTACACAGAGGCCTACAGGGAGAGAAGGCAGCATTCAGCTCCGCATGAAGCAAAGAGCCTGAAGCGCGTTCTTCGGCGGAATCAAAGACCAGACTCCGTAAAAAGGGTGAGCAAATCATTGAATTTGCGCGCAGAAGCCACCCGAAAATCGAGAATTGCAACAGCCTCCTCCCTGCAGAGTCAGACACGACCACACCTTGTGAGCGATGAGAGCTCCCTGTCTGTCGGGTCGGGGGTGAGAGAGGCCCTTCTCCTGCGCGCACGCGTATGCATCTGCATGCTGATCGTTGAGGGATTTTATCAAGCTTGCATTGGTGCCTTTTGCGCGTTAAATTGTCGAGCTTCATCGCCGAAAACGCTGCGTTTCGCGAGCGAGTGAGACTGCCAGCTGAAGTGCTTCGTGTGGTGGCTGCAGTCGAACGGCCCCGTCTGTGTGTCTGTGTGTCGAGAGCCACGCTTCCCTCTCTCTCTGCGTCTTTCTTTCCCTTTTCTATCATCCTCTTCATGCAAACGCCTCAACGGATCCACAGACACACGGACTGCACCCGAAAGCGCCGTCCTCAGCACACCCTGATCGACCGCACACCCCTGAAAAGTCTGTGCAAACTCCCTCGAAGACGGCAATGCAACTCTGAGAGACTTGACGCCTGCCTATTGCACTTCATGGCTGCTGAGGATACACCCGACGGCTTCGTCTGTCCTTTTTAGAAACGCGCCGTCATGGGAGCTCCGCACATTGACTACCCTGCAGCAGCGCAGACGTCGCAGTGTCAAGCAGTGCAGGGAAACAGCAGCAGCAGCAACAGCTGCTGCTGCGTTCACGAAAACAACAAGGAAAACAGCAAAGACAACACCACAAACAGGGGTCGTGTTTCAAAGGAACCATCAGGGGATTCGAAGATGAGTGACAGCAACAGCAACTGCAACGAGAGCAACGGCGTGAGTGACAGCAGCAGCAGCAGCAGCAGCCTCCGAAAAGTATGGACTAAAGAAATGGAAGAGGTGATGGTTGATGCATGCATGCGAGCTTTGAATTACAGCGCAAGACGCGATTTAGAGCGTCGTGTTAGGTGAGTTCCATGGAGTATCGTCGTCATTGAGGCTCGGAGAAAACGCTCGAGTAGTGGATCTTTCTCTATTTCTTTCCGTTTCTCTCTCTCTTTTTCTCTCCCTATTTCTCTCTATTTCTCTCCTCGTCTCACTATGAGGGAGACGTCGCTGGAGGGTGGGAAATATCCAAACTTTGTTGATTTCCTCATCATTCTTGTGCGAGGGGGGAACATGCGGGGGTCGTTAAAATTCTGCTGCTCAGATCTGGAACTGGCACGGAGGCGCGCGCTGGAGAGCAGAGTTGCTGCAGCGCTGCTACTCATCAGGAAACTCAGGGAACGGCTGAAAAATGTCAGGATAGCTGCAGCAGCAGCTGCCACACGCATGCTTCTGCACATACAGCGGGAGCTGCTGCCGCGTCTGCAGCTCCTGCATACCGCTTTTGCAAGGATCCTGCCGACGTCATTGGCGCACGTTTGGATGACTGGACTTCTAGAGATCGAATCAAAAGTCTGCTTCCAGCTGTCTGCGAACGCGCAGCGAAGGTGTACAGCAACGTCGTCGGAAAAGGGCATAAAGGCACGCCCTCACACCGCTTGTCGAAGCTTGCACTGCAGGGATATGCAATGTGTATGTGATTGTATGTGTGTGTGTTTGAATGTGTATGTGTTTGTATGTATGTGTATGCGTTTGTATGTATGTGTATGTGTGTATGCGTATGTGTGTATGTGTATGTGTGATTGTATGTGCAAATGTTTGTATGTGTATGCGTTTGTATGTATGTGTATGCGTTTGTATGTATGTGTATGTGTGTATGTGTATGTGTTTGTACGTGTATGTGTTTGTATGTGCAAATGCTTGTACGTGTATGTGCTTTTATGTGCAAATGTTTGTACGTGTATGTGTGATTGTATGGGCAAATATTTGTATGTGTATGTGCGATTGTATGTGCAAATGTTTGTATATGTATGTGTGATTGTATGTGCAAATGTTTGTATGTGTATCTGTGATTGTATGCGCAAATGTTTGTATGTGTATGTGTGATTGTATGTGCAAATGTTTGTATGTGTATGTGTGATTGTATGGGCAAATGTTTGTATGTGTATGTGTGATTGTATGTGCAAATGTTTGTACGTGTATGTGTTTGTATGTGCAAATGCTTGTACGTGTATGTGCTTTTATGTGCAAATGTTTGTATGTGTATGTGTGATTGTATGGGCAAATGTTTGTATGTGTATGTGTGATTGTATGTGCAAATGTGTGTACGTGTATGTGTGATTGTATGTGCAAATGTTTGTATGTGCAAATGTTTGTATGTGTATGTGTGATTGTATGTGCAAATGTTTGTATGTGTATGTGTGATTGTATGTGCAAATGTTTGTATGTGTATGTGCGATTGTATGTGCAAATGTTTGTATGTGCAAATGTTTGTACGTGTATGTGTGATTGTATGTGCAAATGTTTGTATGTGTATGTGTGATTGTATGTGCAAATGTTTGTATGTGCAAATGTTTGTATGTGTATGTGTGATTGTATGTGCAAATGTTTGTACGTGTATGTGTGATTGTATGTGCAAGAGCTGCTTGTCGACTCCACGGTGAATGCAGGGGCATACGGCTGTTTTATCGCGCATCGCTGTGTTTCTGTGTATTGTTTTTTGTGCCTGGAATGCAGATGGTCTTACTCTCGAGCGAGGCAGCGAGGAAGACCGTCATTTGCACGAAGAAATTCTCAAAGAGGCGCTCCTAAGGGAAACGCAATTCAGAGTCAACCAAGAGGTATGCAGAGAGAGAGAGAAAAAAAAGAAAAACAAGGAGCAGCACAGAGCCAGCAGAAAGGTTGCAAAACGTTTAGAGAGAGGAGTGTTTTGGAGACTTCTGGCATTTGCAACTGCAGCTGCAAAGAAACGGCAAAGCGCCGCATGCTATCTTGCAGGCAGCATTGTACTTCTGCGCAATTCGCCAGCTGTGCATAGCAAACATGACAAGCAAAATACATTTTTTGGCATGTGTGTATGTATTTCTGTTTTTATGTGTGTATGTGGACATGTCTGTACGAACATGTGCGTGTACGTGGATATGTATGTGTATGTATATGTGTGTTGATGTACAGGTGTGTGTATGAACATGTGTGCGTTGATGTACATGCATGAGTATGTACATGTGTGTGTATGAACATGCATGTGTATGTACAGGTGTGTGTATGAACATGTGTGTGTATGTACAGGTGTGTGTATGAACATGTGTGCGTTGATGTACATGCATGAGTATGTACATGTGTGTGTATGAACATGCATGTGTATGTACAGGTGTGTGTATGAACATGTGTGTGTATGTACATGTGTGTGTATGTACAGGTGTGTGTATGAACATGTGTGCGTTGATGTAGATGCATGAGTATGTACATGTGTGTGTATGAACATGCATGAGTATGTACAGGTGTGTGTATGTACAGGTGTGTGTATGTACAGGTGTGTGTATGAACATGCATGTGTATGTACAGGTGTGTGTATGAACATGTGTGCGTTGATGTACATGCATGTATGGATGTGACGCTTCAGATGCGACAAGAGCAGCTTCTGGATAGCCGCGAAGGCGGCTTGCTTGCTAATCCTTGTAGGCTGATGCAGAGGTTGGGGAGGGGAGAGGGGTGCGGGGTTGCGTCGCGTTCTCCCCTGTAACTTTGCATGTGCTTGCAAATGTATATGTATATATCTGTCTGCATGCACGTACGTGCAAGTGTGCTATTTCTGCAGTGGTCTGTAGGTGCACCTGGGAATGCGCTTTTGAGGCGGGTAGGCGGGGTGGCAAGGCTGGAGGCTGAGGGGTGACTGTTGTGTTTTAGCGCTTGCGCGAAGAAGTGTTGGAAGAACGACGTTGTTTGTGCAGCTGCTTACGATGAGGGGCCACTAAGTTATCTGCGATCTGAAACCATACGCGATTTAATGGTGGAAGGCGTTGCCGTTCAACATGGCTTCGTTGGAGAGGCGGTGGGTTGCGCGGATTGTGGATTTTTATCGCTCGCAAACTCTGCATTGCACCTGCGACATATACGGCCTGTTTTGCATCATGCGCGGCGAGACGCAGCAGCCTCGTGTGTGTGTGCGTCTCCTGCCACTCTCCACGTACACGTCTACATACGTACATCACACACATGCACGCATAACACACAGAGCACGCATGTAGAGAGAGGGGAAAGACAGGTGTGCGTCTTGAGCTCTAGAGGCAGGATGCGGGGGTGTGGGGGTTACTTGCGTTTTCACAGATGAGGAGGCAGTGCTTGAAGGAGCTGGAACTGCTGGATTTCGACGGACGGTTCAATGAAGTCGTGAGTTCAGCGAGCAGCCGTCCATACACCTGGCTTGGCAGGGGAGCGAGGGAAGGAAGAAAGTGTAGGCTACGGTGCTTTTTTTCGGCGAAACACTTAACCACCATCTTAAGCATGGCGTTGACGTGCTCATGTGACGAGTTGCTCGGGGGGAAATCGGGGGGTGACTTTAAATGCTGCGCAGTTTCAGCAAAGCGTCTTGGACGTTCGGAAAGACTTCATGTGCTGGATGGCACTTTCGGATCTCGACAGAGAAAATCAACAGGTGCGAGAGAGAGAGAGCACGCGTAAAATTTGTTGCTGCTGCATGCGCAGCTTCCGCGCATGCAGCAGCAACAAACTTTACGCGTGCTCTCTCTCTGTGTCTCTCTGTATCTGTGTGTCTCTCTGTGTCTCTCTGTGTCTGTGTGTCTGTCTGTCTCTCTGTCTCTTTCTCTGTCTGTCTGTCTCTTTCTCTGTCTGTCTGTCTCTGTCTGTCTCTTTCTCTGTCTGTCTCTTTCTCTGTCTGTCTGTCTGTCTCTGTCTTTCGGCAAAACTGCTCTTTTACTACTGCGTTTTTACTACTGCTGCTGCGCCTTAAAGACGCGCGCGCAGCAGGAGCAGCAGCAGTGGCAGCAAAAAGCAGTGTTGCAAGCGAATTTCTCCGCGTGCCAGCGGGAGGGAGGGAAGGAAAAAGGGGTAATAATTCGTCGAGATGATGAACGATGAGGCATATGTGTGTATGTGCGCCTTTTGGTAGGGACTGCGCCATCTGCTGAAGTGTCTGTTTGCACTTCCGTTTGAACTCAACAAAAAGGCAAACCTCTGTCTTCAGGTGAGACTGCGGCAGAGAGGCGACACGCATGCGCGTGCGAAGGCGATGGGTGGGGCTGCACCTGCTGCATCTGCGAGCCAGTTGCCTCTTTTCATTAACCCCCTATGCCACGTTAGCACTGAAGGGTTTTGGCATGCGCCTCTTTGCTGCCATCTTCTTGGCTCGCTGAGCGCTTGCGTCTGCCCCTCAGCTTCTTCCCCCCTGCGTAGACGGCGTGCATCTTTTGCTTGCCGACTGCCCATGTGCGGTTCAGGTGGGGTGGGTGGTACAAATGTCAGTGTTTCCCCCTGCCTCCTTCTACCGCATGCATTCGGACGGAGGCTTCTCGCAAGAGCGAAACAACGGACGCAAAATAACCGCTATTTACTATCCGAATGCCAAGGATTGGCAAGTACGCCAGCTAGCTAGCTAGAAGTATCGCTGGAGCGCTACAATAGAACCGCGGGGGCAGCTGCTGAAGCAGACGCGGGTGTACAGTGCGCTGCATCAAAAGGATTCAGTGGGGATCTCTGGCTTTCGAGTTTAAGCTGCTGCTGCTCCTGCTGCTGCTGCTGCTGCACCTTCTAGAGACAGAGCTCTTTTACGTCTCCGACGCGTCAAAGGACGCCATGCACACCCGTTTATCGGAATGTTTTCGTGTTTTGAAACTTTTATTTTTTTACTACTGGCTTTGCCCTCAGTGGCGTGTTTCGCCTCCTTTGCGGATGTTTCCTTCTGTAGGACGCTGACGGGGGGGTGTTGCGCGTGTTCAAACGACGCACAAGAAAAGAGCAGCAGACAGACAGCAGTTGCCTCACGCCTTCTCCTGATGAAACGCCCATTCAAGAAATTAAGCCTCAAGGAGACGCGCTCGTGTTGCTAAGGTTCGTCGTTCGTCTCCCCGCATGCCGCGTGCTTCTCTCCCTCTCCTCTCTCTGCATTCAACTCCCCGTCAGACTCGAGGCACCTGAGCAAAAAGCGATTTTTCTTTCTTCCCCTCCGTGTGTGTCTGCTGCTTCGCGCATTCTGCATGCTCCACGCGTTGCGTTGCTCCTCTGCGAACGCCGCAGAAGTCGCGAAATTCCACACGAGGTATCCGAGACACTCAAAAAAAGATTCGCCATTTCGTTCTACATGACAGGACCACCTGGCCCTGGCGATGACTGAAAGAACTGCGCCACGCTCGTTGTAGCAAAGTTACAGATGCTTGAGTGTACGTACATGCATGCTTGCATGCGGCATATGCGGCAGAAGGAAAGCGCTGCGTCGTAACAGAGTTACAGATGTTTTGAGTGTACGTACATGCATGCTTGCATGCGGCATATGCGGCAGAAGGAAAGCGCTACGTTGTAGCAGAGTTACAGATGTTTTGAGTGTACGTACATGCATGCTTGCATGCGGCATATGCGGCAGAAGGAAAGCGCTGCGTTGTAACAGAGTCACAAATGTTTTGAGTGTACGTACAGGCATGCTTGCATGCGGCATATGCGGCAGAAGAAAAGCGCTGCGTTGTAACAGAGTTACAGATGTTTTGAGTGTACGTACATGCATGCTTGCATGCGGCATATGCGGCAGAAGGAAAGCGCTGCGTTGTAACAGAGTTACAAATGTTTTGAGTGTACGTACATGCATGCTTGCATGCGGCATATGCGGCAGAAGAAAAGCGCTGCGTTGTAGCGGAGTTACAGATGTTTTGAGTGTACGTACATGCATGCTTGCATGCGGCATATGCGGCAGAAGGAAAGCGCTGCGTTGTAGCAAAGTTACAGATGATTGAGTGTACGTACATGCATACTTGCATGCGGCAGAAGGAAAGCGCTGCGTTGTAACAGAGTTACAGATGTTTTGAGTGTACGTACATGCATGCTTGCATGCGGCATATGCGGCAGAAGAAAAGCGCTGCGTTGTAACAGAGTTACAAATGTTTTGAGTGTACGTACATGCATACTTGCATGCGGCATATGCGGCAGAAGGAAAGCGCTGCGTTGTAACAGAGTTACAGATGTTTTGAGTGTACGTACATGCATACTTGCATGCGGCATATGCGGCAGAAGGAAAGCGCTGCGTTGTAGCAAAGTTACAGATGATTGAGTGTACGTACATGCATGCTTGCATGCGGCATATGCGGCAGAAGGAAAGCGCTGCGTTGTAGCAAAGTTACAGATGTTTTGAGTGTACGTACATGCATACTTGCATGCGGCATATGCGGCAGAAGGAAAGCGCTGCGTTGTAACAGAGTTACGAATGTTTTGAGTGTACGTACATGCATGCTTGCATGCGGCAGAAGAAAAGCGCTTTGCGCACTGACACGTTTCAGCGGCCTGCGCAGCTGTTGCAACCATTCGCAGGAGCAAGTGTGGCAGTGTATGCAAAAAAAACGCCCACACACCATTCGCAACAGCATGCGGGGGGGAGGAGGAGGGGGAGAGAGGGGAGCACTGCTCCCCTCTCTCTCCCCCCCTCCTCCTCCCCGCGTCAGCTGTCACTGCAGCGCCTTCCATAGCCTTTTTCACTCATACTGCCCTCCACACTTTTCAGCTGGCTTTCAAGCACAAGACTTCCACTTTCTCGCTACAGTCAGACACCCTTTTCCTGCCCTTCATTTAGTTAGAAAGTCTAAGTCCAGCTAGCCACCTAGTAAGTACATAAACGTGTATACCTAATTACAGAGAGACACGGCTATACAGACTAGAGATTTCAAAGAGTGCTCGCTGAACACAAATACGCGAAACCTTTGGCGATTTGCTGCTGCTGTGCCTTCTCCCGCTCTCTCTTTCGCTATCTTTCTCTCTTCCTGGTAGTAGCGACGAGCGCATTGTCTTGCGACGAGCGATTAATGCTGCGCTTCCATGGTGTCGTCTGGTCCTGAGTCGTTGCTCTCCTCCTCTTCATCTGAAGTTTCCTCTTCTTCATCGTCTGAAGCGTCTTCATCGTCTGAAGCGTCTTCTTCGTCTGAAGCGTCTTCTTCTTCCTCGTCTTCCTCTTCTTCGTCTTCCTCTTCTTCGTCATCTGAAGTCACTTCATTTGTTGGGAGCGAGACATTGGCGTCGGCGCTTAGAAACTTGCACAGCGCCTTCAGCGACACTGCGAGGCAGCAAATTCCTAAAGCGTTTAGGCCTTTAATCGTGGAAGAAACCTGCGCATGCCAAAGCAGAATTTAGCGCTTTTTTGCGTCACGAGGAGCTCTCGGGATGCAAAGGACAGAGGAAGAGAGAGAGATTCAGAGAGAGAGCTAGAGAGAGAGATTCAGAGAGAGAGCTAGAGAGAGAGATTCAGAGAGAGAGCTAGAGAGAGAGATTCAGAGAGAGAGCTAGAGAGAGAGATTCAGAGAGAGAGCTAGAGAGAGAGCCTGAGAACGAGCTCAAGAGCTAGAGAGAGCGAGATTCAAAAAGAGAGCGCCCTCTTTCTCTTTTGCCTCGCTTTTCTCTTCTAGAACGTTCCTGCGAGGAAGGGGAGGGAGGGAGGGAGGGGGGTAAGAACGTCGGATCGGTGATGTACCTTCTCCGTGTTGGTGATGACGCAGAGGGTACTACAGGCAGCTTCCTTCGCTGATGCTGAATTAGTCCCCGCAAAAGCCGTAATAAATCTGCTCAAATACTTCCGTGCGACGCAGTGTACTTCTGCCGAGGTGACAGCCTCTACCTTCGCGAGCAGCTCCTTATTGCTGTTGAGCGGCATGCCTCTAAGGACGGCCAAGACGTTCTGGAAAGCGACATCCTGAGGCGTCTCCTCCTTTCTGCAATGAAAAAAAGCAAAAAAAACCATTGGATTTTCAAAATAGGCTACACAATGATTCTAACGAGCACACCCCAGGAGCGGCTACACATATACATACACATGCATACATGCATGCACACACACATACACGTATACAAATATACATCGCGAACACGGCTTCTTCCCCTCCTTCCAGCCAGCAACTTGCACCCTGACAGTCTTTCCTGCATGCATACCCTATGATTGAGCAGAGAAGAGAGCACTTTGCTGCACGAAGTTCAGAATCGGGAAATTCAGCTTCCCCCGAAGCGATGGGTCGAAACGCACAGAGGGAAGCCGATAGGGCCTGCATCAAATACAACACACGCAGCGAATGCAGAGAAATTTAAAAAATCAAAGAGCGATACATTAAAATAAGGAGGACTGACACGCGCGCGCGCACAGATACACACACATAGACACACAAACATAGACAGACACACAGAGACAGACACACAGAGACATACACACACACACATAGACACACACATAGACAGACGCACAGACATAGAAACATACAGACAGACACACGGACACATAGAAACACACATAGACAGACACACATAGACAGACACACAGAGACATATACACACACACATAGACAGACGCACAGACATACACAGACAGACAGACACATAGAAACACATTGAAAAGTGGAATACGGCAGTTTTTTGCGTTTATATTTCTCGTGGCTTCGGCAAGACGAGGCGTGGCTGTTGCTTGAGATGCGTGATCACTTGCAGCAAGATTGCAAGATCCCTATCGAGATCCATATCAAGATACATATATGTATGTATCAAGACAGCAAACCAGATCAACGTAAAGACATCAAACCATCAAGATGCGAAGACAAAAAAAGACATCAAAGAACAGCACTAAACACAGAGAAATATGAAAGCCTCAAGAAGCATCAGAAAACATGAATATCGAAAGACATCAAGGCAGCACCCGACATTCGCTGTCGCCAATTCCCCGTGTATTTCGCAAAAACTCTCTAAGTTTTGCTCACTGAAACAGGATCTGTGGCTGGAGAGATCTTCAGCGTGAGCAGTCCAGCGTCGGGGGAGTAACACAAGTCGCAGCCATAGGAGAAGCCTCCCCCTCGAATTACTCTAAACAACAACCCTGCATCAAACGGCACAAAAAATAACCGCATTCCTGCTCCGCCATGCGGAAAGACGCAAACACCACTTCATCAAACTTGAGAACAGCTCCTGGAGACACGCCAAAGCCACCCCACAAGAACCGCTTCACGCTTCACTCACCTTCCATCATTGAGCAACATTCGCAGAGCACGAGAAGGGCAGGAAATTCTTCATGCTCAAAGCCTTCTGGAGCTTCGACAGTCGCATGCAAATGCGCAGACGCACTGCTGCCGATTCCTACAACGACACGGGCTGTCTCTGGATCTGCTGCTGCGTTTGCGTCTCCTGCTGCTGCTGCTCTTGTTGCTGCTCTTGTTGCTGCTCTTGTTGTTGCTTGTGCTTCTGCTGCTGCTTCTGCGTTTGCGTCTTCTGCTGCTGCTGCTCTTGTTGCTGCTCTTGTTGTTGCTTGTGCTTCTGCTGCTGCCTCTGCGTTTGCGTCTTCTGCTGCTGCTGCTCTTGTTGCTGTTGATCTAGGTGTAGTCTTGCTCCTGCTTGCCTTGTCGAGCGCTGCAAGCCGCACATCGAGGATTTTGTGGGGAGGCATTCCCCTTGGTGGCAGCAGTGCGTGTTGTTGTGGGTCGCTTTTCGCGGAGAGGGGGTTCACTGCACTGGTCAAAACTTCTTGCCAGTCCTCCTGCAGCTTGTCTGCTTCGGCTGCAACGTGTAGCAGCATCCGAGCAGGCTGGAAAAGCGCCTTGTAGACGCGCGTGAGGCTTTCGCTGAAAAGCGTGGCATTTGCCCCCCCTCTCTCCCGCCCGTTCGATGCGGCAGCTTTGCGAATCGCCACGGCAGTGCTGCGACTGCTGCAGCCAAATCCGCATGCATTCAGGGTGCAGCGGCGCGAGAACCACAGCGCTCGTTCGAGCTGCTGCAAAAGGTATTGAGGATTTCGCTTCCTCCTCGCCAGCTGCTTCTTCTGCCGCTTGAGCTGGATCAACACGCGAGCATCCTCGAGACAGACTCCCCGCACCAAGGCACCCAACAAAATCGCAAGCTGCTTCAAGAAAGCCACTTGACACACAAGATGCATCGTCACGAGATCGTACAGGGCGGAGGGGGGAGAACCCACGCTGCTGCTGCCGCTACTGCCCAGTCCTATGCTGTAAGCCGTGATGTATCGAAGCAACAAGCCTGTAAACACTTTGTGCTGCAGACGCACGGAGGCATCAGCATCAGCAGCAAGAGCAGCGGCTGCAGGAGCTGCCGATGCAGCCGCAAGCGTCACACCCGCAGCAATTGTCTCCGAATCGAGGTCGAGCATCTCTGCCTCTTGACGCGTCACTTGGATGTCTGACTCCGGCAGCAGCTGCAGCAGCAGCTGCAGCTGCTGCTTCTCTTCGTCTCCCCAGTGGAGAGGCGTCCTTACAAACAGACGCACAGACACAAACTCCGAAGGAACGCTGTTCAACTGCAGCAAAAGGCTGCAAGTGCTGCAGGCGCCGCCGCTGCAGCTGCTGTTCGTCTCCACAGCTGCTGCTGCTGCTGCTCCTGTTGCCATGGGAGCAGCGCCTTCCAGAGGAAACGTTGTCTGCACGTTCGCGCTGAAGAGAGACACTCCCTCTACAGATGCAAAGGGGACCGTGTCGAGCAACGCTTGAGGCGGCAGCTGCTTTTGCCTCTGCTTCACTCCGTCCAGATACGCAGCAAGCTGCTGCAGCTGCTCGCTGCCTGCCTGCTGCACAACTGCTGCCGCTACAGCAGCGTCTGCAGCAGCTTGCCGCTCGGCAAGGCTGCGAGATGGCCAGCAAGACACTGTAGCTGCAGCCGCATTCACGAGATACTCCTGCAACAAATCTCGCCAAAAGGAAGGCGGCTTTGCCAAGAGAGCGGCAGCTATTGCCCCCTGATCAAACGCTTGCTGCAACGCCTCCGGAGCAGATCCATACAAGAAATACTCGTTCATCACGTCCACCACTGCAGAATAGTATGCGCATGTCACACAGATACCACACACATGACACACATGACGCAGAGTGAAAGAGAGACGCTCGCGTGAGAAGCACTGCTCTCGCACGCCGCAAAAGCAAATAGAGGAGCTGCAGGAGCAGTGCGGAGCGACGCAGTGTTATTAAGGCATAATCAAAAGCACACTCGAGAAATTCCAAGCTGTCTAGCGCTTCAGGAGGGGGAGACGAGGAGGAGTAGGGGGATGGGTGGGTGCAAAGGCTTGTGAAGGATCCATATCTCTCTCCATCTACCCATCTCATCAATCTCTCTATCTCAATCTCTCTCTATCTACCTATCTCATCAATCTCTCTATCTCAATCTCTCTCTATCTACCTATCTCATCAATCTCTCTATCTCAATCTCTCTCTATCTCAATCTCTCTCTCTCTCTATCTACCTATCTCATCAATCTCTCTATCTCAATCTCTCTCTATCTCAATCTCTCTCTGTCTCTATCTACCCATCTCATCAATCTCTCTATATCTCTCTCCATCTACCCATCTCATCAATCTCTCTATCTCAATCTCTCTCTATCTACCTATCTCATCAATCTCTCTATATCTCTCTCCATCTACCCATCTCATCTCTGTCTACCCGTCAATCTACCTATCTCATCAATCTCTCTATATCTCTCTCCATCTACCTATCTCATCAATCTCTCTATATCTCTCTCTATCTACCTATCTCATCAATCTCTCTATCTCAATCTCTCTCTATCTACCTATCTCATCAATCTCTCTATCTCAATCTCTCTCTATCTACCTATCTCATCAATCTCTCTATCTCAATCTCTCTCTATCTACCTATCTCATCAATCTCTCTATATCTCTCTCCATCTACCTATCTCATCAATCTCTCTATATCTCTCTCTATCTACCTATCTCATCAATCTCTCTATATCTCTCTCTATCTACCTATCTCATCAATCTCTCTATCTCAATCTCTCTCTATCTACCTATCTCATCAATCTCTCTATATCTCTCTCCATCTACCTATCTCATCAATCTCTCTATCTCAATCTCTCTCTATCTACCTATCTCATCAATCTCTCTATCTCAATCTCTCTCCATCTACCTATCTCATCAATCTCTCTATATCTCTCTCCATCTACCCATCTCATCTCTGTCTACCCGTCAATCTACCCATCTCATCAATCTCTCTATCTCAATCTCTCTCTATCTCAATCTCTCTCTATCTCCTCTCTCTCTACATATATACATCTATGTATATATAAATAGCTTACGCGTGGCATGAGGACTTGTTTCCAGGCTGAAGGTGAACTGCAGCAGCTCGCGCTCAATGATACCCTTAATGCGCTTGAGATCGATAGCTCCCTTCGTTTCTGCAGCAATCAAAGAGAGCATCTTGTTCGCCACCATCCATCCCTGCTGCTGTTGCAGCTGCTCTTCTTCCACGTCTCCTGCCCCCTCCGCGTCGCTCTTGCCGCTGCTTTCTGGCGCCAACACGCAGCAAGGTCGAAGCTCTCCAGGCTCCTCCGCAAGCCTCTCTTTCCGCATCGACGACGCTCCGCGCTGAAGTAGCGTCACATCGGAAGCCTCGATGTACAGGCACGTAGACTGGAAGGATTCCGACCCAAACTCCACTGCCGAGCAGAGAGCGTTTCGACATTCCACCATCTCCCGCTCGAGGATTGCAGCATTCGTATCCGTCAAATAATAGCCGAGAACGTCTAAAGCTGCTCGCTCCTCGAAACACTTCCAGGGAGCACCTCTCCAGCCGACTACCACACGCCCTGTGTCGCTCGCGTCTGCTGGAAAGCACACTTTAGTTCTGCAACTCGCATGCAGAGGCGCCACATTTACAGGAGACGTCCACGGAGCTGCTCCGTACGTCAGCGGCTTCGCCAAGGCAGCCAAAAGCTCCGCTCGCCATCCACTAGCTGCCGCGTCAGACGCCTTAGCCATTGTGTCTAATGCAGCCGCAGACGCAGCCGATTTGAGTGGAGGAGAAGGAGATTCAGTAGATGCAGCAGATGTTGCAGTTGCAGATGTAGATGTTGTAGATGGCGTTGCAACATTTCCTGCTGCTGCTGTGTTCGCTGCTGCTCCGGATGCAACGTTTGCAGGAGGGCAGTCTGGAGCAGCCGTTTCTTCTCGCGCGACACACGACGCGAAAATTTTGTCTGTCGCTGCCTCGAGAGTCTTCAGAAGTCTCGTAACAGGCACCGTTCCAGTTGCCATCAACGCCATGTTCTCCCATCGATAAAATGCCTTGTGATAAGCCTTCACACGCGCATTGGTTGTTGTGCGAAGCCACTGCATTCGACCTCCAGTCTCGAAAGTATAGCCACTGTCTCCTGGATACAAGAGCGACAGCAGTGCGCTATTCGCCACACTGTTGGCGGTTCGCTCGCAAGCTTCCATCTCGCTGTAGACAACTCCTAAGCACAAGACACAGAGCTGCATGCGCGTGGAAATGAGTCCAACCCACATTTCGCTAGGAATAGTCACCATACACGACACGGAGCTAGTCTACAGCCAGCTTGCATCACACGCCATTGCACCGCGCACGGTAAGGCAGGCAGACAGAGCGGCAAACAAAGAAACAGAGAGATTTGCAGCGAGACAAGCAGATATGCAGGCAGACAGACAGATATGCAGGCAGACAGACAGATATGCAGGCAGACAGATATGCAGGCAGACAGATATGCAGGCAGACAAAGAAACAGACAGATATGCAGGCAAACAGACAGATATGCAGGCAAACAGACAGATATGCAGGCAGACAGACAGATATGCAGGCAGACAAAAACAAACAAGCAGACATGCAGCAAGACAAACAGATATGCAGCAAGACAAACAGATATGCAGGCAGACAAAAACAAACAAGCAGATATGCAGACAAACAAGCAGCCAAACAGACAGACAGAGAGACAAACGAGCAGCCAAACAGACAGACGAATCCGCATGCAGACGCTCTAGCGCCAAGTGGCGTGTTTAGAAAACAAAACGGTTGTATTTAACACTCCAGACGCGCAAACACCCTTGGCGTGGCTAGCTCCAAAGCTTTCCTCGAAACTAAGCGGCTAATCCTTACCTGCGCTGCGTCCGTCAGGCTTGAAGTGATGAACTTCCGTGAAGAATGCATCATCATCTAGAGTCGGAAGGAGAAGATGCTCCAAATAGACTGAGATCGAAACAGCCAGCGAAAAACAGCAGACAGTAGACAGTTACAAAGGGGTATCTCAAAGGCAGGGAAAAGCAAACAACGCCTTCGAAAGAAAGCCTCAATCTTAAAGCCTTTCTGTCTCTCTCTCTCTCCCCTTTCGCGCAAAGTGAAACAACCTGGCATGGGAAGCTTCTCGCATATAACTGCCCCCTTCCCGCCTTCGAGACATGTAGACAAACATACATACATGCATGCAAGCGCACATGCATGCATACATAAATGCATACATATGTACATGCATACATACGTACATGCATGCATGCATACATATACCTGGGAGATCCTGGCATGCTCACACACACTTTCACACACACTTTCACACACACACACACATCCGCATACAAAAGAAGCTCCTACATGCGATACGCATGTATGTACACACATATGTATATGTACATATAGACACACACATGCATCCTAAATTTGCCAAATGCCTCCACACGCGCAAACAGCTACAGACACGCAAGGCAAGGGAATTATTACTCGGCAGAAGCGTTTCCAGGCCCTTATATCCGGCAGTATTCAGAGTGTAAGTTGTGTGATCTGTAGCAGTCCATGCATTAGTTCCCTGGGAAAGACACCGCGCAGCTGCCAAATCAAGAAAACCCTGAACAAAAAGGCAAGAGCAAACTCAGTGCAGAAGGAGCTCTAAGATGTGCGCTATACAGATTCTGTATCTGTACATGTATAGGGATGAATGTGTGTATGCATATTTGTGTGTATATTTGTGTGTATATTTGAGGGTATGTTTGCATGTATATGTGTATGTATATGTGTATGTTTATTTGTGTGTATATGTGTATGTATGTCTGTACATGTATATTTGTACATGTATATCTGTACATGTATATCTGTACATGTATGTTTGTACATGTATATCTGTATATTAGTATGTATATTTGTGTCTTTTTTCTGTTGATCTGTCTGGGGGGAGAGCAGAAGGCTCATGCGCGCAGGTTGGATAAGGAGATGCAGCGCTATTTCGGCGCACGCGGCTTACTTTGTACGGGTAGTTTTTGCTGCCTAAGAAGACGAGATGCTCGAGCGTGTGCGGAAGACCTTCTTCCGTGTGTGTTTCTGTTTTGAAGGATACGTGTAGCGTGCAAGTTGGGGATGGAATGTTGCACACGAAGACGCGCATGCGGGTTCGCATGCAGCGAATCTCGCGAATGCAGCAGTGGAGCACCGAGAAGTGCTGAATCTCTTGAAAGCTGGAGGGCAAAGGTTCTGGGGGAGAACCTCTGCCGGCAGATGTCGAGTTGCAGACAGCGCAAGGAACGCTTACGCTGCTCCCCCGCAGGTGAGAAACGGAGTCGCTGCTCGCCATATTCCGTGTGCTCATCAGCGCTTGACTGCAGAACTGGGCTGAACGGAGCGTCTGTTGGGGAGTGCCTTAGGCGAGGCTGCGTTTGCAAGTGGCGAGGGAGCTCTATGGCACAATACAAGGTGACAGACGTTTGGGGGGATGGGAGAGAGAAGACAAGAGAGAGAGGGGAATCTCCGATGAAGGAGAGAGGGAAAGGGTGCTGGATTCAAGAGAACGTCTTTTCAAAGCGGCGGTTCCAATTGTTGGTGCCTGTACATACACCTCAGTGTGCGGTGGGCGAAGACCGCTCTCCCTCTGCCCTCTGTTTCTTCGGAATAAAAATTTGAATAGCCAGTCCTTTTCAGCCTTTCCCTCCGATATTAAAAAGCGAGAGCAAGCAAGGCTGCGAAGACACGCCACCTGAGTGCCGAAGATGCTCTGCCTTTGCAAAGCCTTTGTGCATGCCGTGCAGCCTCCAGCCCCCTTCCCGACGCCTCCCAACAAGCCCTCCCCGACACTGCCTCTTTCTTCCCCTTCCCTAATTGTACGTCTTAAAGCCTCGTTGGCACATGAAATGCCACCTCTAAAATGCTCACGCAGCTCTGAATTTCACGCCCTCTGCAGGCATGCAGCGCAACATGAAACTCGCGCACGCGTCTCCGCGCGCTTCCGAGGGCCCCTCGGGGGCCCCCCCCCCAGCCGGGGGGCCCCCCCCCCCCGAAGGCGCTCCACGTACACCCCTCGAGGAAACACCCTCTCCTGAAGCTCCTGGAAGAGCTGCAGCAACAGCAACCCCACCCACCACCGCAGCGGCAGCCAGAAAAACAGCCGCAGGGGGGGAAGGCTTTCCGACAGGCAGCGTCGATGCGGCAGCAGTTGCTGCCTTTCACAAATCTGTGCGATCAGGTGATTTAGACGCCGTCGAAAAGGTGCTCACAATCCCCCAAAACAGCTGGCTAGCCGTCGCCGTTGACGCACACAGACGGTAAGCCCGTGAGCCTTCTCCCATCCCCGTGCGCTGCATGCGTGCGCGATCCCTCTCAACCCCCTCTCCCTGCCGCTGAAATAAACTGCTATGTGCGTTTGAGCGACTTCGGCAGTCTTGTGATTTCACGCTGCGTGCGCAGAACTGCGCTGCATCTCGCGGCATTCGATGGTCAGCTGCTCTCCTCTCTCCTTGCTGCTGCTGAAGATCTTGCTCTCCCCTGCACAGCACGCTCCTTGTGCGTCTGCATGCGCAAGCTGGCTTCGCCAGAAGGCTGATTTGGGGTGTATGGACGTCTGCCTCGCCCCCCCGAATGCATCTCGCCGCTTGCACGCTCCCGCGTTGCCGCTTTTCCTCAGGAAACGATCGGATGGTGCGACTGCTGCTGCGCGGAGGCGCGCAGCTAAAAGCTCCCGCATGCGATGGCATGACAGCGCTTCACTTTGCCAGCCAGAAAGGTCATAAAGACGTTCTCGAAACAGTAAGCAAGGCGGATTATCAGGTGTTCCCTATCACACCCTCGCTGGCGAACAAATGGGGAAGCCTTTCAAAAAAGGCTGCAAGCGCGCTGATGCTCTCGCGCACGCGATGCATGTTTAGTCTCTTCCCGTCGAATTCTGCATGCATGCCTCTGCGCAGCTGCTGCAAAAGGGCGCTCCTGTCAACGGGCAGCTCTCCCGTGGCAAACGCACTGCGCTGCATCTGGCCGTTAAAGCAAAACACTTTTCTGCCGCCGTATCCCTTCTGGAATACGGTGAGAGATTGATACAGACAGAGAAAGACAGAGAGAGACGTAGCCTCGCGTTTTTTGCACCGAGATGCTACCCTGGGCGCAGGCTTTGCTTGGTTGCACTTTGAGACACCTTTCAAAAGAGGCCTTCAAATCCGCGTGTCTATCCAGCCTTTATACATGTGTAAGTGTGTGTATGTGTTTGTGTATGTGTATATGTGTATGTGTATGTTTGTCTGTGTTTGTGCGTATATGGGTGTGTGTATGTGTATGTTTGTCTGTGTTTGTGCGTATATGGGTGTGTATGCATGTATGTGTGTATGTGCGTATGTGTGTATATGTGGGTATGTGTATGCATGCATCTGTCTGCATGCGTAAACTTCTATGCGGGCTTCTGTGTGCGGTACTATGTAGGCGCGAATTTGGAAGCGAAGACTGCGCAAGGGGAGACTGTTCTTGACTGGGTGTCTCCTGAGATCGCCGAGCTGCTGCAGGCAGCAGCAGCAGCGGCGCTCAACAGGCAGTCCAAGAAATCAACTGCACCAGCAGCAGCAGCTGAAGAAGCAACAGCTTCTCCCGCGCCAGGCGACACCGAAGCCAGCAGAGCGCGTAAGCGACTGAGGGAACAAAGCGCAGCAACTAGGGGCCAAGCATCAGCAGCAGAAACGCCGCTTCCTGCAGCACACGCTGCTGCTGAAGCCGGCGGTACTGCGGAAGAAAAAGACTCGAAAACAAGACGCACCACCGCAAAGGTTCTGATAACTGCGTTACAGGAAGAAGCAGAAGAGAGCGACCTCTAGCGAAGTGTGCACTCACTGCCTCGCTGTGTTTCTAAAATATGCTCCTCTGTCTCTTTTTTCCCTCACACGCCAACCATGAGAGCGAGAGCTCCGACTTGCGGCACGTAAAGATGTGTGCAGTGGTGCTGAGGCAACCAACACCCTGGGGAACACTCCAGCAAACGGGCTGTCGAGCTGCACTTCTCCCGGGTGCGTCATTGCCATCCACCGCCTTGCCATGACAAAAACCCTCTATCATCGATATTTTGTTGCTGCCCAGCAGCATGCGGCCCCTCTAGTAGGGTTGATCGAAGGCTTCGGTCAGGGATCAGGGTGTATCTACACCTTGGTTGCTCACAGGACGCGCTCTCTTTCGCGACAACGCAGAGTTTCAGACTTTGGCATTTTAGGGGCTGAATTCAAAGAGGCTGGCGACACGAATCTTAGCAACTCATGGCAACGGGAACGAGAAGCGGGCTCCCGCGCAATGGCCATAATTAGCGTAGCACATGATTGGAAGCTGAGGAAACTTGGATGCTCCAGGCTTTGGGGCATTCTACGACTGTTTAAAAAGTGCTTCTGCATTTATATGCGGAAAACAAGGGGGAAATAACGGCGAGCTCCTCTAGTCGCGGTAACTGCACCGCTCCATTGACACCGGTGGTTCGGTTCCGGGTGTCTGGACACCTCAGGGCACGTCAGCCGGATGAAAGTGGCATCCCGGAAGCCGATGCAGAGGCGTAACCTGTGACCATAATTTTTAATTGCGTAATAATTTGTGTCTAGATATAAATTGAGCAAAGTGCCTCTTCAGTGGTGGACTCACAGCCTCGTGCTTGAACCCTCCGCTACCCCTGCACCGTCAACTGCAGGCGGAATCTTCTCCGCCCGCCTCGTCCATTGTGAGAGGTCTCTAGAGGGAGGCAAAGGGAGGCCCCTCCCTCCCCCCCGATGAAAGCTTACTTCATGTAACTCCGTTTATTTACAAGCTCCCAGCGCAATTATTCTCGTCCTTAGTGCATGCAATTTTCGGGAGCACAGGCGGCGGAAGTTTCGGCTGTCTCGGAGGGCAAAGACGCGAGTGGCCCTTCGCGGGAAGACGCCGACCAGCCGAGTTCGCTGCAGGCCCCTTAATTCCTCAGCCTTAGCATTGAATTCCGGCATTAAAAATCGTGATTTCGAGCTGTATAGCTCTGAATCCTGCATCGGCGTCGGCTGTTTCTCCTCCTCCGCGGAGCCTTTCCCTGCCTTGAGGGCTTGCAAGGAGAGAAAATGAAAGCCCTCTCCTTCCGACGGACGGCACACCGCAACTAACCGCATGCACTGCCCTTTGTACGCTCGAGTTTCAGAGGCTTCCCAATGTCGAGAAGGGAGCAAGAGAAGCTGATGTGCGTCGAAGCGTATCGCTGCAGGGTTCTATGGACCTCTGGGGAGCCTGAAGAATCGCTGCGACGGAGCTTCGACAAAGAAGGGGGCCCCTCCTGCTCCGAAGCAGCAGCGGCGGCAGCAGCAGAAGCAGAAACAACCTCGCGCAGTGCCTCCGCAGCCGCTGCAAGCGCGAGGCGGGGGGAGGGAAGGCGCCTCCCCTCTCCAGCAGCCGCTGCTGCTGCGCAGTCTCTGCCCGTTCCCGAGAGAGAGAGGCCCCTCCCCTCCCTTCCAGCCTTCCTAGACACCCCCTCCGACAAGCAAATCCAAAAACGCGCTTCTTCTCCGCAGCTCCTCTGCACAGCGCCTCCAAAAAACACCAAGCGCTGGCAGGGGGTCAGCCTCTGGGGAATGGCGAAGCCTCCTACGACTCCACGCGAGACGCATGCAGCCTTCGAAACATCCAAAGCCTCCGAGCCGTGGCAGGCACTGCGCGAACCGACACACCCAGAGACGCAGCAGCAGCTCCCCCCCGACGCAACGCCCTCTCCGTGCAGCGAGACGGAGCTGCAGGGGCCCCTTTCTCGCGTTCGCCAGATGCAGGAGAGCCTCGAAGAAATAATCCAAGCACTCAGGGAGAAGGAAGCTCACATGCCAGAAGATCTCTGCGCTCCCGGGGAGGCTGCAGCGCTGTCTTCCGAGCAGGCAGCCTCCAGTCGCTGCAGCCGTCCTCCTCCCCAGGGAGGCTTTTCGCACCAGCTGCCATGTCTGCTCGTGCAAGGCACGGAGGTTCGACTCCCCACAACTCCCGACCCCCTCCCAAAAGCCTCCCCCACGGCGCAAGGGGGGGCCCCTCCTGCGAGGGGGCCCCCAACGCAGCCGCTCGAGACGCCGCTGCTCTGGTGCTGCGGCGGAAACGAGCATCCTGCTGCTCCCTTTTCTCGGCAGCCAACCGACGCGCGCACGATGCACTGCACGGGGGGGCCCTTTGCAGCGCCTCCGGATACGCAGCTGCAGTTTCAACTGCAGCAACAGATGCTGCAGCAGATGCTGCAACAGATGCTGCAACAACGGCAATGCCTCACGCTCCACGTGCAGCAGCAGGAAACTCTCCCCGCCCAAAACGCCTTCGCACCATCTGCGGCTGCTGCTGCACCTGCTGCAACTTGCTGCGCGACTGCTGCAACAACAAGTGCAACAACAAGTGCAACAACTAGTCCATTACCACTACAACTACCAACCACAGCAGCAGCACTACCACTGCCACCACCACTACAACTACCAACTACGGCAGCAGCACTACCACTACCACTGCCAACTACGGCAGCAGCGCCACTACCCCTACCACCACAGGGGCCCCCCGTTTTCGTACTGGGGGCCCCCCATCAGGTTCTGCCGCTATTCCCCCCCCCCTCCTGTCACGCCTCCTCCGCAGCAGGGGGGTTGTTCTCGCCTCCCCCCACGCAGCTTCCTTTCAGCGCGAGATCCTGCAAGACTTCGCACTCCACAGCCAGCCGCAGTCTCCAAAAGAACCACCTTCCAACAGGAGGACCCCCTTCTGCTGGACGCATTCTGTCAATCCTCACTTCTCTGCAGCACAGCAAACTGCAGCAGCAGCAGCAGCAGCAGCACGCGTCTGCTGCTGCGGCTCCTGCCGTCCTGCCTGCAGCGGCAAGCAGAAGGAAGGCAGCCTCCGAGACTGCGCTGCAACGTGGCGCCTTCGAGGCTCTCCCCTCCTCTCCCTATGCAGCCCCCCCCCCCCTCTGCCTGGGGAGCCCCCCCGCACCTCCCCGCATGCGCCGCCCCTCCCCTCGAGACCAGCAACAGCAGCAGCAGCAGCAGCAGCAGCAGCAGCAGCAGCAAGCAGCATCTGCTGCTGCGCGGCCTCTTGGAGAACCTCAACAAAGTGCAGCTGAAACTTGAGGGGTAAGGGAGGCTTCCGGGAGACGAAGGCGAGGGGCCCCCACGCAGTGGGGGCCCCTTGTTTTGCTGCTCGTGCTGCTTCTCACGCAGGAACGCGTCTTGCTGCTGTTTACACATGCGCATGCATATCCGTACGCATCTATGTGCTTCAGCACGAGGAGACGCCCTCAGCGGCGGAGGCAAAGGGCCCCTCAGGACCGCCAGCAGCAGAACCAGATATACCTATCCCTCAACACAAGATGGAAAGCCTTGCAAGCGGCAGATGCTGCAGCGGGAGTCGCGAGGTGTGACACGGAGCTTTCTTCTGGAGCCCCCTCGTCGTGCTCCCCAACCTTCCCCTTCATGATCTGTGCGGATTTTTTACTGGTACGTGGACGTCGGTGTCTGCATGGTCGCTGCTGCCGCTGCGAGTGCTGCTAATGCTAGTGCTCCTCCTCTTCCCCCTTCTTCGTTGCACTTCTGCCTCTACCCCCCGCAAAACGCGCACTCTAAGAGCTCCCGCTGCCTCGATTTGGGTGCTGGCGCAGCGTTCAAGGGAGGCAGACAGCGGCAGCAGTTGCCAGAAACTAAGCTCTTCCCGAACCTCCCCGTGGGGGCCCCCCCCCCCAACCACAGGCCTCTTCCCAGCGGGGGCCCCCAGTGTCTGAGGAGGGGCCCCCGAACTCCTCTCCCCCCCTGCGAAACATTTTCCCAGTGAGGGGGCCCCCAGAAAACGCCTTTCCTAGTGGAGGCGGCAGGAGGGGGAAGCGGGAAGGGAGAGAGCAGGGGCCCCCAGCAATGGGCCTTTTCTCTCAGTGAATGGGGGGCCCCCCTGAGATTCATTCTCCCAGTGGATGGGGGGCCCCCCCAGCAACTGGCCTTTTTCCCAGTAGATGGGGGGCCCCCCAGTAAGAGGCCTTTTTCCCAGTAGATGGGGGGCAGGACCCCCGGAAAAAGGAGAGGGCCTCCTTTGCGTTTCTACCCTTGCAAAGAAACACACTCTCTTTTTAAAACTGACCATAAAGATGCTGGAGCAGCCTAACCCCCCACACGGGATGCAAGCCTCCTGCTGCTGCAGCCGGAAGTGGCAGCCACACACGCGTAGACTCAAACCCTAGCTCTGCAGCACTGCCGCTGCACTTCGCTGCAGAGGGCAGAGTAACTGCTCAGTGCTTTCGCTTTCGCTGCCGCCTTGCGGCTTCCTCTCTGCATGCGTCACCCCTCGCCTCTTCAATGGCCGCTCGCGTGCTGTCAGGGCACTTGGAGAAACACTCAGAGGAAACCAATTCCTGCAGAATGCACACACGACCACACACAAGCACACCCACCCCCATACACACATGCATGCAGATGCAGATGCAGATGCAACGCGCAATGAAGAAAGGGCGTGTATGTACAGAGTGCAAGGCTGCTGTTTCACTCTGCCCTGTAAACGGCATGCGCGGACACGTGCAATGCAAGCCCGCAAGAGCCGCTTGTGCCTCTGCGATCGTCTACAGACACATGCACCACGCCGCTACATTTTTCATGCAATTCCCTTCACCTCCTCCCCTCAACACTTGCACTAGCCTCGACAAGCAAGTAAGTCGTTTCAGCAGCCAGAAATGAGGCAGCCAAGAGCAGCAGCAAGCGCAACAGATTGATCGCACTTCCATGCATGTGCACTTCACAAGGCACTTGGAGGCCATAAGGTCCTCAAACGACTTGTAGCCGCAGCCAGCCAAACACCGGTAGTCTTCTTCATCTGAAGAAATGCACAGACAGCGATGAGGCGTACATGCACACGACTGCTGACATACCAACAAGGTGCAGAGGAAACATTTGTACATAAGTGTGCACATATATATATATATATATGCTGGTCCTGATGCACACACGAGCTGCTTATGGACTAGCAGGCGTCATAATGTTCATCAGAGAGGGTTGCGCATGAAAGGGTGGCATCGCTAGCAAAAAGAATTTACAGCACCTCTGTGGACGTTTCAAGAAGAGTTCACATATCAGATACGCGTATGGATACAGTGCCCTGCTTTTCGCGTCTGGGTTTGTTTTGTGTGCGTTTTAAGGGGGACGAACGGCCCTTCAATGCTCAAGGCAACATGGCCGCATGAGGTGTACATACACGCATGTATGTGTGTGTGTGTGTGTATACATCTACGTATTCGAAGACAGGCACGTAGAAAGCGCATACGGTAAATCTAATCTCATACACCATCTAGACAACACAAAAAGGCATTTGAATCATGGGAATCGGGTGTAGCGGTGTACAGACACCACCCCCATCGGCGCGCGGGCGACACACAATGCCCATGAACGGAGAACTCGCAACGTGCCTCTGTAGGCTGCTGCACGTGTGCGAATTTTGCATATTGCTGCATGAGGCGCGCTCAAAAGACACCCAGAAAGCAGCAGCATCGACGGCAAGCCCTGCTGCATTCAAGAAACGCAGACATCCCTACCGGACAGGTGGCTATCTTGAGGTTCCTCATCGGGAGTCTCTTCTTCAGTGGCTTCCTCAGACGAGGCGGCGCTTGGCAAGGCCTTTCCCGCATCCAAGTACGCTGCACCACACATTCCACACCCCTCTTGAACCCGGAAATCGCAACGCCACCATCGCCTCCTCACCCATCCACGTCCATCAGGCAGCATGGAAACTGACCCCACGCATCCCCCCTACGGCAAGTGGCAACGCCTTTAGTTGAAATCGCCGCTAAAAATATGCCGTACGAGCTTCCAGTCGCATGCGACCCCAGTCCAGAACATCCAAAAATGACTGCGAGGCGAAGGCTGCAATGTCACCGGGTGTATGCGTCTCTCCTAACTTGTAGATGGTTGCTAGCAGCACGAAGCGCGCACATAGATACATATATATATATGTATATATGTATATCGAGACATGTATATAGATGTATATGGATATATATATATATATATATATGTAGACATAAATAGATGAATATATATAGATGTATATAGATGAATACAGATAGATATATATAGATGAATACATATAGACATATATAGATGAATATATATATATATATATATATATATATATATATATATAGATGAATATATATAGACATATATAGATGAATATAGATAGATATATATCCATGAATATATATCTATATATATAGACATATATAGATGAATATATATATATATATATATATATATATATATATATATATATATATATATAGACACATATAGATGAATATGAATTGATATACATAGATGACTATAGATTGAGATACATAGATGACTATACATAGATCTGTAGAAATACAAGTCTAAACGCGTATTTCTAAAGACACATTTACGTATTGACGCATTTTTCGATACGCACATACGCCAACGATTCAGAAACCGATGCAATTTGAAGTGAACGCAGCAAGCACGCAAAGATCCCTGCCTCCTTCCTCCTCACCAGCAGTAAGCAGCGCGCTAAAAGCTCTAATTGCCACCATTGACCAGCTTCCGGGTGTCTTCTCCAACTCAGTGAGAGGAATGAAGGAATCAATGAAACCAGCATCTTCATTGAAGAGATTCGGCAACAACCAGAAGTTGTAACCCGCAAACCACATGCATAGGAACAGGATCAAGCGCAGCACAATCAAGGACAGCTGCATACGCATACACACACATCGCATTCAGACATATATATGGACATATACGTTTATGCAGGTGCATACATACGTCCATCTATATAGATACATCTCTAGGTACATAAACGCAAAACACCCTCAAAGTGCTCTTAAGGCTTTGGAAGGCAACAAGGCTGAAGCAAGAAAACACCCTTGCAGAAGATGGGTGCCTTCACTCACGAGAATGGTAAGAAAGACGACGGCGAGATACCACACGGCAACTTTTAGCTTCAGCGGCCACGCGGGAAACATGCAGACGCACTGCAAACAGAGACCAACACAGAAGAATCACGCACACATACAGACACACACATACACACATACATACATACACATACACATACATGCATCTATATAGATATATAATATACATACGTGCATATATACACACATTTACGTAGGCGAGAGCTCTAGCGGGGTGTGCGCTTTTCAAATGCAGCTGTTTCAAGAAAAAGGGAGAAAGAGGAACTCGCGCGGTTTGCTAGCAGAGGCGAAAAACGTGCCAACCGGAAAGAGGTAGCTCGAAAACGTTTGGCATAGGCAAGCAGAGGCGCTGCAGTCAGTCGTGATAGAAGAGCAGTTCCAAGAAAGCATGAGGAAGAGTGGTTTCAAGAAAGCACAGCTCGCGCGATGCGAGAGCTAGCAGACAGCTAGTCCGTCAAACAGCTACCCTCCCTTCCCGACTGACCAAGACGGCGGCTACAACGCAAAACAGCATAAAGTGCTGCCATCGCTTGCTGCCCTCGTAGACGCAACAATAAAAAGATCCAACATCGAACGATTGGCGCTGAGATATCGCCAGCCGCTTTGGCCATTTAGGACGCTTATCTGAGGCCACACATGATGCAGTAACGCATGCACACACACACACAAATACAAATGCACCTCTAAGCAGATAAATACACGTTATGCATGCAGAGATGTAATGAATACATAGGTGTATACACATAGGTATACATGTCGGCACATATAGACACATACACATAGACACATACACATAGACACGTACACACAAACACATAGAAACATACACATACACTCATAGACACATACACATAGACTCATAGACACATTCACATACACACATACATACACAAACACCTATCCATACATGTCCACACATACACACACATAGATAAATATATATATATAAACATATATATACATATATTTATACGCATACAGAAAGCAAATCCAAAGCCCCCCTTAGCCCAACACATGCCCGTCGCGCTGAGAAAGTGCTAGGGAGAAAGAAAGGGGCAACAAAAGCATAGCTCCTTAACGCCATTCACCCCACAAACGGCCGTAATTTTTTCCTTTCCCCCTACCCCCGAACCCATCTCAGAAACGTACAGCGACCATTCTCTCCCACTTCTACCGCGCCGTCGAGCTGCACACACACCGCATGCCAAACGAACCAGCTCAAAGCTCTGAAATACATGGTGCAACACCAGTCCTTAATCTCGGCTACTACATTCCGAAACTTCCTTGACGAGGATGTCAAGAGGGCTGCGCTGAAGGCGAAACAAGTAATACGCATCCTCCGTCCGATCCAACACCCCCCTTGCCCCCCGAAAAAACCGCAAAAATCGCCTTTCCATTGGAACTGCACGACAAACTTCGCCATAAGCATCCACAGACACACACAGCGATACAGAAACGCACAGACACACGTCCACATCCATACATGGATACGGATACACACAAATACAATTACATAAATACATGCACACATACACATACATAAAATAGGGGGATACAGGTACACATACATAGAAAAAATATATATCGACTTCCTATGCATGCATACCATACATATACACCCACAAGTACATCTACACATATAAATACATATACATTCAAACCCTCCATACACGCACGCATGTGTACGTCCACATATACACATATGCATATTACACACACAGACATGCACCTATACACCTATACATACACCTATACACCTATACATACAGATATACACCTATACATACACCTATACACCTATACATACACCTATACACCTATACATACGGATATACACCTATACACATATATAAGCATACGCTCAAGAAAACTACTTGGACTTGAGCCCGCTTACTGGTCTATATTGTGCCCTGTACAGAAAGCCGAATCGGATTAGCCTCTCGCAGAGAGCAACGGCGTCTGCAGTTCCTTCAATAGGCTTTTCCAGTGCGTCGAGATGTTTCTTATTGAGAAGTTCTCTATTCGCTTCTACCCACTCCAACAAGTCGGGCCCTCTGCAGTACATTACCGCGCGTCTGCCAACCTGAAATGCGGAGGCAGCCGCGGCAAAGCAAGCCTCTGCATGCAGCCGTTGAGAGCCTTCTGAATCACTAGCGACAGCATGCAGAGAGAGGGAAAGAAGGAAGGGAGAAAGGGAAACGGAAGGAAGGGGCAGGCCCTCACCTCGGCTGCATGTTTGAACTTGATGGTGGAATTCAAGATCAAGTCCATGACGGCCGCTAGCGGCTTATTCCAATTCTGCAAGAAGTAGCGCACACCCAAGCACGCGGAGAGACGCCGCCTCCTCAGATGGAGGGCATTGAAAGAATGCAAAGCCGCACAGAAAGAGCGGCTCAACAGCAAGCGGATTCAGTAGCGCGCGGATATGTCAGCCCTCTACAGGAGGGCAGCAGAGGCGGACACCATAGCTTCCATTTCTGCAGCGTTTCTATGTCCAAAAGAAACCGGAACAAAAAGTCTTCTTGGGAAAACTCTGAGAAATTCCGAAAAACGCATGTTTCTTCATCGCGATCGCGAAGACGATCCCCTCCAGGGCGCTTACCGGTGTAGCTGTCCGCGCCATCTTTGTGGCTGTTAGTTCCTGGCCGCTTTGGAAGTCTGCGCTAACCTGAAGGGATTTTTCCTGCTTGCGGCTGCTAGGCGCCTCAATACAGAGGAGGCCAAACACAGCACTTGCACAATACGTTCGGTGAGACGCCGAAACTCGCAGCTCCCGCTGCCGAACTCCCTGCGCCGACTTCCTGAGGTACAGCCCTCTGCCCTGCAGAGATAAAAGCCAAAAGCGAAATCACGGCTCAGGAACCGTAAATCATAAACTCTTAACGAGCAACGCTAATAATGTTGCCCAGCCCCGCTGCACTCCCTGCATGCAGGGAGTGGAGCCGAAACGCTTGCAGCCGGTTGCGTCACGCTTTCCCGCTCTGCGTTTGCGCAAATTCTTACCCAACTGCTGTGTTGTGCTGAGCTCGGCATCTCGCGTCGTAGCAGCCTACTGGACAGCCAGCTTTCCTAACGCAGCGCATACAGCCCGCTGGGGAGCATTCCTCCGGTCTGCTCTTGTGTCTTGCACCCTTTGGCGCGCTCTGCCGCCGTTGCACGGCCGCCACGCTTCCACGCAAGAGCCGTCATTCAACAGCGCTCGTATTTCACCAAGACGCACTGCAGATGGCAGCCGGTACTGCATGCAGTTACCACACGGTGACTGGCTCCTCCTGGACTTAGTTCGGAAGCAGCACAAGCGAAGCATATACTCCTAACGCGAAAAACAGAGTCTGCATAAGGCGCTATCTCCCTCCAGCCGAAATCCTCGTTCAAGAGGGTCCGTGCTGGGGGGCAGAGCCAGGCAGGCACAGGCAAGCAGATCTGAGGGGTGCAAGCCTAAGCTAGGGTGCGGGTTTTCTCGCCAGCATACACTACGCTATCTGTAAGGAAGGCTGCAGTATACACCAACTCACACGCTCGGCTGGTCCGTTCGCTTTGCACGGGTTGCAGCAATAGGACGCTGCCTCGATGCGCAGGCTGCCTGTACGACACATCACTTAGTATGCAAAGTTCGGGAAACTGCAGCGTCCACGCACACACAAAGGCCGAGAAACTTTCAAGGATGAAGGCAGCATGTCCATTCACCGTTGAAGGTGTCTGTCTACCGCTCTTACCACTTTATGGCGTTGCGAGGGTTGAGCTGGCCTAGCTCCACTTTGGCACTTCCCACCACACTGGTTGTATTCATCCAAGAACTAGGGGAAAATAGACGCATTGCTGTGATATTCGTGTGTCTAATCAATACTGCAGAGTGGCATTAGCTTGTTAGGGAGAGGTGCAACGTTGTGAAACGTGCGTTTGCGACGCGCTGTGTTCAACTCGCTGTAAACGCCCGGAGTGCGTAAAGGTTGCAGCTGCCTCACCCATCATGCCGGTTTTTGTGAGGGCTACGGGCAGGAGAAAGAGAAATGATTTTGGCTAAAAACCCAATGATTTTCAGACGAGTATGTGTGAAGTCTGGGACGAAGGGCCTTCGTACAAAGAGCGTAAAGAAGTGTTACACGTGGTAGCACCGCACGATTCTGTGCAGCTGCTTCCCACCTATTCATTGGCTATAAACTCAGTAAAAAGTCAGCTTTTCCTGTACTACATGTCTGTCTGATCAAGTTCTTGGGTAATTCAATAGTGTGGCAGTTTTGCAATGGGTTGGGAGAAAACCCTCGAGTAGATCCAGCAGGGGCGAAGTGCCATTTGGGGAGCCAGATGCTGGTTTATAAGCTGATGTAACTTAGTAGCTCCATATCTGGTAGAAAGACATTAAATTTGAGCTTATGGAATGTTAATGGATGCGTGGATGTGTAGTAAAACGTATGGCGGCAGTAAGGATGGGCAAGTAATCGAGAATTTCATGAGCCGAGTGAAGGTGTACATCGCGTTGTATGCCGCAGATGAAGAGATCAGAGTGTTCCTTTGCGGCATGCTTATTAGTGTAGGGAAAGAACACGCGAGTGGCGGCTCAATTTATGCGGAGCTAGTCGTGTGGATTCAAAGACATCACATTTCTTTTAACCTCTACTCAAGCCTGGGACTTACGGGTTTATGCTGAGGAAAGGCTTGAGGGCAAACTTAGAGAGAGTGGAGAGATGTCAAGTAGGAAAATCTATCAGTCGGTCGATACCTCGAGAAATGTGGAACATGGGTTCTCAGAAGTCACACCGTAAATGGCAAGCTGCTCTATCAGTGGCGTACATAGTGTCTACTCGAGGTGGGAGGCCAGGTGGTCGCAGGCTCTGTAGTAGTGACTTAGCGGCTGAATAGCCGTCGTGGTAGGGCTTCCAGATGGAATTCTGGAGATCTCAAGGCAGCATGAGCTGAACACCTGCGCATTTGCTTAAGAACAGGATAGCTAAGCTGGAAATGAGAGCTGTCAGATGTAGGGGCCAGGTCCATCGGGTTGCAGCACGCAGTCGAGAGTGAAAGAGCATGTACTGCCGGAGAAACCTGCGCTCCTAAGCAGGTCTAAACAGGCACCCAGCAAGACGCTTTTTGTCGCGAAAAATTGAGCCCCACAATCCGGGATTTCAACATCATAAAATAGCCAAACAAATTGAGTAGCTGGAGTGGTCGTAGCAAAAGCAGGCAGCCTGGCGAGCAAGACGGCCAACCCCGAAAACGGAGAACCCCCACACGAGCTTCCAAGCGGTGAAGACTGCAAGACTCAAAGCTGCAATTAGGATCCCGCATCCATCACAGGTCAATCTTACGCTGACGCAAGTTCAGATAAAATGGTCACGAATTGCTAGCTTTAGTTTGCACTCGCTGTGAAGTGGATCTGGCATCCAGGGATGCGGCGCACAAGTGGAATCCGCCTGCTTTCTCGTTGGTGCCGTTCCTAAGACCCGCATTTACGAACAGGCAACAGGACGCACGAACTGGCAGGAGCACGGTACCAAAAGCGCCTTTTCATATCTTTTGGCCCTTGAGCTTTGTCCTTGACTTCCATCTTGGACCTGTGCACCAAGATCTTAATCTTGGGTTTGTCGCGTTGGCAGTCCAATGAAAGGATCGCATGCATCAAGCGCCGTGGAGGTCAAGGTGCTAGAAAACGCTAGGTAGCAGGTTGTGGCTTTCTCAGCAACCCCCGTATCATGTACGATGAGCGCGGCCGGGTCGGTTCTGTGCGCGATGCAGCCGAGACTCTACGCCGGTAGCTCAGGGGCGAACAAAGAGGAGACTGATATGAGATGAATCTTGCCTCTCTCGCTCATATACGTATTCCATTTTTAGCCAGGGAACCGCAGGAATTGGGAGTATTTTACAGACGCCGTCGCAGGCTGGCCAAGTTCTGCCCGTCCACCCCAAAATGGTGAGGAAATTTCTCGATTCAGCCAAAGCTGTGTTCCGCGGTACTAAAAGCCTTTACAGTATGAAGCGGAGACCAAGTGGCAGACAAAAGGCTCTTTGAAAAGCAAAAGGCGCAGTTTTCAGCCAGCCGTTTTAGGCGAAACTTAGTTTTGGGACCGAAGAAGGATAGAAGGTAGTTAGTTTGAAGCCCTGAACAAGATTGCTGCAAGCATAAGTTTTCCACGCTCTATCTTGGGAAGCAACTTGACAAACCACAGGAATTAAGTCTATTATTCATTTGGCTTCCGAGATGCCTTCTACTCACTCTGTTGGCAGGCACACCACGGGGTTCCACATTCGCATTCGCGAACTCCAGTTGACGTGTATGCCATTCAGACTTGTTAATGCTCCAGGCAAGTGCAGCCGCTATCCGTTTGTGATGTTTGTGAGCCTCTTGACGATGGCCGGATGGCTGTGTACATGACCCTCGTCTCAGTCTACAGCCAAAGCGCCAAACAGCACCCACAGCACCTACGGCGTGCTATTCTGCTACTGCGGCACAACCAATGGTACACGAAGGAACGTGAGCGTTCAGCTGTCATGAAAACAATCGGCATCTGGGATTCCGTGTTTCGACTGTAGGAATTGAGCCACATCCTGAAACACATGAAGCAGTGTAGATGTGCCCTTTACCTTTACGCACCTGCACGGGCGTTGGGAAGCTCTACGGGGTTGCACCTGAGTTCCCAATATGTGGATCCTGGATTCGTTTGAACTGTCGCTATTTTGACTGATACACTGAGAAGTACGCAGTCTTTGGACTGGACACGAGAGGATGATGCCACAGCATGGACCATTGCCCGCGTCACAGTTTCTCCGGTATTTGAGCTGCCTTATTGCAACTGCTACATCCTCCTACTAAGCAAGCCTATTGACGCGGTTGTTATTCCCTCTAAGCAGGCCATGTGTGTTGGGAAACGCCACTGCTTGTTTTGGCATCGCTTCACCGAGCTTTGCAGCGGCACCTCTTGCGGGAAAGGCAACTCTATGCTGTAGTGAGGCATGAACCATTGCCGGCACTATTTACATAGGCCTCATTATAATGTCTGGAACGACTAGCAGTCTTAAGTGCACAATTTGAAGAGTTTTCAAGGCTTTGATAATTTGGAGTGTGCTGGCTTGGGGTCCCGCTGCAGCACGTATGTACACTGCGATACAGCTAGGGCACTACCAAAGAGATCGCCGACTCAGTATCTTGACGCCCCAGTGATCCGTTTTTGCATGCAACGCAGCGGCCTTTGTCTGTAATAATATAAGGTTTCTGTAAAATTTGCGTGCCTGTTATGGTTTTGATACTCACGCCTCCGCTTCAGAGTGGCGAAAAGTTGGAGGACTGCCACGGTGGGGATGACCTGCTGTGGTTCAAAACAAATCGCGAACTCTGTCGCTCGCCGACTCCCACTTAGTTCGCAGCTCCTATTTGTGCAAAGCGCTTAAGCCTGCTTTTCATGTCTCAATACAATTTGCAACACAGTATTAAACTCTCACAGTTTTGGTGGCTTGGCGTGCGTCCCACAGCAGGGGTACCTGCAAGGTTTCGCCCAGATTGCCAGCAGCTGATAGATAGCGGTTCGCCTGAAATCGGCCTTCTGAAAAAGCTTCTGATTTCAGAGAGGATTTGAATCGAGCCGATTGTGGACTACATAGTTGGACTGCAAGAAGTCAAGGCTCAGGATGTTATCTGCGTCGTCGACACACCCAGTAAATAGGCCCATTGCATACCTTGTTCCATATCTGTCACAACGCAGAAATTCGCTCACTTATTGTTACTCATGTAAGGAATATTAATAAATCTGGCAGGAGTAAGAAGAGGGATGCGAAGTGTGCTATTTGGTTTGGCATGGCTTTATGCGCCCCTACGCATTGACTTCAGTAAAATTGCAACTGGGCTGAGGCCGATGGGCAGAGAGAGCGCACAAACAACACTCCTGCAGTATTTTCCGCACGTTGCTTGCAGCATTCCAATTGTTTGGCTTCAAGTTTTGGAGGGGCGTAATAAATATATAGTACAGCAGTACACTCTTCTACCCAATGTTCGCTGCATCCTTTGTCTAGGTGGGGAGGTCCCTCTTCGATGCAGGCCTGCACTTGGTGGTTAGGGGCCAGTGGCCTCGCGGGGTAGCAAAGGCATACAGAAAACAGCTGGATAATGCACTTAAATGCATATGCAAAACCCCATGGCGTTGGCAAGCGTGTGTGGAACTTGAAGATTTGGTCCAGGTGATTCGGCAGGCTCTACAAAGGCACACCAAGAGGTGACCGGACTACAAAGTTTGTTGTCAGTGGCTAGAAATATTTGCCTCCGTCTCACGAATTATCGGTGTTTCTAGCACTCTCGATTTCCCTAGAAGTTAAGGTGCCACAGAACTATTCGTATTGGCTTCATGGAGATGCTTCGAAAGTCCCGAGTTATTGGTGCACTTTGTAATGCAGGAAAGTGATATGTGTGGAGGCAAATGATACATAGGACGCCGTGAGGGTGCTAGATTCTGTGACCATTGAGTGCTGCGAAGACACTAGAGGGGGTTCTAGTAAAAATGTGTTGGGGAGCGACAACTTCAGTGGTTGACCAAGGAGCAGTGACGGGCTCTGTTACCGCGGGGAGAATCTGCGATTCTGCTTCGTTAGAGGGACGGGTTGCCGTGTACAGGATTCCCTGCATTCCTCAGTAATTGTCCTTCCCCAACACATGTTCTGCCTAAAGTAGCTACCACTATCTGTGGGTATTGCTGTAAACATTGCCGACTTTTGTTGTTAAGATGAGCTCTACACTCAAATTTAGGCGCAGCCACTCCCGGGAATGTTATAACCGCATTCTTCCGTATGCCTCCTCTGGGATGTTAAAGTTGACTATGCAAATGCACCGTCTGTATTTCAGTGCAGATACTGCCCTATTGAGCCTGGGGCTACTGCTAGATTACTCTTGATTTTGGTTCCCTTCGCATATTCTAGTTGTAATTTGTTTTCTCGCTGCAGGATGCTAGCGCAGTTTTAGTGCTCTAGCGACAGTAATCGACTATGCCGCAGAAATCGTGTTGATTTGGTTCCTTGATACCTAGGGAATAGAGTGCATGCGTTTCTTCCCCTTGAATTCGCTTTAACGGTTGATGCACGCACTTGCTTTCTACTCTGCGCTGTTTCGCGCTTCTGCCTGCTTGGGAAGCGAAGATGGTGGGGGAATTGTTTTGCTGCCTGCATGCAGTTGGTCTCAATATACTGATGCGGAACATCATGGGAAAAGACGTAGTGGGGTTAGCTGCGAATAAACACCAGGTGTTTTCAGCTAAGAACTGGTAAAGATTTGACAAGGTGCTTCGCTGCTTCATGTATCTTGTTGCAGAGTTGCGTTAGCTCGAGACAAGAAGATACACTGTTCTGTGCTTGTGGGCTGGAGGCTAGGTATGGCAAACATGTAAATGCTTGGCGTTAAAAGAGGGTGTGGCTGTGCGCCCTCAAGCTATCCTTCATCCCTCATCTCCGGATTTGTGAGGGTGCGGGAAGAGGAGTAAGGAGGTTGTTTTGCCAAGCAGTTAATACGCTTCAAATGAGTTTGGGTTGTGCCTGGGGTTAGGTGTCTCTGTGAGGAGAGCATTGATGTGGGAGAAGCGCGGCATGCTTTCTGGCAAGAGAAGCTATCTCTCCCTCGTGTACGGCGAATATATTGCCAACGAGTTAATGCACATGGCAATCATTTTACGGAGTCCTTCACTTAACACTTGCAGCACCGCTGAACCTACACACTATGCATTGTATCTCCAGGAAAAAAGACGCCAGCGGGATGCCAAGGGTAGCCGATTCTGGCTCCCAGCACCGAGACGCCTGTAACCGCGTCTGTGGACGCCTATTTGTGGCCGGATCTCATCAAGAATATCTTCTGATGTAAGTTACATGACTCGATACACCAGGCGCCCCGGTGGTCACTTGTATTGTAGGTTTGCGGCGCTGAAATTGATGCATTTACATCTCTATCATCAAGCTTCTCATGTACTAAAGCTTCCTAGCATGTAATATAGGCTCAGACATGCTTGCAAATGGCTGCAGAGTGAGAACGTGTGCAGCAACAACGGATCTTAATGTCGCTTGGAAGGACCACTGGTTGGAGGGCGGGAAAACTCTCGAAGAAAGCACGTATTCCTAAAGCCAAAAGTAGGTTTAAAGCAATGCAAACAGTTTTATCACTTTTATGAAGGAGGAGGGCTGAATTTCTTGCGGCTTCAGGTGCAAGAGTGCCGCGGGTGCTGGCGACTCTAGTCCACTTAATACTGCACGCGCTAATAGGCTCGTGTGCGGGTGTGCAGGTCGCTATACGGGACGACGCAAGGGGAGTAATTGTTACAAAAGAGATAAATTAGCTTTATTTCAGCGTTAAAGGTTACAGGGGCGTCAAAATCATGGCGCACATGCACTACCATGTGAGCATCAGTGCAGCTGTTGCGGCCTGTTCCGTTCCTGCGAAAACTCATGAACACCAGGAGCCGCCCCTGCGGCTGCTGGATGGCAGCAGGAGTATCTGCGGCGTAACCTCTTTGCAATTTGAGGCTTCATTTTTGGCTTAGGCCGTGAATGAAGCGTGTTTCACATTTAATTCCTCTCCTTTAGTGTCCAAGCGCCACTGCCTGAGCGCGCCGTGGACTTCCCGTGAATTCTGTCCGTGCTTTTGCTATTGCCGGCGCTGCTGCTGTGCAACTAGCCCATTCCGCCTGCGATCTCTCATCATTTTTGCAGTGTATACATGTAAAAGCCGTTTGCCTATTCTTTAGCCGAAAATGAGCGTCTGCGACAGCATCTTGAACCGTCTGAAGTCGCTGGAGGTGCCGACCCCCCCGGGCGCAAACGATAAGACGCTCTACCTGATCCTGGGCGTCTTGAACTGTTTCTTATTCGGAGTCGGCATGATCATTATAGGCGTTATGACTGCAGACAATGCAAATCTCTTGATCGGCGTCTTGCAGCTTGTGCTGCCGTTCGTAGGCTGGGTTTGGGGCGTAGTATGGGGAATACTCATCATCTTGAAATCCCTATAAAGCTGGACGAAGCCGTCCACGCTGCACCTATGCATGCGTGTGCATGGGAGGGCCTCGTGTTGCATTGGCGAAACAACGACGCGAGTTTGCGCGTTATACATGTACACCGACCGACTCCCCTATGCCTTGACACAAAGGCGTTCAAGATACACCCGGCTGCGCCAGCAGCAGCCATCTTCACTCTCAGCCACCACCGGCCGTAGCAGCAAGGCTCTTTTGTTCGAAGCGCGCTTGCTCGTCGGCAGCGCTTTGAAACGCTGAGCCATGCGTGATATGTTTGCAAGCGTTCCCTCATCGGAAGGAAGTGCATCACTGCGAGGCGTTCTCTTTAGTGCTAGGCCAAGTGACAAGGCGTCTTCGCTTTCGCCGCAAAAAGCCAACGTTAAACACATCTCCTAAAGATAACTGCTTTCCTTTTTCTTTGATCTAAACGCGCGACACGTCCTTTCACGCAACAACCGGAAAACGTCTCTCCACGTGTTGGTATAGTACACCTATACTCGTCTCTGGGGTCTCTCCCCGGTTTAATATCGTGTTGAGCCGATTCAGGAGCACTTGAGGCTTATAGATGGCTTAACATATCCTCTTTTCCGCCGAAAAGCGGCCGGAAATGCCAACACCACGTCGAGGCATTCGCGCGAAAATTAAAATGTGAGCCAACGACCTGCTATGTGAAGAATAATGGCCCTCTTTTCGGGCAGACACACGCCAGCATATACATCGATGCAGATACAATCCAAGAGACAGAGAGAGAGACAGACAGAGAGAGACAAACAGAGAGAGTAGCAAGCTGTCCATAACGTTGGCGGAGGCAGCTCGCGCGTCACTTTGTAGCACCTCTGACAAAGTGCAGGATATTTAGGTTGTTTCGTAGTCGGTTAGGTCGGTACAGAAGACGCGAGGACGCCTTTAAGCTTGTTTGAAGTGGCTCTGGAATGCCTTTTGAGTGTGCGGGTGGGGGCAAACATAAGCCAAGAACGCTCGCGCGAGTCGCTACTATCTCTCGTAGAATAATAAGTAATTGGTAGGCACCAAGAATGTCGCTGCTGCCTGTGCGGTTGGGCTTGCAGCAGATTATGTCGCAGAGCCTTGTGAAAAAGATACATCTACAGCACCTGTCCAGAGTGCCCCTTAGCCCATGGGCGGGGGGGTTTGGTGTTTCGAAGCTCGGAGAGACTCAAAGTTAGGAGTTGCTGGTGCTGCTCCGTCTGGCAGATTTGGATCTCGGCTGGTTTCCACGGTGGGTAGCTGTCAGCAGCAGCAGCAGGTGCAGCAGAACTGGACTGACACCACAAGTCTCGCTCCTGTTGCTGCGGCTGCGGCGGCTGCTGCTGCTGTCGCAGCTCTGGGGTGGATTGCGTGGGTAAAAGAACGAGCGGGATCTCTTCATCCGCTGCTGCATCCCCTGCAGCAGCAAGCGGCAGAGACACCCGCAGCGTTTGCAGCAGCAGCTCCTGCACGAGTTGATACTCTTTTTCGTCCTTTATTAGGCACTGCAGCGTGCACGATACCAGCGTGCTGCCGCTACATGGCGAGCTGAGCTGGCGTATGACGTGCTGGACAGGTGCTGCATGCAGCGAGAGAAGTCCCCTTCGACTGTCTGCTGCTGCTGCTGCGCACTCAGACTGCAGCAGCAGCAGCTGCTGCTGCTGCTGCTGCTTCTGTGCTGCTCCCGGAACAACCTGTCGCCCTCCTAGAGCCATCTCCATTAGCCAAATTACAGCGACTGCATGCAACGCTCGCAGCGCAGCCGCAGAGAGGACGCCGCGTGTTTCTGCGACGTTTGAAAGAGAGCCGTTGCCGCTGCATGAAAGAAGCAGCAGCAGCAGCAGGCTAAGCGTAAGCAGCAGCAGCAGCAGGCTAAGCGTAAGCAGCAGTAGCAGCAGACTAGGCGTAACCAGCAAGAGCAGCAGCAGACTAAGCGCAACAAGCAGCAAGAGCAGCAGCAGACTAAGCGTAACCAGCAAGAGCAGCAGCAGACTAAGCGCAACAAGCAGCAAGAGCAGCAGCAGACTAGGCGTAAGCAGCAAGAGCAGCAGCAGACTAAGCGCAAGCAGCAAGAGCAGCAGCAGACTAAGCGGAACAAGCAGCAGCATGCATACACACGCCAGGCAGCAGCACACCTGCGTCTCTAAGCTGCGCTGTGTGTCTCGCCATCAGCCTCGCGTGCGCCTGTGTCAGTCGCAAGAGGCTTTCTAGAAATCTAGGAGTAAGCCCTCCCGCGGAGAGCAGTGGAGATCCAGCCGCAGCTGCCGTGGCAGCAGCAGCAGCAGCGCGCAGGGATGAATAATACAACCCAAGAAGCTGCTGCGCTCGCGTCGACAAGTCGGGGTGATACTGCTGCCGAACGTAGGCTAAATACGCTTTGACCAGCGCAGTATTCCACGGCAGCAACAGAGATTCTGTCGTAGGTGTCTTTGTCGATCTTCTTAGAGATCTGCCTCCCTGCGCCGCAGCTCCTTGAGACGTTGCAAGCCCGTCTGTCGACGTCAACACTGCAGCATGCGCGTTATTGTAGTTGGTGTTGAGACTGCTGCCGCAGAGTGCTCCCGTTGTTGCCTGAGAACAGCCAACACACACACACACACACTGCATATGCATGGAGCCAGAGGCAGCAGCAGCAGCAGCTCCTGCCGCATTGGCAACACCGAGCGACTGACAACAAGACACAAGGTGGAAGCAGCAGAAAGAGAGAGAGAGAAAAAGCCTGCTTTCCAGTCTCTGTCTGCAAGGAAGAGAAAGAGTCGAGAACGTCACAGCGGCAGCAGCAGAAAAAACTTGCTTGGAGGAGGAGAGCCTCTGCAACTTCCGGAGTTGTTGCAGCCGACTCGGGGAATAGCACGACAAGATCGAAGCGTGAAAGAAGCGGGGGAGAAAGTCGAGAAGCCACCAAAGGGCAGCCAATAGCAGATCCTAAGACCATGCCATCGTCGCTGCTGTAGGTAGAACTTGTCATTATCTTGGTGCTGGTGAAAGCCGTGCCTGCCAGATCCGCAGCTGCAGCGGCAACTGCGGCAGCCTCCGGTGTATCGACAGCCGCATGCGCTGCAGCAAACACGGAGCATCGACTCTTGAGTGTGCAGACCATCCCTGCCTGCAGCACAAAAGAAAAGAAAGAACGCGCAAGGCACAGCGCAAGGCGCAGTAGCCGACAGCAACACAAAAAAGTCTGTCTCTTCCAAAAAAAAAGAGACAGAGACAGAGACACACGCAGCAGCAGCACTGGCTGCACTTGGGCAAGCCAAGGCTTCACCTGACCGCAAAGGCTTTTGAACGCGTGTTTTCACGCGCCGCTGCCTTTTTTTCAGCATTTGTCTGTCAGCTGCCTTTTTTTCAGCATTTGTCTGTCTTTTCGGTGCTCAACTTGCCTTAGCTACAGAGACACTCTGCTGCTCCATGGCTTCGAGGATCGTTTGCTGGATGTCTCGCTTTAACGCTCCCAAATCATCGAGGCAACAAATGCCGCCATCAGCCAGCACCAATGCTCCGCCTTCTAGCCCCCACTCCCCTGCTGCCCCCTCCGAAGAAGAGTCTCTTACTGCCGCGCACGTCAATCCTGCTGCGCTACAGCCAAAGCCTGAGCAGTCAAATCAGCACCAGAGCAGCACCAACAGCTGCGAAAGACATTCCTGTGCGCTGTCTCTCGCTCTCTTTCTCCCTCTCTCTCGAGCGCGCCTCAGAGATGCAGGCATGCATACATAGAGGCTGAAAGAAAAAGCATCCGAATGCCTCTTTTTCTCTCTCTCTCTCTACATGTATATATATAGACACACTCGCATGCACTAGACATCTGCAAGCCGTAGATCCGCTGCACCAGAAGGCAGCTCGGCAGAAAGAAAACGTCAACAACACTGCTGCCCCCTGCTCCAGCAGCAGGAGGCGGCAAAAGGCAGCTACAACCACAGGCTTGGCGTCTCACACACACAGAGACATACAAATAGACATACACACATGAACACATTCATACACACATAAACACATTCATACACACATAAACATATTCATGCACACATAAACACATATGTAGACACAGAAAAACATACATACACACATACACACATAAACACATTCGTACAGACATACATACAGACATAGATACAGACATAGATACATACGGATTGAGGATCTTGGCTGGCGGGTGTTGTGTGTGCCTCACCTGAAGCTGATACGGCATGAGTAGAGAGTCTTGCAGCTGCACGCAGCAGCTGAGATTTGCCTGTTCCTGGATCGCCAAGGAGAAGTAGATGGATCGACTGGCGCTGCTGTTGCCTGCCGTTGCTGCTGTTAGTGCTCCGAGAAATAGCGCTATCATCTCCAGCATCCACTGCGCTGCTGCTGCCGCTGCGATGCTCCTGGTATCGTTCCCACCGCTTGGAACGACCGCCTTGGCATTTTGCTGATGCATCAGCATCAGCAGCAGCAGCTGCAGTGTCTGACCCTCCTGCAGCAGCAGCAACAAAGACGCTCAGCAAGCAGCACAGCACCAGAGAGGCAGCCGTCGGCTCGCTACTTCCAGCAAGACTGCACGCAAGACTCCATGGATGCATGCAAGACTGCATGGATGTATGCAAGACTGCAGTCTTGCATGCAGCAGCAGCGACAGCAGCAGCAGCACACCTAAGATGGCGAGAAGAACTGCCAAGATAGCCACAGGAATGCCTGTGAGATGAGGGCAAGCTGCAGCAACTAGCGCCTCGCGAACGCGCCACATATCCAGGCTGTTGCTGTTGCTGCTGCTGCTGTTGCTGCTGCTGCTGCTGCTGCTGCTGCGAGCAGCCTGCAGCAGCTGCCGGTGCAGAGCGCCAAGTTCGCGACTCCGAGGAGCCTCGTTGCAGTCGGAGAAGCGAATAAAACCCCACAGACCGTCAAACAGCTCAGATACACTCACGGCAGCAGCAGCAGCAGCAGCAGCAGCAGCAGCAGCAGCAGCCTCCACAGCAGTGACCTCCTCCCCCGCACATGGCTTGAGAGCATCTTCAGATGCGCAAAGTCTGCTGCTGCTGCTGCTGCTGCTGCTCGTTATGCTGCTGCTGCTGCTTGTGTCTCTTGAGTTCGCAAAGCATCTCAGTGCCAGATGCTGTGGCAGCAGCCGCTGCGCAATATGCGCAGGGAGTGGCGAAGAGGCAGCGAATGCAGATGTCATGGGAGAGATGACTTCAATGCTGCTGGCTTCAATGAAAACCTCCAAAGAAGGTCTGCAGCGCGACGACACTTATTCGACAGTTTGAGACATCGACACCAGTCTGTAGCAGACTGGCTCCGCTGGCGAGGGAAGTCTATGGTGGTAAGTACAACGCGAAGAAGCATGGGAGAGCTGGGGTAGCCTTTAGAAACGTGGAGAAGAAAGCTCGACTCAACTGCCACGACTGCATGCCATGCAGACGTGGCAGCTTAGGCAACATACCTGCAGTCCTTCTTGAGCCTTTCCCATCGACAAGCAGCAACTCCCACAACAGACACCAAGTCGCCACAAGAAACACGACCTGCAGCGGCACAAGAATACTCAAGGAAGGCGCAAAAACACTCCTGCACAGCAAGGGAGAAGCAGCAACACCTCCTGCTGCAGCAGCATCAACAGCAACTGCAGCTGCTGCGGCACCAATAGCAGATACAGCACCAACACCAACAGCACATACACTACCACTTACAGCAGATACAGCAGCACCAACACCAAGAGCACATACACTACCACTTACAGCAGATACACGACCACTTACAGCAGATACAGCACCAACACCAACAGCACATACACTACCACTTACAGCAGATACAGCAGCACCACCAACAGATACACTACCACGTACAGCAGATACACTACCACTTACAGCAGATACAGCAGTACCAACACCAAGAGCACATACACTACCACTTACAGCAGATACGGCACCAACACCAACAGCACATACATTACCACGTACAGCAGATACAGCAGCACCAACACCAACAGATACACGACCAACACTTACTGCAGATACAGCAGCACCAACACCAACAGATACACCACCACCACCACCACCACCACCAGCTCATACACCACCACCACCACCAGCAGATACACCGCCACCACCACCAGCACATACACCACCAGGAACACCACCAACGCCACCAATACAACCCCCCCGACTACCCCCACCAGCAAACCTGCAAGATCTCCAAAAAGAACGACAGCGGGGAGACTGCGAGAAAATCCAGCGTGAGAGCTCCAGACACCAGAGCACTGCAGCCTGCAAAAAAAGCCTCAGCAGCAGCAGGAGAGTGAACACAGAGAGTGGACAGAAGCAAAGAGACAGCAGACAATACGACCTGAAAATCAACAGGAGCAGCAGGTGCTATCCTTCGGCAGCTAGCAGACTTGAAGTTGTGCTGTCACTTTTTTAGAGTCACCTTATTTCTTGATAATCCGCTTTCGTGAATTCTTCGGAAGATTCATCAAAGACATCGCCGGTGCATGCCATGCCATTTCCTTTGAAGCCTTTTCTCCAGCCATACCCCAGTGCTCTGCCTGAGCGTTTTTGGGAGAAGTTTGGAGGAGCAGCAGCTGCTGCCGCTGCTGACGCCGTTCCCCCAGGGGTAGATGCAGCCGCAGCTCTCCCTCCACAGGCTGCAGCCGCATTTCATGGCACGCAGTTTGGAATTCGCTTAACACATAGCATACGACGTCTCGCATCGCAGCATCTAGCATCGATTGTGGCCTCTAGCCTGTAGCCTACAGCACGCTTAATAGTGGCAGCAGGTAGCATACAAAGCATGCATAATAGTGATATCCCATGGCAAAAAGAGCACACATCATAGTGGTAGCAGATCGCACATAAAGCATGCATAATAGTGGTAGCAGATCGCACATAAAGCATGCATAATAGTGGTAGCATATAGCATAAAAGTATCATGGCCTCTAGCCTATAGCCAAGGCATTGAACTACTATAGCGTACAGCCCATAACACGTAGACGACTCGAAAGTGCATAGTGATATCCCATGGCAAAAAGAGCACACATCATAGTGGTAGCAGATCGCACATAAAGCACGCACAATAGTGGTAGCAGATCGCACATAAAGCATGCACAATAGTGGTAGCAGATCGCACATAAAGCATGCATAATAGTGGTAGCATATAGCATAAAAGTATCATGGCCTCTAGCCTATAGCCAAGGCATTGAACTACTATAGCGTACAGCCCATAACACGTAGACGACTCGAAAGTGCATAGTGATATCCCATGGCAAAAAGAGCACACATAATAGTGGTAGCAGATCGCACATAGAGCATGCATAATAGTGGTAGCAGATCGCACATAAAGCATGCATAATAGTGGTAGCATATAGCATAAAAGTATCATGGCCTCTAGCCTATAGCCAAGGCATTGAACTACTATAGCGTACAGCCCATAACACGTAGACGACTCGAAAGTGCATGCAGTAAAGACTGTAAAGACTGCTGGTGGCTGTGTGTGTGTGTGCATGCGCAGAGTTTCTTGGAGCGCTCGTTTAGCCTCTGCAAATTTTCGATGCCTTAAGAGCTCACAGGATGGGCACCGCGTTGGCAGTCGCAGGCGGTAAAACAACTCCGCCTCAGCAGCAGCCACAAATCGAAAGCCGCACTGGCGACAGCGAAAGACTCTGCTGGATGTCAGCATTTGCACTCTGCCTGCAGCGCATGCACAGAAGAAACCAGCTAGAAAAAGGCTGTTCGTCAGGAGGTCAAGCCTCTTGCAAAATGTTGATGAGCTTTTGCCGTTGGGGGAGCAGCAACACGGTCGGTGGCAGTTTGCGGGCTCACAGACAGTGCGAGAGAGAAAAAAAGGAGAGAAAGAAAGAAGGAAAGAAAGAGAGAGAAAGAAGATGAGAGAGAAAGCAAGACACTCAGAGAGAAAGTAAGTGACAGAAAGAAAGAAAGAAAGAGAGAGAAAGAAAGAGAAGGGAAGGGAAGGGAAGGAGCTGCATGCAGCTAATTCACCTGCTCGTACAACACGGCCCTTCAGCGTGAGCAAAGATCCAACATGCTCTACTGCCAAGTTGCTGAATGCAAAAAAGCAGCGCATTAGCAGATCGGACGAGCAAGAACCTTCAAATTGCCTGCATACTGTACAGTGTATGTGGCGTATAGTGTACACTGTATAGTATATGTGCCGTATAGTGTACACTGTATAGTGTACACTGTATAGCGTATGTGCTGTAAAATGTACATTGCATATTGTATTGTGTATCCTGTACACTGTATATTGTGTGTTGTGTACACAGTATAGTGTATGCTGCATACTGTACACTGCGTAGTAAACATTGCACACTGTATCCTGAATATTGTATGTGCTGTAAAGTCTACACTCTATAGTGTATGTGCTGTAAAGTGTGCACTCTCTAGTGTACATTGTACACTGCATCCTCTATATTGTATGCTGTACACTGCACGCGGTATAGTGTATGCTGCATAGTGCACAGTGTATAGTGTACATTGTAGACTGTATCATCCTGTATATTGTATAGTGTACACTGCACAGTGTACATTGTAGTCTGTATCATCCTGTATATTGTATACTGTACACTGCACAGTGTACATTGTAGTCTGTATTATCCTGTATATTGTATACTGTACACTGCGCGGTGTATACCTGGCGTCACGAGCCAGACAAAGGGCAAACTGGTTGCCTCTGGCCTTAAGACACGCGTATGCAGGTAGAGAGGAAATGCGAAGGGAGACGAGCAGAGGAAAAAGCACGAAAAAGGTAGACATGGGAGAAAAAGAAGGTATACGTGTATACGTGTGTGTATGTGTGTGTGTGTAGCCGAAGGCGGTGTGTGTAGATTTTCAGAAAAAGAAGCCTTGCAACTTACTCTGAACTTCTGATCGCTGTAGCTTCATCCTGAGGAACGTGAACGAGGCGAACTCGCAGAGGAGGAGCCGACTGCAGCGCAGACTGCTGCAGCAAGTGGATTTGCTGCATCTGTTGCATTTGCTGCTGCAGCTGCTGCTGCATTTGCTGCTGCTCCTCGTGCTCCAGCTGCTCTTGCTGCAGCAGTTGCTGCTCCTGCTGCAGCTGCAGCACTTGCTGCTCCTGCTGCAGCTGCAGCACTTGCTGCTCCTGCTGCAGCTGCAGCAGCCTGAGGCACACTGGAGGCAGCACTTTCTCGTGGAGCAGCTGCAGCGTCTGCTGTGGCAACATCAACAGTTGCTGACCTAGAAAGGGTTCTTGTTCGAGGATTTCCACTGCATCCAGATACACCGGAGCGCTGCTGGCAGCTCTGTGTTGTTGGTGTTGCTCCTGCTGCTGCTGCTGGTGCTGCTGCTGCTGCAGATTCGCGGCAGCAGGTGTATCGGCGTGCTCTAAGGGCACAGCATGCGTTCTGATGTATGAAAGCAGATTCTTCAAGATGGAGGGCTGCTGAGAAATCCAGTTCTTCCATTTCCACTCAACGTGGGAGTCCGATACACCAGGAGCAGCGGCGGGAGCAAAAGCCTCTTTCTGCAAGCGTTGCAGCAGCTGCTGGCGCAGAGCAGCGGCTGTCTGAAGCCCTCGAGGCTTCCTCTGCCATTCTTCCTGAGCGCTTTGACGACCTCCCACGTGAATGTACGGCTCGTCCACCTCTGAGAGTACTCCACCCCCAAAAGACTGCCAAGTCTCAGAGCTGGCGGTACAGCCGCCGCTGTTGATGCTGCGATCCATGATGACAAGCGACGCGTGCTCCCGACTGCATGCGTTTTTTCCACGTGTATGGGCTGGAAAGAGACAGAGAGCGAGCGAGAGAGAGAGCGCTGGCTGGCTGGAGGTTGCCTTCGCTTCCCACCTACCTCCACCCACCGGCAAACACGCGACCCCCGTGTTCGAGGCGCGCGACGCGCACAACGGCGCCACTCAAAGTTTCCTGAAAACGTGATGAAAAGCAGCAAAAGCTTCATTCCAGGCAGTCTGGAAGGCTACTACTTTGAGGGAGAGGCGGGGAGGAGAGTTGAGAAGAGGGGGCATTGAATCGGGGGGGTCCATTCATTTCGAGAGGCGAGACAACGGGAAGGCGAAACTTTAGCGCAATGCAGCGCCTCTTCGCGTTGCTGCTGTCTAAGATTCGCAGTTTTCTGCCAAAAAAGACAATGTTGGTGCCGTCGGAAGATTATTTCGTGGCTGCTTTGTGCAACAAGGGGGGGTCGGGGGAGGGAGGGGGGCTTCTCCTCCCGCCAGTGGAGGCGGAAATGACGAACAGCTGCCGACTGTCGCGAAGCAGCAGGTGCCACTCCCGCCTCCCTCCCTCCTCCTCCTCTCCGTTTAATGTGTTTTAAAGAGATAAAGCCTCTTAAATATGCTAATCCTTCATGAACTTCCCGGCTGAAACGCGCAATCGGCACCCAGAAAGCAGCCGCCTATAGACACATCTGCAGCTCGAAAAATCTACGCTTTGCTGCCCTATCCAGCCAGAAAGCGCAAAGTCTCGAGGCACCCCCGCTGCGGCTGCCTGGTACGTCGATACACTCAAACTCCGTCCCTGCTGCTTCTCCTTCCTCCCCGCTGAAATCTGCCAACGCGTCTTCTCGCGAGGTTCTGCGGAAGGCGGGGAGGAGGGAAGGAGGTCGCTCAGCGAAGCTTGCGCCAACGTCTGCGGCTGCAGCCTCACCCAGCATAAAAACACACACCCCAATACACCCAAACGCAGCAGGAGAGTCGCCGTCTTCACCCCATGGCTGCAACTGCAGAAGATCCTCCTTCCAAAGTCGGAGCAGCTGCAGCTCCTGACAGCGTTCCCCTTGACACGCCTACGCCTCCCCCTCCGCCAAGTGTCTTGACAGCCGAGCAAGCAGCCAAGGCAAAGAGCTCCCTGCAGCATGTGCTGCTGTTGCAGCTCTCGCTCTTGGGTGCAGCGGTAGGAGCTTTCGTGTGTATGTACCCTTGGTTATCTGGGCAGCAGCATGCAGCAGGTGCAGCTACAGCAGCGCTTTCAGCTGCAGTGCGAAATGCAGCAGCCTCCGCTGCAGCGGAAAGCGCAGCAAGCTTTGCAGCGGCAGCAGCTGCTGCTGCTGCATTGCCCTTTTCGCTCGCAGCAGCCACACTGCAATTTGCTCTCTCGCTAATGAGGGTTAATCTGCTCGTTCTGCTGCTGTTACTGCTCTGGGGAACCTACCAAATGCTATTGGTATCTCGTGTCGCAGTCTACGCCTCAGGGAATCTCGTGAGATATATCCTCAAACGGTTCGTCGTACTGCCTGCCGCGTAGCAAGGGGATTAACCATCGCAGCAACTTCTCGAAAGCCTCCACCAGCCACAATCCACGCTGATATTATTATTGTTCTTTTTATTTTCTTCTCAAAAGCCTCCACCAGCCACAATCCACGCTGAAATTTACTTCTTCCTTCTATTCTCTTCTTCTGGCGAGCTGCTCGCTTCCTAAAGTCTCTCAAGAGGCGCACAGGCGTATACCTAACGTACCATGCAAGCGTCTTGATACTGCCGCATACTGCAGATGCTGCATGCAGCTGCGTATTTTCTGCTGTTGCGTTTGTGAGTGCTGCAGCTGTGAGTTCCCTCGCCGGAGCTACCGTCCTTCCCCCCTCTTCTGTCACTACTTGCTGCAGCATGCGTTCTTGCGGCTGCGCCTCCTGCATGCGCAGCAGCAGCAGCAGCACAAGAAGAGCTCGCCGCTGCTGAAAGCATTCTCGAAAATCCCTCTAGGACCGTACGATGCTCGTTTTGGGAGCGTTTCTAACGCTGCAGCCGTCAAAGAGCGACGTTTTCTCTTGCAACGGATTGGAAGCTTCCTCGCCGAACAGACAGCAGCGCTCTTCCACAAGTGGGGACTGTTTGCGCGACTGCCGCTGCATGCGGGAGAGCTGCAGCAGCAGCTGCATGTGCAGCTGCTGCAGCACGACCAGACCGGCGCAGTGACTGTCTTGGAATGGTATAACGGTCCTAGGCGACAGCCTGCAGCAGCTGCAGCAGCAGCAGCTGCTGCTGCTGCTGCACGTGCTGCTGCTGCCACGCGTGCTGCTGCTGCTGCTGCTACGGCAGCTGCTTCGCATGCGCGACCAACCGAGCATGCAGCGAAAGCCGCTGAAGACGGAGGAGAGCGCGTGGACGGGCAGCAGCAACACAAGCAGCAGCAGCAACACGACGAGCACGAGAGCGGCAGCGAGAGCAGCGGTAAGAGCACCTCTTCGCAGCCTTGCGTGTCTCGACGAAAAGATGATCTAAAAGTCTCCTGGATGCTTGCGGGGGCGAATTTGCTGCACCGTTTCTCCCGAAGGGCTCATCAAGAAAATCAGAAAGTCACTCGTGTTGCTGCAGCAGAGAAAGTGCCTTTCTGTGGTGGGCAGCAGCAGCAGCAGCAGCAGCAGCAGAGGCATGCAGTGCACGACGTGCTGCTGCAGGGAGGCACAGCAGCAGCAGCAGCAGCAGCAGCAGCGGCAAAGACGCTGTCTTGCGGGCTCGACGCTGCTCCTCCTGACTCCTCAGCAAGCAGCAGCAGCAGCAGCAGCGGCAGCAGCAGCAGCAGGAGCAGCGGTGTAGGGACGGAGTTTTGTCAAGCGCGGGGTGTCTTGGCAGTCATTGGATCGACGACTGTGGGAGCATCTTCGCTGCAAGCCGCTGCAATTGCAGCAGAAGCTCTCAGGACTGGCTTTGCATGCTGTCTAGTCCACCTAAGTGCGCATGGAGACGTTCCCTTTCTGCTGCAGCAGTATTTCGAACAGCAGCAATTGCAACAGCAGCAACAATTGCAGCACCAAAATCAGGAGCAGTCGCAGCTGGAGGAAGAGCAGCTGGAGAGGCTCGTGCTGCTGAGCGGCAGTGGATGCCTCATCGGTAAAGCAGAAGACGAAGTAAGAGTGAGTTCGTGACTTGCACTGTCTCGCTGCGCTGCCTGCGATCGATCCGCAGCCAGCTGCATGTAGTGCCTCCTCCTGCCTCCTCCGCGCGAGGCATGTTGTCGCTGCTGCCGCTAAAAATAATATAATAAAGGGCTAGGAGGTACTGATGTGTATGGCTAGCTGCTTGCTACAGGCTGCGTTAAGCGTCATCAAAGAGGCGGGTCCAGCGCTTCCGCTTGTGGTTGTTGCTCTCGGAGATGCCTTTGCTCCCGTTGCAAAGGCGCTCACGCGGAGTCATCTCGAGGCATCTGCAGCAGCCTGCAACTTCCACAGAGGCATCGCACTCCCTGAGCAGTGCGTGCACTGTTGCCGCATCCAGCAGCAAACGCAGCAGGAGCGAGCATTGGGGCCTGAAAAACAGCTGCATGCATCTGCACCCGCAGCAGCAGACAGCAGCAGCAGCAGACAGCAGCAGGTGCTGGGGTGTACAGACAGCAGCAGCAGCAGACAGCAGCAGGGGTTGGGGTGTACAGACAGCAGCAGCAGCTCCTGCGGGATGCGCTCGTCGCACCAGAACGGTGAACAGAGTCAACAGCAAGTGCAACTGCTGCAACAAGAACGACAACGAGGAATTGCAGCAGGGGAGGCGGAACGAGTTTCTGCTGCATTTGCAGCAGCAGACACGCGAGTTTCTCCCTCCGCTGCTGAGCGTTGCATCCGGATCTCGACAAGCGCAGCCCAGTCCTTTGTTTCTGCATGCATTTTCTGCATGCCGCCTCTACAGCCTCAAGCGGCTGCAGCAGCCGCTGCTGAGGCTTCTGGTGGAATTTTCAGTCGCTTGCTGCTGCCCTCCTGCAGCAGCAAACTCATGCACTGGATCGACGCGGCAGCTGCTGCAGCTCGACCCTTCTTTGCCGTCTCTCAACTGCTGTCGTTGCTGCCGTTGGGCACGACGGAAAACGCATGCAATAGAAGCACTACCAGCAGCAGCGAGACATCTCAGCAGCTTGTTGCAGCAG